TAATTCGCCACGGGGTGGATGCGTAAATGGGCAATTTTTATTTATATATATTTATTCAGTTATAAGATCCCAGCACATGTGCCTGGCGAAAACAGAAAACATGAAAGGAGAGACCAGCTTAAGGGGTTGATTGGTATATAAAAAAGAACTCTTTGATGGCTTGTTAACGGTTCGGTTTAAATAAATAATAATGGCTTAGAATCTTGAATCTGGCTTGTAGTCCAATTAGCAGATTTGTCTATGGATTAAATCCTTATATAGAGGTTCATCCCAGATCGCGCTTAATCTCCCGCAGACGTAAAACCCCGGGGGCAAGATGGAATGTATCTCTGAGGGGCATCATGTCATCCAAGATTATGATTTTGACAGATATGAAGATATGACATATGAATGCCTAGGAAACTATTTTTATGGAAGAGATATCTGTCAGCACATGTGCGTAACCTTACACTTTGGTCTGCCTGCAATTAATGTGTTAACTAAAGGGGTTCTAATTTTAATGATTCAATATTTTAAATAATTTAATAATCTTTATAATACTTAATAACATGAATACAACTTGCACAACTTTACTCATAGGTGTAACTTCTTTAAGATATCGGAGCATTTTTAAGGTTCTAAAAAGATATATCTTACTTAAAACCCATTTAAAGCTAGTACCTATTTTTCAGAATAATTAAATAAAGTTTTTGATCACATAATAGGTATATTGTTTTTTAATCTATAACTTACTAAAGAGTATTCCTGTGAATATCTTTCCCTCATTTTCTCTTGTTTTTCAAAATAGTTCAAACAATATGCACAATTACTCGTCTCAAGATTTGAATAAAGGCTAACATAATAAACTTAAGACGCCAGTACGCCCCGAACTGATCCTCAAATGAGGGTCCCGGCGAACCCACTTGAGTCATAAGGACATTAGGCGAGTTCGGGCTAAAAAAAGGAAGAAGAACAAGGAAAAAACAAGGAAATTCAGTTGTAAAACCGGCGACTCGAGCCACAGATACAGATACAAATGCGGATACACATGCTCGCCGGCTCGTAATCTTAATCCTTCACACAATAAACGCCCCTTAGATGGGCTGCTGTATATGTACTTCATAGGATTCTATCTTCTGGTAGCAATATCCTGATCCTGTTTACCGGCAGCGCCCTTCACAGCTTCGTTTCAGGATTGTCGCATTATGGGTTTTCGAGCGGTCGCAGCGGTTCGTCCCTTTGTTTTAAATTAGCACGGCATGTTGCACATACGACCTCCGTCCGTCCGTTTGTCCGTCCATCTGTCCGTCCGCTTGTCCGTTTGTCCATATCTCAAAACCCTCGAAAACTGCCAGCAATTTCCTACAAATTTGTCATTGACAAAACATATCGTACAGCGAATAGAAATTAGGTAAATTGCATTTGTGGTTCCCAGTACTCAATGCAATGATAATAAATTTAGATAAATTATTTCCAGCTACTTCTATCGAAAATGTAATGTCAACACTAATTAGCGATAAAAAGAGGGGATGAGGGGTGAAAACTGTCTGTGGCAAATAAATTAAATATTTTACCTATACAGGCCACTCAGATAGTTGCCTCCGTCTGCGTCTGCGGTGCATTGAAAGCTATTAAAGTAAATTGCACAGGTGCTGCCCCCTCAAAACCCCACAGACCCATACCCATATCCATTTGTTTTGTTTCGGTTTTGAAGTAGTATCTCCCTATCGTACATATGTACGTCGGAGTTTTCCTCATTGTCTGTGGGTCTAATTGCGATTTAATGTCTTGCCTTAGCAGTTGCAGTCTTCGGTTTTTAGCAAGCGATAACAGTAGCGTTTTATCAACGCAGAAATTAATGGAACTAGCGTGTCCCCAGGTGGGTTTCTATATAGCCACATCTGTATATTTGTATATATGGCGGATAGTACACCTCCATTAGTCGAGTTTTTCTGACTGTGCGGGTGTTTTTCCCGCCATCCATTTCCATTGGATGTGACTTAATGCCTTCCAAGTGGAACACCTTATCGCTTCATGGTGATTTATGCGACGCCTATTACGACTATATTTTCCCCGGAAGCTCTCCCGATATTCCTATGAATTTCCATATCTGAAAAAGGCATCGTTGCGGTGATTTTGATGCATTTCTTTCTATTGGAACCTTTTTTCCAGGTATTTAAATTAGATCTCTAATTAAAAAATTTTCTTAAAGAAAACTTGGTTAATAAAGTTCAGAAATCTTGGTAACAGCTTTTTAATACTGTTTTAATGTACTTTTACGTTTACGAACTTTAAAAATAAAGTTGCGTTAATAAATAAGCGATTTTCCGGATATTTTGGTAAATGGTACTTGGCTTTATTTTCCGTATTAATGATACCCGATAATGGTTTTTATAATTAAAATACCGACTTTTATGCCTAAACCCCTTCAAAAACGAATGGTTTCTTCGGCTTTAAAATTCTCCCATAATTCCCAGAAGCCTACTTTGTTACCTTTTTAATGAATATTTTAAATAAATTGCATGTGTACGCTCTTTGAGCAGCCAATTGCACTTCCATCTGCCGATCCACTTGCAAAGGCAACATTAAAGCGGCACAAATTCGTTGTGCATTAATTAGACATTTTATAGGTGCAAGTTGGTATGGCCTGCATGCCGTTTTCCGTTGGCTGTTGGTTGTTGGATGTTGGCCATTGGCGGAGCACAGACCACAATTCTGTTTGGGCCTGGTCAACAGCCGACCGCAACTGAATCGCCGAGGTCCAGAGGAGCATGCACATACTCTTGGCTACATATATATATGGCGGGGCCCGAGCATCTGCCTGTATTTCGCATGGCTTCGATAAGTTACATTAATTTGATATACACACACTGGCAAATATAAGCCAAGTAACCGCCAAGTTGAGTTAACTAACCAACCAAGCCGGGTTAAGTCGAGTTCAGCTACCAAGATGCGAGGGGTGATCAATAAGCTTTGGGATCCTTGAAAAATGTATTTAAAGAACTTCTTAAAATGAATATATTTATTTAAAACGTAATATATTTAAGGTGTTATGTCGAGTTCAATAAACAAACCATTTTTATTTCTAAGTTTTTAAAGCAGTGGTCATCAGCAGAAAAAGAGCTGGCGGCCCGCGGGATGGAAAAACCGTGCATTCCTTTTATAAAGCGACCACTCTTGAAAAACATTTTAAATAATAAGTATTTATTAACTTAAATTCTTAAGATTATTACCCTAACTAATTTAATTTTGTTTTCAAAATTCACACTTGCAATCTACACTTCAAAAATAAAATATTCCAAATTCCGCGTTAAAAAACCATTCCGATTTTGAAAGCCATTTTTTAGTGACCTGACAACATCACCATAATTATTTCGACCGCAACTGTGTGTGGAAAGGCACATGCAACATTTTCGCCATAGAAGCGGTATGCATTCGCGCCAACTTCAAAGAATTCCGGGAACTCGGTTTCTCTCTGGTCGAGGCATTGTCTATGCCTTGGTTTTGGTTGCATTTATGATTATGCCAAAGCGACACCAGTGTGGTACTGGTACACTAGTGTACCACTAGTACCAGTACCACCAAAGAGCCAGGCGATAAATGTTGAACACACTCGCAGATCCGGCAAACATATATGCACACACTATATAAGACTGGCTTACTTTGTTTGGACCCCGGGTTGCTCCATCTCCACCTCCTTCTCCTGCTCCCCCGATGGCTGTGTTTAAATTGAAAATTCCCGATTTGCACACAGTCACAGATGCGCTTAATTTGCACCTCTCCAAATGCATAAAAACCAAGAAGCCGTGATGGAGTTGCATTGGAGTTTTACTGGAGTTGGAGAGCTGGCCACGGAGCACCATGGGTGAAGCTAAAGACCCAGTCGCAGTTGGTGACTTCAACACTCTCGGCCATGCGTGGCGGACTTCTTGGCAAAGAGTCACGGCTTCCAGAGATGGGTCTGCCGGCCAGGAGCGGAGCTGCAGGAACCCTCCAAAACGGCCCTGCAGTGCCAACGACTGATTGCCGTTTTGTGGGTCTGCCATTGTTAATTTATTAAGTGGTTACCTTTGTTGTCACCCCGCCGGAGGAAGTGGCTTTCAGTTGCTTTAGTTGCTTTCAATTGAAATTGCGCGGCGTGGCTTGGTTAATGTGGCTCTTAGCTCTCGGCACATGCCATAAACCAGAATCGAGGGGCCTGTGAGTCACACAGATGATCCCCCAAGCTAGACCAATGACCACTGCCCACGCGGTGTGATCCCAGGAAGATTCGAGTGTCGGAACATCGATTCTGATTGTAATTCTGATTCCGATTTGCCGCTTGACAAAGTATCTTAATTAACGCTAGCCCAGCAGGCCGCTTGTTGACATAAGCGCCGCCATTAATTCCCCATCAACTCTAAGGGGTTTCTTTGTTTTTCGTTTGTAGTGCACAGAAAGAAATGTAATACTAAGATTACATTAATAATAATAATATTTTTATTATTTTTAATTTCAATAACATCAATCAGTAAGTAAGCAGATGAGGTTAAAGTACAGGCCAAATATTAAAACCTTAGATGTGCTCTCCATTTTTAGTTATCGTTGGTAACATATAAAGAAGCCACATTTTAAACTTTTTACTCAGGGAAAAAGTATTCTTAAATTTATTTTCTTGAACTTAAAGTACACAAATTTAAGTTCTTAAAATCGAGATTACTGTGGCGTAACTACTTCCGTCTCTACAAACCAAATCGTATCCACTGATCAAAATCACTTCATTTAGAACATCAAACTCGAGACCACTTTTGTCTTGATTTTAAAAAAGTTTCTTTGAAAGCGAATACTCATATTGAGAACTTTTGAGCTTAAACATGGATGATAATATTTTATTATTTCTACCCTAAGGACTAGTAATTAAATTAAATTTATAAAGCAACATGAATCTTTAAGACTTTTCTTTGATTTCCAAAATATTGCTTTGGCTAAGAAAATACTTAGCTTATCTAATTCCCAAACTATCTGTTTTTTTTCCGGTGCAGTCACATGGTGATCGAACGGACGACGAGATGCGCGACTGCGACTCCGTGGATGGGGAGCACCATCAGCTGAGCGCCAAGGCGGCGATTGCGGCCCGCTTAAGTCACACAGTTTCCGGCGGAGGAGGGAACTTCGCCAGTCCCGAGCCACAGACCGAGTTGCCCCTGAGGTGAGTGACTGCTCCTGATTAATGTCCTCGATGCGGAGGTGCAATAATCCCCATTTTCTCACAGCCATCACCATCAACTGCCGCCAAATCATCCGCTCAACGCTCTGGGCAGCTTCATGGGCATCGGCGGTCTACACAGCATTCCAAATCTGCAGCACAGCGACGTGCTCGAGAAGCTCAAGATGCAGGTGCGCGACATGAAGGTGGGACTGATGGTGAGTGTCTATAATATAGTGTAATAGATGATATGATAATACAAGTTGTAAAAAACATTAGCCAAAAATATCTTATAAAAGAGAATAGTCTAGCCCTACAATAGTTTTGATTGATATATAGTTCAACACTCTACAGTTTTTGGATAAGATCATAATAATTACAATATCAATATAGCACTTTTTTATAATAGAAATAGTTCTTGTATTATTTTTAGATATTTATAATTTTAAAAATCAAAATAAACTGATTGAGTGTGCCTTAAAATGATTTATGTAAAACAGATTGATCCTTGTATTTATTGTAACAGATTTGTTGTTTGGGCATATTATTGACTTGATATTAAATTATTGCTTGGGAAAAAAACTTAAAAATTATCCAAGATTTGATTTACTTTAAAAACTGAAAATGTACAGAGAGTATGTGAGTTTTAACTCCAAATTGTAAAGTTGTTGGAAAACAATTCCCCTGATAAATCTGATATTTTAACCCCAGGAACAGGATTACGCGGCTGCAGCTCATGCGGCGGCTTTCGGAGCCAATATGCTGCCCACGACCATCAGCTCGGGATTCCCGCTGCCCCACAACTCGGTGGCTGCGGCGGCGGCGGCTGCCTCCTTTGGCCACGTGACCTCGGCGCCCAGTGGCGGAAACGGGAATGGGAGCAGCTACAACGGAGGCACCACCACCACGCCCAGCTCCAATCCGGCCACAACCAATGGCGGTGGCAACAGCGGACCAGGAGGAACCGGAGGATCCGGCGGAGGTGGAGGAGGAGGTGGAGGTGGAGGAGCAGGTGCCCACCAGTTCTCGTTTGCATCCCCCACAGCAGCGCCGAGCGGCAAAGAAGGTTGGTATCTAATCTATCGCGTGGCAGCCGGCGATCCATTTGTGTTGTTAACTGTTGCACTCAGCCCGCCACTTTGCAGCCAATTCCGCATCCAACTCGTCGACGTCCAGCGAGGCCTCCAATTCATCGCAGCAGAATAATGGATGGAGCTTTGAAGAGCAGTTCAAACAAGTCAGACAGGTTAGTAAGTTACTGGAGGAGGAGTAGAGGGGGTTCGGGTTCGAGTCCAGGTTCAGTCAATTGAAATCGACAAAACTGTGTGTAAACAAGATGCAGGCAAGCTATCAATTAACGACTAATAGCCAGTCGCAGTCCATTGGGAGAGCATCTTAACCCATTCCCATTCCTTAACCATACCCAATCCCAATCCCAATCCCACCTGGCCAAAGGGGCTCGAAACCAGTTGGAAGATGCTGCAAATCTCGTTTCGGATCGGCACGGTTTATGTTAGTGCCGCCTTGAGGCGTTCCAGGCGATACGATAGTTCCGGTTTGCAATTGAGCAATTAATGAAGCCCCTTTTCCAGGGCGTTAATTTGGTGAGAAAATGCGATGGCTATGTGTAGCATCCCCCGGCATGTGAGGTCCAGATGCGATGACCAAGAGCAATTAGTAGGCCCAAAATCCCAATCCCCTCGCATTTTCGTATTTCTCGAGAGCAGTGCACAATTTTAGTTTGGTCCGGTCATTAAATGTGGTTGCCAAAATCGAGATACAGATACATATGGGCACTGTGTGAACCTCGACAGCTTTTGGCTCGGGTTTTTGGTCTGGTTTGGTTTGGTTTCGTTTGACTCGTCTCGCTTGGGCCATAAAAACCGAATTTCGATTAACTTTAAATGCTCTCACTCCCTTTCGGCCAGCGAGCTATCCATCAAACGGAGCCCGCATTCTCTATGCACTATAAAAACTTTGACCCTCGCAATGCAATGCAAAAGATACTTATGTATCTCGCGGCTGTGGCTATGTATCTGTAACTTCACGCTTAACACCTTCGCTTACACCGTGTGCGGGGCTCTTGAATGATGATGATGTGCTTGCAGAAACCGGCTGGGAAGGTATACCTATATATATATATACCTATATCTCCCCCTATCCCACCTCCAACTTGCTGTTTTTTCTGTAGGTGTCGAATAAATCCCTCGCCGCACATTCAAAATGGCTGTTTCGCTCTTTCATTAATTGTGGAAACGAGACGAAACGTTAATTATGTTAATTGAAGCGATAGCTGCGACTATGAAAAAGGCCATTTTGAAAGAGTATCGCACAGATACGTTCATTCATTCGCCGGCTACTCAGCCACTCAGCCATTTGCCTTTCCTTTCCCCAAATTCAAATACAAATACAAAAACGCTCTGATTTTAGTTCTCAGTCTTGGCCATCAGTCAGATAGTCAGCCAGTCACCCAGTCAGCCATCCATCCATCTATCTATCTATCTTTATATCCATCCATCCGCAGACGAAGACAACAAGTAAAACAAAAATATTATTTTTGGTACATTTCGCTGCTCATTTCTTGTATTATATAGTTTCTTTCTGCGGCTGCTCTGCTCTCATTAATCAATGTCAATTATCTGTACGTACTGAATAATTATGTTTAATTATAGACCCCAAAGCATTTTCCAATAATATTCTATATTTTATTTCTTTGTACTTAATTCCTAAGGCAGAAAATGTATAGATGTGGACTTGCTGAAGAATTCAATTGTGGGGATTGTGCAATTTGCTTTCAATCCAAAGTTTTTTTGGCGCGTGTTTTGCCTTTTGCAATTAGCTGTTCGACAATTCACTTAGTCATCGTTGGGCTAACGTTCTAAATTCTTTTGAATGGATAGGGAAAAAATACAAAGTAGGAATTTGCCATTTTTATAAATTTGGTTACCATGCTGAAAGCATAAAACATAATTAACAATTTTCTCAATACCTTTAAAGAAGTTTATCTTTAATTTGCAGTACTTCTGTATTTTCCAACAAAATATTCCCAAAGTTAAATTGATATGAAAATCAGAACAACAAATTAGTAATAATTTTATTTAAATAAAAGTTTTAAGAAAATTTTTTTGTATCCTTAATACATGTTAATAATTATCTAAAGTACCAAAAATTGCAAGTGCAATGAAAATTTTTATCAAATTGAAGCATCAGCACTATCAAGATTTAATTATAATGAGAAGTTAGAGGATATATAAATTTTAATTGGCATTTATTCACTGTAAATTGTGAAACTTCATTAGCAGACGAATTCTCCAGAAAATTGTAAGAGCCAACAAATGGAATAAATTATAAAACACATCGAAACGGAAAGTCTGTTCAACACGTTTTTCGAGTAATGAGTGTGAAATTCTTGAATAAATATGCCGACAACCTGCAGATGTGAATGTATCTGTATCTTCGAGCTACTTCTGCATTCGGCTCGAAAGATGATGTGTGAGTGCTGGCGGTCGAATTATGCACTCGATACGGCAGGATAACACTTAGGGACCAAAGGCCCTGCAACGGGATCTCTGTCCATATAAAATTTAATGTCCACTGCAGACCTTTTTGCATCCATATGCCCAGGCATCTGTATCTGTATCTGATAGTTATAAATTACACCCACACCCCCGCACCGACACAGAAGCGAGGGCAGGCAAAAGGAATTGATCTGGCGAAAATGCATCGGGAGAATTCCCAGAATCAAGGATTCAAATTTCAAGCACCCAGGCAGCGGATTTGTTGGGCACCAAGACTAGGCGACAAATAAGTGAGATTATTTTTATAACCCGAACCCCGAACCCGGAATCCAGAATTTCGAACCCGAAAAACATGTGTGTGTGCTCAGGCAGCATCTTCGATAGTTATAAAAACGATTATGATTGGTCTACAAAAACCCTGTTAGGGGATAGAATTCCTGTTTCTCTGTTTTATAACTTTATTGCTATGGATTTGGGAGAGATATTGGTAGCGCTTAACGGTTTTGCGGCTGCTGTGATGCAAGTTAGGGATCGGAAAATCGGGAGAGATATTGGAAAATGAGAGGCAGGCACAGGTTTGCAACCCTTGTGTGAAAGCGGGACTTCATTTTATGATTATTAATACCGAATACCCCAGACAGGCAGGCAATATCGCACACAGATACAACACATATGTGTGCCTGTGTGAGTGACTATTCAAATGTGTGCGTGTGGCAGCGGCAGCGACGCAGGCAGCACTTCGATCCAGACTCCTGCCACATATTTAGTTGATAAACGACCTTTGATGGCGTTGCATCGTCGCGTTGATCAATGAGATAAAACCGAAGAAATTGGGTTTTTTGTGCACCAAAAACAAGTGATATATAGTTTTCAAATATACCAAAAGTCGAGCTCAACAAGTGCTAACATGCTTATTTCCGAAGATCAAATACAGGAGGTACAGCCCCTATAAAGTGCAATCAGTGAAAAACAACAAAGCCTTTGAGGAACCAAACCAATCCAGTTGAATTTCAATTAATTTATTTTGTGTTTGGCTCAACCCCGAGCGGTATAAAGCCATATACATAAGGAGTTTTTTTTTTCGCAATGCTCCTATAGCTCTTGTGGGCGTCGAGCATCATAAAAAATATCCCCAGCCCAGCCAGTTTGGGAAAGAAGCTGGCAGGAGGACTCCGTCTCCGTCCAAAGTTGAGGCTTCGAGTCTGACTTGGTTTTAAATCATTTATGCGAGGAGGTGGGGAGGCGAAAGGAGCTGGAGAAGGAGGCAGTTCATCATTCGCATTGACTTAGAATGTGCACCACGGATGGTATAGGGCTTTGGGTCTGGGTCTCCAACTTCACAACTCCAGCTCGGCGCGTTCGTTTCTTTCTTTTTGCAGTAGGCGGAAAGTATGATGAATTCCGAATTTGATGAGTTCACTCCGATGTTGTCATTAATTCTGAACATACTCGTACTCAAGTTGTGACTCGGGTTTTTCCTGCAAGACTTGGTTCCTGGTGGCAAAGGTCAAAGCATGAGCCGCAGGAAAACCGCGGCAGATAGCGATGATAAATAATAATGTATAGATGGCAGATACATATGTATCTATGTATCTCCCCCTGCCCCCTTCCCATCGTGTGTATATTTCTGGCCCTATCTTTATCACCTAATTATCCATTGTACGACTCACGCTCATTGAGTGTTTCACACTTTTACGAAAACCCAAAGGAGCAGGGTTGGAGGTTAGGTCAGGGGATTGGTTCTCTATCAACCCCCAGCAAACAATGGGAAAAACATAAAAGGGAGGGTTCGAGAGCAAGAACGAGCTAACACGCGTCTATTGTTGGCCCAACAAAAGGCCAGAAGTGAGCCAAAACTCCATTTTGTAACAAACCATTGGCCAAAAGAGTCAAGTTGTTGGGTCTTTTGTTGGATTGTTTTGTTATTATTGCACCCTAATATGATTATAATAGCTCGTTTTGTGTGTTATCTTAGATATGAATGAAATAATACTTTGGAAGAGTACAAAGTTGAATTTGAAATGGTTCTTGAAATACAAAATGATATTGTTTTGATATTTCCAATTCTATTATTAGGTGGAAAGCTCTTAACCTCTATAAGGTTTGAAACTTAACAGAATTTCTTATTAAATCTATATTTCTACTTCTCTTTTTAGCTCTATGAAATCAATGATGACCCCAAACGCAAAGAGTTCCTGGACGATTTGTTCTCGTTTATGCAAAAGCGCGGTAAGTTGCATCTTGCATTGAAGTTTTTTGAATGGGCTACCAGGGGTGGTGATGGAGGGGGGTCTATTGGGGGCCATATCTTGAATTTCGAATTTACATATCCCTGGCCCAGATGACGGATTGCTGACTCAGCCAGCCAAGTGTTTTTGGGCTCACTCAAATTATGTTAATTGAATAAATTTCTCGGCACTTTGACGTTTGATTTTGAGGAGTGCGAGGGGGCCAGAGGGGGAGCCATTAAAATATGCAGAAATTCTGGTGAAAAGGAAACCGAGGGACTGAGAAACCGGGAGAAGTAGAGAAATCATTTTGGTGGCTGACTTTTTGTCATTTTGTCACTTCAAATTACTGTCACACTCACACACGAGCAAAGGGGGTACCATATGCATATTGGTACTTAAGTTTTAGAGGCGACTTGCAGCGGCAATCGGAGCAAATGCCTATTTATACATGCGAGTATGCTTTCCTGCACTTTTGTCATTAATTATGGGCATTACCAAATGCGAGGGAAATCGGTGGCGTGCACCCAATACTGCTAATGCCTGCCGTGACTGTACTTTTCCCAATAAATTACACTTCCTGTTGGCATTCCAAGTGCAATCATTAAGCGTCCTGTGGAACCCTTTAAATGTTGGGTGGAGTGTGTTTGCCACCATTGCCTGAAGGCCAACTTGAGAGGGCATTAAATTTGTTTGTATTTGCACAAGTAATATTCCTGAAGAATTGTAGGAGCTCTACTGTTGACCCACGGCAAACCTTTATAGAGGGAGAATAGTGTAAAAAGTTTAAATAAATTTAACAACAACAAGAAATGTTTTATAATTTTGTAACCAAGTGAAATTTTTGATGTATTTTATATTAGTACTTTTAAAATTTAAATTGATTTGAGCATATTGGTAAGCGAAATTACAATTTAGTAACAATTTATAACCTATCCAATTGTGAAATGAGTGCTTTTTTATGAATACCTAAAAAAGTTTATTCAATCTTTATAGCTTTCAAAATGTATACTTTCAATAGCATAGATTTAATTTTGTTCTTGATATGATTTCTGAATACCTTACCTTAATTCCTTGAATCATGAAATATTTAAACGATTCTTAAAATTATAGCGCATAGGAGAATATATATTTCTGTAGGAATTTCGCACACAAATGTGAAAAAAGTGAGAAAGGAAAGAATAATTTCGCAATCCAAATACAATTTTGTTTCATGCATTGTTTATTTATTTTATGTAATTCCGTATAAGTTTCATACAAAGTATATTAAAAATCTATGCTTTGAATAAACACACTTACACATCTATAGATGCGTAGAACATCTCTGGGGCTTGACAACTTAATGGATTTTAATCTGTCACATGCGTTCAAGTTTTGACATATGCATGCTCACCCGTCGCGGTCACTGTAAAGGGGGTTTATTTTTTGGGGGCTGGGACAGGGACAGGGCAGGGGCGGAGGTGCAGGACGGGGAAAGGGGGTCGCCTGGGGGAGACTGTCTAAAGTGTCGTCCGCCATGAGAGAAGGAAGCACCGAAAAATGCGACTCGGGCCAAAAGTATTTCGTGTCCATATGTCTATAACCGAATGATATTGTACAATTGTACAACTAACTAACGGAAATTATGCCATACATATTTCTATATATAATATTTAGAGGTGTATAAAATAAATGTGGATCGCTTGCCGTGAGATGTTTGTGCAGCGAAGAGCGGCGCAATTCTTAATTAAAAGACGTCAATCACTTATCAACGCGGTCGCTATTTTCGTAAATATTTCCCAGTGCTCAACGCCCGGGCACATCCACCATCTGAGATCTGAGATTCGGTATCCAACGAGATCTGGGAACCCGGGGAGATCTGGGACCCCGGGCCAAATACGACTCCCTCCTGTGCTGCTGGCGTTATGATTTCAGACTCGATCAAGTTTCTTTTAATTTCCATTAAAAACGCCTGACAACTAGGAAAACAAATGCAGCCGAATAAATAAATAGATGTGCGCCCCCAAAAAGAGTTCAGGCTGAAAGCAAACCTAAAAAAAATGTAAAAAGCTGCCAAGAAAAATAATAATAATAAGTCGTCAGTCGGCATGTGCGTGTCGGGAGAAGTAGCGATCGGTTCAGATATTACGATATTCAGATAGGATTGCACCGGGAGCCTTGGGCCCTGGATCTCCGATTTTCGATCCGAGTTTAATGATCGATTCGAGTGACGGGCAGCCCGAGTTGATCATTAAATTGCCTTTGATTATGTGCGTCCTCCCCAGTTTTTTGTTTGTGGCTCGTGCAGCGATCGATTTGGATCCAATCTTTTTTTGCTCTTTGCACATTATAGTGCACACAAATATCCCGACTGGCAGTTGTTCATTTATTTTGTCTTATTCCTTTTTGATACGAGCATCACCTCGCCACTCAATTTGTTTATATGCATAAAAAACAAACGTATTTTCATTCAATCAACACGTCCATCAAAGAGTTTGATTGATTCCTTTCGGGCTCATAAAACACAAGGAAAAAGAAACCGAAAGTCGATCGATCGATCGATCGTTGGATCCATGGGGCAGCAACAGGCATTCGGTGATTTGGTATATGGTATATGGTATTTGGTATTTGGATCGTAAAAAAGAAAGGAGGCCGGGCAGCATTATACAAATTCGAATTACACACGTACAGAGCCAGCAATTATGCAGGTTGATCTGTTTTTTATACCTTTTCGTTTTGGGCCCTAAACGAAATGAAAAGAGTTGGGGATTTTAAGTGCTAAATGCGAAGGGGGTGCTTTAGTTAAAGGATGATATATTATTATGGAAAATTGGTATTTAAAAGTATGTGATTAGGTCCTTAAGTGGACGCAACTTTCTTTACTATTTGATCTTGTCCTTAAACTTATCAATATTTATCTTCAAACTTATTAATTTGAATAGAACCTATAACTTAACATATTGACCAGGTACAATTAGTGATTTTTGTCTTGATATTAGAAAGTGCAATATAGAACTCTATTGAAGTTTCTTTCGGTGTGCAATAAAAAGAGGAAAAGCGTTCCAACGGCACGTGAAAATTTGAATAATACAATTTCAATAGCAAATAGAGGCAAATGCCAATGTGTATGATGATGATTAGCTGCCATAAACAGATCAACATATGTACAAACATGTGTATATGGCAGAGTACAGTAGTATGTGTTTCGAATCGGGCAACAATTAGGATTTATTTCAGTTTTTATCGGCTTCGGTCTGCACTTTTCAGCTGCTACCGGGGCTACAAGTGTTAATTGCTTCGTGATCGATGAGTGGGAGTGGGATCGTTGGTACTGCTGCAAGCGGGGGAATCTCTGCACTCTATGGGCAAGATAAATCTGTTTTATGGATCTTTAAATCGTGTTTTGCTTGTTGGTGCATTTAACGAGCTGGATGGAAAACATTGCCAAGTGCAAGAACAAGTTTCAGAGCGCAAACAACTGAATTGGGATTCGAATGTGTAGTGTAGTAAACCCTATTTCCAATCTATCTATATATTGCAGGTACGCCGATCAATCGGCTGCCGATTATGGCCAAATCGGTGCTGGATCTCTACGAGCTGTACAATCTGGTGATTGCCCGCGGCGGTTTGGTGGATGTTATCAACAAGAAGCTGTGGCAGGAGATCATCAAGGGGCTGCATCTGCCGTCGAGCATCACCAGTGCCGCCTTCACCCTGCGCACCCAGTAAGTGGATATACCCCTCAATCCCTTCGATCCCATCCTATCCACCGGTGGTTACCTGCCACGTTGAGCTATGTCCAAGACAAACACAAACACCATCAGCAATGCAAGATGCGGGGCAAACAGAAACCGAAACGGACAATCAAACATTGCAGCGATCAAGCAACAATCGATCAGTGATTCTCTCTCTCTGTGGGATCGTGATTTGTTTGCCTGTCGCTTTCGTATTTACACGATAATTCAACTTAAACAGGACATCAACGTGGAGTTTACTCCGGTGCATCTCCCTGGGCAGCAAAGACATCGCATGTTTGCCGCGCTTATTAATAATTTTATGCATCTCGCATCTTGCAGATACATGAAGTATCTGTACCCGTACGAGTGCGAGAAGAAGAACCTCAGCACGCCGGCGGAGCTGCAGGCGGCCATCGATGGTAATCGCCGGGAAGGACGACGCTCCAGCTACGGGCAGTACGAGGCCATGCACAGTCAGATGCCAATGGTAAGCACTCAGGATTTTTAAGATCTTTTATAGGTCAAGCAATACCTGGTACTCATGTTCGTATCTCCCCCGCCATAGACGCCCATTTCGCGACCCTCTCTGCCGGGTGGCATGCAACAAATGTCGCCTCTGGCTTTGGTCACCCATGCCGCCGTGGCCAACAATCAGCAGGCAATCAACAATGCCGCCGCCGCAGCAGCCCATCATCGCCTGATGGGTGCTCCGGCCTTTGGCCAGATGCCCAATCTGGTCAAGCAGGAGATCGAGAGCCGGATGATGGAGTATCTGCAGCTGATCCAGGCCAAGAAGGAGCAGGGTATGCCCTCCGTGCTGGGTGGCGCCCATCCCCACCAGCAGCAGCAACAGCAACATCAGCAGCAGCAACACCAGCAGCAGCAGCAACATCAGCAGCAACAGTCGCACCAGCAGCAGCAACATCACCTGCAGCAGCAGCGTCAGCGATCCCAGAGCCCCGATCTGAGCAAGCACGAGGCACTCAGTGCTCAGGTGGCTTTGTGGCACATGTACCACAACAACAACAGCCCACCGGGATCGGCTCACACATCGCCGCAGCAACGGTAAGTCCAAACATTGATTCAAGTCTGATTGCGATCACTGGTAGATTTGCAAACGACGATTGCCAAATGTTTTCATTAGCCATAAGTGGGATTGAACCCCCTCCAACTGGTTTTCACTTTTGCTTTCCTCTGTGCTTAAAATGCGTTAAGAAAATAGTATTTTATATTGATTTTTCCTTATATTACTGAAAGATTGTCTATTGATAATTATTTTGATATCCCTTAAATGAAATGTTATTTTTAAATCAACAAGAAATCAAGCCAACCTCGGTAATTAATAATGTGTGTGTTTAATAATGATACAGATATACCCTCTCCAAGGGTACAAAACCGCCATCTAGACACCTGGCGCCATCTACCTCTCAATGCTGCTGAGAATAGCTATAAAAGTGCCCTCTGCTTAAAATGAAAACTATTCAGCAAAGACTCTAACCATTATCGTTTCTCTCCACTCTCCATCACAGCGAAGCCCTGAACCTATCCGATTCGCCGCCAAATCTCACAAATATCAAAAGGGAACGCGAACGGGAACCCACGCCGGAGCCCGTGGACCAGGACGACCAGCCCCACCAGCCGCCTCCTGCCAAGCGCGTGGGCAGTGGCCTCCTGCCACCCGGCTTTCCCGCCAACTTCTACCTGAATCCCCACAACATGGCCGCCGTGGCAGCTGCAGCGGGATTCCACCATCCATCGATGGGCCACCAGCAGGATGCCGCCTCCGAGGGCGAACCGGAGGACGACTACGCCCACGCCGAGCACAATACCACGGGCAACTCGTCCTCCATGAACGATGACAGCGAGCCGCAGCAGATGAACGGACATCACCACCACCACCACCAGAGCCACCAGCTGGACAAGTCCGACGACTCGGCCATCGAGAACTCGCCCACCACATCCACCACCACCACTGGTGGCTCGGTGGGTCATCGCCACAGCTCACCCGTTTCCACCAAGAAGAAGGGCGGCGGTAAGCCCCAGAGCGGCGGAAAGGATCTGCCGGCCGAGGACAAGGATACGCCCTCCACTGGCAAGCTCAATCCCCTCGAGACACTGAGCCTGCTGTCCGGCATGCAGTTTCAAGTGGCAAGGAATGGTGAGTTAATTGGGATGAATTCGAAGGGGGATGGGGAAGGATTTAAAGGATTTATCCTAGACATGTGTAGGGACTATGCAATTTTATTTTGTATTTATTTAAAATCACAAAAGGGACTTTTTTTATTGGAAAAGTATTTATAATCAGAATTCACTTAAGGATTTATCCCAGAAATGTGTAGAGATTATTGCAAATTAAAATATTTTTTAAATATTTAAACACATTAATTTAAAAACCTTATCCTTTCCAGGAACTGGCGATAACGGCGAACCGCAGTTGATTGTGAATCTGGAGCTCAATGGCGTCAAGTACTCGGGCGTGCTGGTGGCTAATGTGCCGCTGTCCCAGGGCGAAACAAGGACGAGCTCACCCTGCCACGCAGAAGCACCCGCCAACGAGGAGGAGCACGACGAGGAGGAGCCGCCGAAGGCCGCTGAAGAGGATTCGGAGTCCCATCGATCGCCGGTCAAGCAGGAGAACGAGGAGGCCGACCAGGACATGGAGACCAGCGAGGTCCTTGTGAACGGAGGCGCTGCGGCGGGGGCTGGTGCTGCTGTCCCCTTGCTCAAGGATGCCGTGGTCAGCTAGAGAGGAGGATAACCGGACGGCAAGGAAAGGATAGGAATACCAAAGTCATATTTTTCAGAAAAATACAAAAGCAGTTCAACTCACAACACACAAGCACACAGATGCCGAACCCAAATGTACATACACACGCGTGCGGCAGGAGCACAGGACAAGGAGCACAGGAGCAGGAGCAGGAGCAGGAAGGATGTGGCCATTGTGGAGGCCAGGACAAGAAAAGCGCATTAGGCGCAGTGATGTCCACACATACCTATAATATGCAGCATTCATTCAGCACCCGTCCCCCAACCGAAACGCCGCCAGTAGAGGATCATACAAGTATATATATTACAAAGCCTATATATATGGGATACATGTGTGCTCTATTTCCACATTTGCATAAAAGACAAGCCAGCGAGCGTGCAGTTATCGATAGCCATTACTTACATAAGCGAGTGCATCACTTCGGATACATACAAATATACAACCAATATACCCGTATATATATGATATATGAATTAGGTTACGAGTCCCACAAAACCAATTTGTTTTTAGCGTGAAATCTGTTTTATCCTCCTACGAACTTTTCCCTTTTTTTGTGTTAGGCTGCAAGGCTTCTGTACATATCAATCAATACTTAGCTCGTAGACCCATATACTATATATTATATACTATATATATTATCGGAACCTAGTCTGTAAGAACACATTCACACATCAGCAAGCATACACACACCGCTAACACACTTGCATATCCATTATGACCGCATCGTAGACATATTTTAGACATAAAATCAACACAAGTAATAAGCATAAATGTATCTGTCGTAAAATTAAATTGCGCTTTTGGCACCCACACACGATTTCGAATTCGATTTCCAGCCGCAATTTCAACATAACAACATAATAATTACTCCAAAGCCAAGTGGATGGAAAGTGGCGAGCCACAACAACAAATTGATGAGCATATTCTAAGCATAAGCGTTCAATTTATTGAGTAATAATAAATCTATTTAATTTTAGTTTAATACGCATTCGAATCTTTGATGGCCCCTGGCTAATTAACGAACTTGGTCGGGGGCATGTACATATAGTAATTCCTTAGGGCTGAGAATAAGTGCCCGGGCAAACAGTATAAAAAGCACTTAAACCGGAAAACCATATATTTTGGTTTTTCTTCTTCGTGTTGTAAAACGAAAACATATTCTTGGCCCTGCCTTTGTTTTTCTGTTGTCTTTCGAGCCGCCCCCAAAAAAAATTTGACATGGCGAAAAAGTCATAAACACACAGAAGGGGCCGTAGATTATCATTATCATCATTGGAGGCAGCCCGCAAAATGCACACCAAACAAAGTGATGAAAAGCAAATGTTGTTGGAAACAATGGATGCGTGAAATTGTTCGCACCCGGAGGGCTGCGTTTAGCTTACCTTTCCCCACTTTCCCCCGGTTTTTCCCAGCCTTTCCTCGGGAATCCTGGCCAGGTGAGGTCGAGTGCTAACTACATTAATGCATAATGTGGTGGCTGGGCTGCGCCGTGGAAGGATGTGAAGGGAGCAGGATTCGGACCCATCAGCCTAATGACTTGCGTACACCGGACGCAGCCTGGCCGAAGGACCTTGATAAGTGGCAAATGCGTTTAGGGCCTTGGCCATAAACTGCTAAAGCTGGAAAGGGCTGTACGTAGACACGCCTGGAGCTTAAATTCCTGGTATTCCAAATCCAAGGCTACTGCTAAAAGTCGCCCAAAACTACTTAAATTATGAAGATGCATTTAAGCCTGTTTGACTAAAACACATTTAAAGTGCAGCACTTTAAACAACAATCAAATTGTCTCAATATGCAATGAAGGATGGAATATTAGACAGTAAGTTTGTAAGTTGTGGGCCTTATTTATGACCAATTTGGCGTTACTAAATCTTTAAATAAATTTTCATAGTTCTACCAAATTTAAGGGTGATAATAAGATTATCTTAGGCGTTACTAAAGCTTTCATTACAATTTCTTAGTTCTATTAAATTTACCAAATTCAAGGGTGATAATGAGATTATCTTGTTCTTCCCCCAATGACCATATCCAGGCTTTAATCACTAACATCAATCAGAAATCATGCGAATTTCATCCCTATTTTACCCGACTATCCCCTTACATAAAATTGAATATCAAGGACCTAATTAGTTTAATGCGCCTGGGTACAGATTGAATTTAATCTTATTCTAAGCCTAATCTTCGAGTAAATCCCAAGTCCAAAAAGCAACATAAACAGGTAGAAAGATTCTTGTTATCTCATTGGTAGCACAAAGCAAGGTAAATATCCTTAGTGCCATTGTATTGGCCCTATATTGAGTCAATTTGGTTTGGCATTTCAATAATTTTGATTAAGCATGCGTTCAGGTTGCACTCGGTATTACGGTTCCAATTAGTCGTCACATTTGTCACATATTGCTTTTGCAGTTGCAAATTAATTAACCTGAATGGAAATAATAATGCCTGCTGTTAGCCCTTGGTTCAAAGCCACAATAAATAACGAAAAAATCAAAAATAAATTATTCAAAGGAAACCGTTCACGTGTTGAATGTGCTCAAATTGACCAACTAATCAGGTCCAAGGTCCGGCCTCCTGCTCATAAATCGTTTGTATTCTGGCCCAGGGGTATTTTATATTTGCTGCCTGACAAAGAAAAGAATGAAAAACATTACAGAAATTAGCCGAAAAGAATGGCAGGAAGTCGTCGCTGACGCCAGGGAAATATATTTGTGTGCGGGCCCCAGAATTCTGCTGTTCAAGCTCAAATTAAAGGCCAATAATACAGTAATAAAGTCGGCAGCCAATCGACCTATGGACCACCTAAGCCAAGCCAAATCGAATCACCCAGACGCACGCACAAACGCACCTTGACAGGCCGCGCTTAAAAGTATTTATAAATTTTATATAATGTGCTCCCAGCGAGCGAGATACATCGCCATCCCCTGCGAGATGTACAGACGAGGTCAATAAAGTAGTTCCGAGGTCCTGTAACCAAGTGTGTTTTTGGGGCCAATGGGAGCTTTATCGAACTATCGATACGTTTAAGGGATCATTATATAAACAATTTTTTAAGATATAGAACCAAACATTTTAATTTTAAGCTTTAATAATCGTGCTTTTTAAAGGGGTTATTACAATAAAATAATTTTACTACGAGTTTTTGGAATCAATAATAATATTATCATTTTGTTTTGATATATTCTAAATACCATGAAATATTCTGAATTTATTGAGAGTAAAAACTTGTGTTCTTCAAATTGTATAAAGATACCTTTTAATAAAATTCCTTTTTTGCATACTTAAATATTTTATGACATTCTATAATCAACATTTTCGGATATCTAAACTTTGTACAAAAGATAGTAATTTAGTTAGTAGTACCACCGCACCGCCAATAAATAAGCCAAACCAATATAAAATAAACCAAACAACTTATTTATAAGCTTAGAGTTCCTATTATCCCGCCCTGCACTGTATATATGAGGTATGTACTGTACATAAAGTACGACGGCTTGCCCTTTTTGGCGTCGAGCGGGAAGTAACCTCTATTATTTACCAATACAAACTAAGCTTTAAAAAGAAATGTAAAATTACCCGAAGCGCCAGCTGGTTGGAGCGGGGGCTAGATGGTATAGGGGGTTCCTTGGCTCCAGACAAACATGTGTATAATGTGTTTAATACAACAATTGTGTGGCTTTTTAGTACGCCGCGTGCTGTGAGTGTGTGTGTGTGTAGGCCCTTGCGTATCTGTGTCTCACAAGCAACAGTTGTTTTTAGCGGGATTTTGAGGAGCATAAAAGCTGTTTTTGCAGCAGCGACGCCTGCGCCTTGGAGCGGTATGTTGCCTACTTTTGCGGGCTGGCCAGGTGATTGTGGCCATTCATCCCCCTGGATGAAGCTCCCCACCCTTGTCGGGGCGAGCTTTTGGTATCTCAACATTTGGCGGGCATGCAACAAGCGTGTTGTATCCGTATCTCTGTGTGTCTGTATCTGTATCCGTGTATCTGTATCTGTGTATCTGTGTATCCGTACACACATATTTGCTCAGCCTCAGCTGCGACTCCTGCTCAACATAAGCGCTCGGCTAAAAAGCACGAGGATGCGGAACGAAACGAGCCACACTCGACTTATGTACCATTTCGCACACTTGAGAGTTTTTAGTTCGGTTTCGGCAGAATTGATAGATACACGCAGCTCTCGCACCGCGCACAGCCAAATCCATATAGATATAGATACACATACCGATTTCGTCCCGCTTTGCTGGCCCAAAACCAAAATCAACTGGCCTGCGTTTCTCTATCTAGTGCCATCGGCCATCGGTTAAAGCCAGAAGCTGAAGAGCCGCACGCTTCCAGTGGGAAAACATTTCGCCAGTGAATGCACGTTGATTTTTTTTATCGGTCCGCAATTGTGATTTACCATACATACAGCACAGGGCACGGAAAATTAACCACCGAACTGGAGTGAACTGAAACGGAAATCCGAGGCGAATTAAACTTGGTTTTTTTTTCCCGGAGATTCAACGCAACTTGAGGCTTTGTTATAGGCAGGTAAAACACTATACCCCTCATCGAACTTAAAGCTGTGTGTATATTCCGGCAAGTACCAGGAATCCAAGTGCAAACAATGGTGTTTCCATATACGATGCTTTCACAGAAATCCCGACGGTTGGCCATTAGTTTCTGGTTCCTGGCTAATTGATAGAGGCGACTGGTGCTGACTGATAGGGGCACTTGGCCAGGACGAAAGCAAATGCAATTACAATTACCCCAAAAGAACAAAGAGGGAAGCAAAAATCCCATTGCTCATATAAGCTCATCAAGAAGTGCTCATGTGTACGTGCGATTGTGTTTGTGTGACTTTGCCGGGGGCTCATTCTTTCTATGAAGCTGAATTCTGGGATTCTGGGTTCCCCGATTGCGTGCAGACTCCATCTGGTGTACAAGCATTCGCCCGGGGGTTTTGGGGTCGGTCAAAGCCGTTAATGGAACGTCCAAAACGGCGATCCTTCGTTCTGTCAATTTGCCTGGGAGCCCGAACCCCCCCATGTCTTCGACTGGAAAGTACCACCTTCAATATCCCATATTTGTTTTTGCTCCTAAAGTTGGGAGTAAGTAGTGAGTGAGTGACTCACGGGCTCGCGATTTATTTGGGTCAGCTTATCTTACGATGCTATAAATGATTCATTGGCTTCCGTTTTTATATTTTAGTCCAGCCAGTCGTAATCTGCAATGTTCTGTAAACAATTGTTTGGGGACTAATTTGCCTTAATGATGTTATAATTTCAGTCATTAAGGGAAGCGGAATCGCGAAATGAAGCTCTTTAGTTTACAGCATAGTTAATTGAAATAATGACTTTGGAATAACCATTAAAAGAGCAACCAGAAAATAACAATTTTGCAACTTTAATCGAAAAACCATTTTAAAAAACATTAAAAGAAATGATGTTCAAAGGAAACGTAATAAACAAAACGGAATCGAGAAAGGGTGCTATCAGATTTACAGCTTAGTTAATTGAAATAAAGTTTTTGTAATGACAATTTAAAGTGCAATAAATAAATTTTACCTTTTTACACTTTAAAATTAGGAGATACTTTTGAATTATCAAAAGATAATATTTGAAAATATTTCGTTTGAAACCTTCAAGACTTGCTTTTTAAAAACGTATCTTCCTTTTCTGTGAATAACTGTATTCAAACTTTACTAAATTCATTTTGTTTTTATCATATCAAAAATAAACTAATTGTTTAATCATCAATCTCGAAATATGTATAATTTTTGAAAGAATCTTCTCGTTTAAAAAAACTTTTTTCAAATAAGAAAATAAGTCTTAATCGACTTAAAATATAGGAATTTTTCCTTGGTGACTCAAGGTCTGTAAAGCCATATTTGTTTTTGCAAGATAATAAAGTTTATGAAAGTGCGGAGCTTATATTTATGCTGGTCGCTTTCCAAAAAGTATCTTTGAAGTCGATCTATCGTTAGTCACGCGCTCAGCTCCAGTGAAGAGAGAGCTCGCTCTCCATGGGGCTCTCTCGCCGCTTTGATTTCTTTTCTTTGGGGCCCGCGGCTCCGGCTCTTCGCTCTCCGGGGCTCTCGGGGCCTCTCCGCTCCGCGATTCTGTGGCGACTTCTGATTCTTTCGGGTCGGATCGTACTGCCTGCCAAGTTCAGATACAGATACTAGTACTCGCACTCGCACTCGTACTTCTCCTCGACTGTCGCTTGTCGCTCGTTCGCTGAATTTTTGTATCTCAGAGATTGTTTTAGTTTTAGTTTTCCTTCCACATTTGATTCTTCTGTGTGTTCGCGTTCTTCTGGCCTCTGGGCCTGCCTTCATTGCCATTGTTTCTGTTTCGGTTCTGTCTCTGTTGAATTTCGTATCGTATCGTATCGTATCGCTGAGCGAGAAATCAGTTTGACGTTTTGCTTTGACAAGCAACCGTCGTCGATCGGGGGATCGTGGATCGCGGATCGCCGCTGAATCTCGTGAATCTTGGGCGTTCTTTTCTCGCCGTCGCCGGTCGTGTTTTCTGAGCAGAATTTCCACTGGCCGTAAGCGGTAGTATACCACCCAAAAGTTGCCCGAGTCCAAGTTGCACCACCCGCTGACCAGCGGCGCACCCGAAAAATATTTAGTTATCTCCGTGGCCGCAATAATCGACAATCATATTCCCCCGATTCCCCCGATTTGTGATCAATATATAGGTACTAGTGTGTGTGTTGTGTGTGGTGTGCCATATATTGGGGGTGCGTGTGTATTGTTCAGATTGAGTGTTGGCAGCAGCAGCGGCCGTAAATGTGAGCCAATTGTATCTGAGAGATACAGATACGTTGGCGGTGTTATCGCCGCTACTGCTGCTCCTACTGTCGTGACCGCGCTATTGTTATTATTTTTAATGCATTGAATTTGAGTTTTGCAGTTTACAATTCGGTGTATCCATATAATATATATATATATATAATATATATGGTCGATATATAGAGTCGCGATTGTACATATTTTGTTGTACAATATCTTGTGCGTCAACAACAACATCCGTTCTATGAACGTGACCCCCGCGCATTAAAATAAATTCTAATTTGTGGAAGAAAAGAGCAGCGACGAAAATGTTTTGTTATTGTTGTTGCCATTGCGATGGGGCAATATTTATTATGAGTGCGTGTGTCTGCCCATTGTGTTCATGTGTATTTGTTTAATTTATATCTAGAATCTAGAGTCTAGAGACTGATATAAATATTAAAATAAAAAAGAGAAAAGAAGAAGGAATACGTATACGTATATAAAATATCAGAAGCAACAGGCGGCGAGGCAACAACTACCAGCTAAACGACAAATTTTTGGTTTCGGTACGTCAACAGATAATGTATTGTATATGTACTTAAGTTGGACATACATTTTTCGGGGGCATTCGCTTAATTTGCGGCCATTCTCTGCCTACACGGGTTTACACAGGCCCAAAAGATACAAATCAGTGGGTGATGGGTGCTCTCCGTCAAGGAATACATATATCCTTAAACCCCCAAGCAAAATACACTAGCCACCTTGGAAGTGTCAACGTCTGGTCTTTGCCCTCCAAAAAAGATCATAAAATTAAATGAAACGAAGCAAAATAAAATTGAAATGGAAATTTTCATGCATCTGGCGTCGCGAAAACATTTTGCAGTTTCAAATTTTTAATTTAACTAACTCACCTGACTGACGACTGACGACGACTGACTTCTTATAGGCGCGACGGAGGCACATAAAAATCGCTTAAAATGTTGTGGGGGGCTGCAGGTGAGCAATGATGCCCATATTGGCCATAAACAATGTGAAAAATATCATTTCGTACTTATAAACAAGCGGCGATAAGTTTGCAAATTGCGTTCGCATTTCGCTTTTCGTGTTTTGCATTTTGCATTTCGACGCTGCCAAACTTGAAAACTTTTTTTATACATTTTTTTTTTGTTCGTCGCTTGCTAGTTTTTATTTCGGCCATATCCCGCGTGGACTGACCCATTTCGTCGATTATCTAATGGCTGTTGACTATATATACACACTCGCATATACCTAGATTTCTTTTCGTTTTCACTATCTATGCGATAGGCTGTCGCCCAATCAGTTGGCTGGCTTAATTAATTCTCGATTTTAACTGTTTATTAAAATGGATTGTTGGCGCTGGCAGAGGTGCCTGCCATTGTTAACAGCAAATAAATCCGAGCTGCTCGCGTGCATACTGATTGGGAGTTTCCAAAAGGTACGCCTGAAATGTTTATTATTACTGGGGTTATGCAATGCCACCCACTTTCGCCTCCCACTCCCCCCGAACCACCCACTCGTAACCCCAAAAGTGCCATAGAGTCTGCAGTTCGTCCAACTTTATGCTCAATGTTTGCAATGTGCCATTTGATTATATGTACTTGTATTGTCAACTGGGGCAATCATCTATACAGCTGTAGTGCCCTCTCTTTCGTTTACGAGCACTCGGTCTCCTTCTAATCTTCCAGGTTGCGACACTAACACTACTTTTTCCCTGCTCACCCATCCCATCTCCATTTTGTTATATCTCACTTGAGATCGGCATTTGAAATGCAAATATCCAACTGAAGCAAACTCTTTGAAACAGCCGGAAAAGTCCCCACAGATATTGTAAGCAGTCGTGATACATATATATCCTCCCGTATACCTATGTATGTTGGGGCGCTCTTTCATGTTCATGTTATTAATTAGGCGGGGTCCAACCTTCCGCCTGTAAGCGATTAGTAGCTGTTCCATTGTGAGGCCCCAAGGCCCCCGATCTCGAGGATGCTACGGCCATATAGCGGACACTTGTGACGCACGTTCTGAACATGAAATTCATCGCAAGACCACCGGCAAGGTTGTCCATGCTTGGAGGACACACACGAGATAATAATGGGCCATTACGTTCTATATGGATCTACCCCATGGCTGCCCTTTTTGGAAAGAGAAGTCCATAGTCGCGAAACGTTTCATTGTTGCCACAGTTTTTAATTGGTTTTTTAGAGGGTTCTGATATATATTTTTGAATAAACTAATCTCATTTAAAATATATTGATATGATATAACATTTTTAAACACATTTCTGTTACTATTAACTTAGGTTTTTAATTCTTCTTAAAAATGGCTGAGAATTAGACAGTCTACTATGCTTTATTCCATCATTATTAAAGTGCAACAACATTAAAATATTTGAAAACATTTTATTCAAGCCCTCAATTGAAAAACTAATAAAAGGGTGAAGTGTGTATTTTTTGTTGCCGCATTTCCTAATTAACTTACAACTGATTTTCTAGCTGTTTATTTTGGGAAGCAGTCTTGAATTATGGCAGGCCGTAAACTTAAATACTCCATTTCAACACCTGACTTCAAGTCAAATTAGGCACTTGTAATGGATCTCCGTAGACTATACATTATTCGCCATTTGTTTATAGTAGGCGATCGGATTCCGATTCCAATTCTGATACCGATTCGGATTCGGATCAGTGTGTGCATGAAAAGTAAACAGAAAGCCGATGCCGAGTGATCGGCAGCTGCAAAACATCAGCGGGCAAAAACTATTAGATACAAAATTGCTCGAATGCGCTGCCCCATGTTCCATAGTCATCTTTATTTTTTGGTCTCGGCCAGCTTTCCTATATGGCCCGGCTCCGGCTGCCAAATACCAACGTTCTCGAGTACATATTGGTAGGAAATTCTATTAGGGGGCCTCTCGCACACAGGCGTCCTGATGATGCTATTATCCGAGTACCCACAAGCACCTGCATACTAATAGCTTCGGGCTCGGGCCAAACATCCGTGACTGGCTGCATCTAATGAGTTGACGTTCGGGGACTGGGTACTATGGATTGGGGACAGGGAACAGGGAACCGGGAAAAGGGACCGCTAATAGAATTTGGCACTCCTTGGCACTCGAGCTTTTAGTTGCATACCGAGAGGCGCCGAGGCGCCGCACAGGAACTCGAGGCCCCGATTATACGGCATGGCCTGGCAACGGGGCGGCTGAGCAATTGCAACTCGGCCTCCTTCTCGTTCTAAACAAATTATGTTACGTCCACAGCCTTCGTTATTTATTTGAAAACTTAAATGATGCCGAGTGTACGGCGAAAGGCATTACTTGTTCATTTTAATATGGTCGGGCTAAAAATAATTTGTTTAAATCAACAAACACACCATAGACTGATGTGTGTACGCGAAGCTGATTCTCGACATCTCTATTGTAGTGTTCTCATTGCTGGGAATGTGGATGAGTTTGCTTGGAGCTGATTCAGAATCTGCACGGAGAGAAAATAGCTTATGGGAAAGCCGAGACTCAAAATAAATGTGACCTTAGTGTACAAAGTAATTTGGACTTTGATTCAAGAGCAAGGTCACACTAAACGCTTCTTAAGGAGTTTAAGGCAGTTACTTAGGATAAACTGGGCTACAAATTTTCAAATCAAATATTCTTTTATAGCAAATTACCCCTTCTCATGAAAATTCCAAATGGATGACCAATTTCTGTGATATATCTCTCTCTGTACTTATGTTGCCGCTTCTGTTCTTCCTCTCGCCCGTCTTCCTGTGTCTTCTCTTGTGACGCCTTTTGTCTTTGGACCCAACAATGCAAACGGATTCAGACAGTGGGACGACAACAAGTGTCCTTATGGATGAGGATGTGTTTATGTACGAATGCAGATGAAAGACAGCCCTTCCCTTTAGCAAGTCAATCAACGTCGCCGGGGATAAGGACTATCTTTTCCGCCGCACATCCCCCCTCTGGAATTGTTTTTCCTTCCCTAGAGAAGGGACATAAGACATTTCACTCGCAGGAGCCGAGCTCCAATTGCCACTTGAAGTGGGTACGACTTTCGGTGACTAATCTGAAGTGTTCCCATAGTCTGTTCTCTCTACTCCCTACACCCTACTCCGTTCTCCATATCAGTTGATTTGCTTCTTTCGCTTTCGTTCGAGTTTTATCTAAATATTTAAAATTGGTTAGCAAGACACGAGCGAGCGACAGAGGCTTTTCTATTTGCCTGCCCCAAGATAAAGCCAACTGACAGCCGGAATGAGGACAACAACAGGGCGACATCGACATCCCAAAGCTGTATTATATATGACACCCTTAAATCCCCACAAGTCAATTGTTTGATACGTGCCACCGAGGCTTCAGACTATCAAGTTCCGCCAACTTTCGGGACGCAAACTTAATATGGCAGGAAGGAGTCGAACTGAAACGCAAATATAACTCTGACTGGGCATTATTCATATGCAGCGAGTTGGTCACGTTCAAGGGCCCCTGTTTTATTTTTTGTACTTTCCGTACTTCTTCTTCTTCTTCTTCTTTCGCCTTGGCTCCAATAATCATTGCCAATATTTGGGCTTTTATGAATTTATAACAACCGCCAAGAGTATTTGACAATTGTGCGGGTGCTCTGTCCATATTCGATGAGAGTTTCAATGAAACGCCTCTTGAATGGGGGGACTCGAAAATGGCTTTCGTAATCGAGTTAAAATACCAGATATGCACTGCACTCGTCATTTATCACTTTGGCTTATCAATGTCAATTAAACTAGTTTAACTAATTAAGCTGGGAATTATCAAAAAAAGAAAGAAAGAGCGGGAAAGCGAAAAGTTAATGTAGGTCAGTGCTAGCTAAATTACTGTGTTTGAGAGAATGGTTTAATAAGATTCGTTTAATTACGGTTGCTGGATGTTTTTGAGCATATATTAGAGTTATATACACGGAGATCTCTGGCATTACCTAAAACTTAGGGGGTATTTTCAGAAAAATTACCTTAAAATGGAATCAAATCTCATTTTGGGTAAAAGGAAATTTATATCTTATATACTTCGGTAACTTATCTTACAACTGTTGAAGTAAGAGTTCCTAAAATTTAGGTAACGCCAGATATTGGGTGTTTGGAACAAATGTTCTTAAAGTATTTATGAATTATTGTTATAAGTTAGTAAAAGGGATTTTATTGTTTTGTATTTTAAAACAGACTTATATTAATATCACTAAATTCAGCTTCTTATATAAGACAGGGGGTTATAAAATTATAGGAAATGCTAGTTTTAATAATAAATCTAACCCTTAACGACATGCAAATTATTCTAAAAAAAGCAGTTGCGCTTACCCGGTATTTCAATTAACCAAACCCCCACTTTCCGTTCCCCTTTTGCAGTTCTGCGGATCATGTGACCAGTATCTCCGCTGGCCATCAGTCAATCAATCAGCGGACCGCAGCCCAAAAATGTTTCAATTATGTTATCGCCAGCAACAACGACATCGTCCAGAATCGAAACCATCGAATCAGAAGCCAAGCCAAAACCAGAGCAGCAGAAACCACAAGGAGGCAGCAGCACTGCCAAGGTCGTCGGTGGAGCGAGATTAAGTTGTGCAATCCCGGGAATCCTAGTCCTCCGTAGACCACAATCGGAACGAGAAAAGGAACAGGAACAGGAAGAGGAACTGGAAACGAAACTAAAACCAAAATCACAAGGCAACCGAGAGCAATTTAGCATAGCAACCGCAAGGGAATTAGCCAGGCCAGGATCAGAAGCAGGACTTCGCCATGGGCTGCTCGCCAAGTACCCTGCCCGCCCCCTCCTCCGCCTCCGCCGCTGGCCAGACGGGCGAACGAGGATCCCTTCCGCTGGACGCCTCTGAAAAGGATGAGAGTCGGCTGTTCTGCATCAAATTGCGGCGCAGTCGCCTGCGTCGCTGCAGCTGCGGGAACGTGACCTTGCAGCCACCCAGCGACGGAAATGGGAGCACGACGGGGGATAACCTGTGTGGCCAGGTGCTCCTCAATCCGCTGCAGACCAAAAGCGAGGCCGACTACGAAAAGGTAACCAAATCCGCAGGGCCACCGTTCAGCTCAAGGAACTTTGTTTGTCTTCCACCAGCTGAGCACCGGCAAAAAGGACTCGATTGTAACGGTGGCCGCCCTGGGCAACTTTACACACAGCGTGGTGCGACGGGCCACTGGCAGTAAGTAATCCCCAAGTATTTACCATCCCCCCAAAACTTTAAGATCTCCGCAGTGGTAAAATGATACGAAAAGGGTCCACATCCTTTAATTCCTCCATAGAGTTATGCTTTCCCAATAACCACCAATTAAAGTTAGGATAAAAACAATATTAGAACTTAATATATTTGAGATAAATTTAAATTTCTAGACTGACAGTACTCAAAACATTCATGTCTAACCAAACTTCAGTAATTTTGATAGCTTTAATAAAAGTCTGAAATATCTAGATCTACGAATTTCGGTTTCCTTAAAATCAAATGTTTCCATATAATCCTATGCCTACTTATAACACCATGATAACTCATGATAGTTTCGTATGAATCAGTGAATCATAAAATTAAACGATCATATTTTTTCCGGTGCTTTATGGAAACATGATCCCTATTGGCAGCATCATTTACCTAATACCCTTTAATGTGAGGCATCGCTTAGGTTTCGTTTACCTTCATCACTCAATATCGGCTAACAATAGTGATAGGTGATAAGGAAGGCCTGCGATTGAGGAACTCGGCTTCTGTTTCTGCTTCTTCTAATCTGAAGTGAGGCTACTCCACTGTCAAGAGCTTCCGCTATGTTGGCTGATAGTACTCGTAGTGCCACTTATCAATGGGAATCTCAGATTTAGTTGCACGTTTCCTTTTCTTCGGATTTTCCGAAGATTTACGATGCTCCAAATTCGAGCCAATCAACTCAAGTGGCTGCCATAACTTAGGCTAGATAAAGCGGGATTAAAATTTATTAGCGAGTTATAGGGTATTAGTAGAAAGTTTACTTTTAGAATACCTACAGAATTTTGGTTAAGAAAACCTTGATATAATTTTATTAGGAAATGTTGAAGTAATGACATCTATACTTAGTTAAAATCAAATAGGTTGAGTGTGCATTTAATCCCAGAAGAATCCTATTAGAGTGCTGAGATAAGGAAATTTTAGATTATACTATAGGTTTTCCGTTGAGTAAACAATTGGAGAATGGATTAGCTGGGTATAGGAAACAAATTGTCAAGTTTCAGGGCGAAAAAGTTCCAACTAGTATATAATGTATTGTATAATCTTCTGTATAGGGTATTCGTAGTGCCTGGTGATCCCCGCTTTTGACCAGGTAACCCGATCCCCGACTCAGAAGAGTCAGCTGGCGCTTGTCGGAGATCCAAAGCGCAGCTGTTTTGTGTCTCCGTCCAATTAACAGTTCCCCGCTCTCCGCCCCACTCTCTCTCGCGCTCTCCCACCCTCTCTTTGGAGCTCTGGGGAGCGTGAGTGAGCATCGGTGAAACTTGATCGCGCTCAGTTTGCTGATCGGATTGGAAGGGCGGATGAGTGGGGCCGTGGGTGGGGTGGCAAAATGAGAGAGTCAGAGAGCGAGCTTCGTTTATCGCCAAAGCTCCCGCTCTCTGGCGGTGTTGCGGCAACAGCTGCTCGCCATTTATGGAGTCATTTGTTGTAGATTCTTTCGCCGCGTCGGTCGCTCAGTCGCAGTTGCAGTCGCCGTCGACGTCGCTGCAACACATGTGAATCCCAGTGTGTGTGCCATATAGAATCGGAATCGGAATCGGTATTACCATCCACTGATAGATAGTAACACGCTCCATGCAAATCCCAAAAAAATCGAAAAAATGAAGAGCTTGCCAGCTGCAAACTGGTAGCCACGAAACGCCATCTAATGATTTTGGCCAAGTCGTGCCTATAACACGCTATATCGCACACAACATATAGCATATAACATATAACCCAGGGCCAACCAGTCGTCGATCCAAAGCGATTGCAATTAAAAAACGCATAGAGCCAACTGGAAATCATGTACGCGCTGAAATTCGTTGGCTGCATTCGCCTCAGGTGGAAAAAAACAGCTTAGCGTGCTCTAAAATACAAAAAAAAAATATAATCGAAATACAACAAAAGTGTACATAGCCGCGCACGAAAAAAAAGTGTTAAAAATCAAAACAAACTTCACAACTAAGTGTGCCAACAACCGCAGCAGAAACAACAAGTGTAGCGAGTAGCGATCTCTGGATAGATTTTGTTTTTCATTAGATTTACGTATGTGCAAGATACAGATACGCAGATACACGGAGAGTCCCTTAATTCAGAACCCATTGAGTTACACACGGGGGGTTATGAACACCCAAATCGTACGCACTGTGAAAAAAATGCCAATTAATATGCAAAAATTCACATGACAATATCTGGTTTTGTGCCAGTCACACAGCCAGCAGCCGTATAAGAACAGAAGGAGAGCGAGATCGAGATCGAGATACGAGTATTACCAACTCACAGCACTCTTAAATTTTGGTTTTGATCAGGCCCCACATTTTAATTCAGCGATCGCAGTCTCTCACGATCAGCTAGTCTCTTTCTCGAAAACCCCAGCCCCGAACCCCGGTAAACAATGGAACACCCACGGAATGGCGCCAAAACATCAATCAAAGCCAAAGAAAACAAACTGAACGATCACTCGACTCGACGCTACTCGATTCATTATAGGCGGCTAATCCCACGCGTCAAAGTTCTGCAGTTTATCAGTATTCCCACTACCCATTGCCTCCCACCCCTCATAAATTGGGAAATTGAGCGATGACGGCTGTGTAGTCACCACAATATTTGCTATTCGCCAGTGCGATTCTCGGAGGTCTTACACAAATTACGTTCAGTTTAGCCACGTGAAGAGCTCTATGGGGAAGATTAGATTACCGCTGGATACTCCCTATCGATGTGGGTCTACTACCCCTACTTATTTTGGCTATATGTCCAGCTATCGCCAAGAAGATCGGGCCAGATAACTAGCTAGCTGGCCAATTTGATTCCAGGGCCGTTCTAGCCATTCTAGCCATTCCAAGCCCCCAGATGTAGATTGTGCACGCGTTCGCCTATCTGTATCTGTATCTGTATCTGTATCTGCATCTGGCCGAGAGTACCTGTATCTGTATCTGTATCCGAACCTGTGCCGTATCTCAGCCAACGCACACAGGCTAAACATCTGAATACTATGAGCAAACCTGCCTGATATTATCTTATCACAAATTAATTGGTCGCCATGACAACGGCCAAAGGCGCAAAAGGCCCCGAAAACCAAAAGCCCTATGAGATCGGCCAGTGAGACTGGCCAGGAGCCCCTAATCCGCTCTTTGTATTTAAGCCAAATTCGCTGAGGGTTCATTTAGGGGGGATGAGAGGGGCCTTCGATGGAAATGCACCTGCCTTTATAAGGCTAAGCGCCTTATGTACGCCCCGAAAAGTATCTCACGGATTGAAATGGCGACAGCCCACTAGACCGTTAGTTTTAGCCGCAGCGCACACTCGCAGTCACCATCGCCACCGCCATCGCAGTCGCTGCCCATTTCTACGCGCCACTGGCAGTTTGAAAATCCGTGCGAGAATTATCATCTGGCAAACAGTTTTTCATACCGGATTAGAACGGACGTCGGGCTCCGCGTTTTATTTCCATTTTTCCCTATTTTGTACTTGTGCCAATTTCAGTTTTGCGCCCCATCGATCGAGTGAAAAGTATCCCCCAATATATTAATATTTAATGAGCCCGCGTTCTTCCGCATTTGTGTGTGACTTTGTACTATGAGCAGCAGTTTGAGCCCAGTTAGTAAGTAACTTGGGCTGTCTAAGAGCTAAGAAAGTGTGTTAGTTATGGGTCCAGTTTTTTAAGGGGTCCCCCGAGTTATCCAGAGAGACGTCAGCGGCTGCTGGCCGCCGTTTATCTAAACAATTTATCGATTTTCGTTTAGATTACAACGCGTGTGCCCCTGCCTCCCAATCCGCTCCACTTTACTCCCAGGCTGCTCCGAAAAAAATATAACACAAACGATAAGATACACCCGACCCATTTGAATAAGCGCAAATATACTGTCCCCACTGGCGGTATATATACACTGATAAAAACATAACGTAGTAAATTTAAAGATTTTGTATTCTATTTACATATTTTATCCATTAACTGCGGTTTTTATAATATGATGTTGATTTAAAATCCTTTTTAATGACTTAAGATCTTAAAAGTAAATATGACTAACATTGTACCTTTTTTTCTAGAATTATTTAAATATTTTTGATTTATATCATAAAATGCTATATATTTTTGTTTTTAATTGATATATTTAGTTTGAAACTTTGAGTTCCATGTTTACTATTCCATTTTTATCAGTGTATATATACACTTAGATCTCGTACTGCTCCCCTAGGTACATAGGCCCACTCGAGGGGTACGGGTTCGGGTGCGGGTACTTACTTTCCGTACTTTCCCTGGCTAGTTTTTGTTTATGCCCCACTCGGGCTATTTATATTAAGTGTGCTGTGCACACATGCTGCCGTATCTTGTGCGCTATATGAACCACATATCCATGTATACATATATATGTATATGCATGTGGGGCAGTTTATCATTACGCACTAATTGTGTGAAATCAATGCCGCAGCCAGATAAACAAACTATTGCACATAAATGACAATTAACATAATGCCACGAAAGTAATCCAAATTTGTGTGACTTCATTTGCAAAAAATACAGCAAAAACAGAAAAAAAAGGAACCTAATAACAAGGAAAAACAAAAGCGGAAATAAATAAAGAAAAGCGAAAAGCACAAACAAAATGATAATTTCCAGCCAGCCGAATTTGGCTGGATCGGCGACGACCACGATTACGACCACGACCACCAGTAGTGCCCACATGGGCCAGGAAAGTGTGCCCAGCACTTGCAACTGTGGGGGTGTGGGCGTGGGCGTGGGCGTGGGAGTGGGCGTGGCCCCCGCTCTGGGGACCAGAAAATCCCCATCTACAAGTCCAGAGACAAGCACATCGAAAACACCAGCATCTAGCAGGGATTCATTAACGCGTCCGGCCTCCGAGTCCGAGCTAAATGTGGGTAAGGTTCCACCTCCTCCTCCTCCTCATTTTCCTTATGGGGTTTTCCCCGTTTAAGGAAAACTCTTCTGGGGCTCAAATTGAGTTTGATGATGTGGTTAACATGAGTGTCCCAAAAATGAGGCCCTGCCAGCTGGGTTTTTTGGCAATTAAAAATCTAAGTTTTCTTCATCAACTAAATAGCATCTCTAATTAAAGTTGCCAGCCAAATGAATTTCCACCTGTTTGGTCAGCTACCTAACTTCAATTTAAAAGTTAAGCTTTGGCACAAAATGGAAAAAATGATAAGCAAATTCCACGGGATAAAACTGAATTCAAATGAAACATTCAAGAGGTGGAAAATAAAAATAAAGAAGATTCTATGGAATAAATTAAGCTGAGTGAGAATTAAATATCATGCTGGAAAAAGTTGGAATTAATTAAAACAGTTTCCACAAAATGTAATTCATCTGAATAAAGCAAAAAATGAAAATAATATAAAAACTGATTCCGTAGAATTAAATAAAGCTGCAGACAAATCGTTGGAAAATGCTAGAGAAAAATTATAAAAAATACTTTTTGCAACTTTTTAGAATGAATGTGAACATCTAGGAAATGTAAATAAATAATGTTCAGTTTTATTAGGCAATACGAAATTGAACCAACAAATTTTTGGCACATTAAAGTTATATTTCATTTTAATATACATACCATATGGACATTTCCTATCAAATTAAAGAAAGAACAAAACCCAAAATGACTTGCTGATAACTTTAATTTGCTTGCCGGGAATCCGCACAAAAGCCTCGAACAAATTTCGTTACAGAGAAAGTTTGTTTGGTCAATCATTTGGGGTCTTAAAAATTGTTTGGGCCTAAGCATACATAACTTGCGAGAAGCCACAGCATTTTAATTTCCCCCAAAACTTTGCGAAAGGAATTTTACTTTGCGAATGCCTGAGAAGGTATGGCAAACTCCAATATGGATTGAAATTTTCTGCAAAGATGTGTATAAGTAAACATAATAAGCAGGCAGATAGGTACTTCAATGGATTTGGGTATTCTCAAAGGTTAAACAGACTGAACTATTGGTTTAACCTGTAATTTCATCTTTCCCATCATTTGGAAAGCTAGTTACCATGGCTTCCATTTGCGGAGGATTTTTGTTTTAGCTTGCTTGCCACAGCACAAAATAAAGTGGGATGTGATGCCAAAGTCCCGACCTGTTTCTCATTAAGTGAAATACAATTTGTGCGGCTTAGTTCCTCCGGGGGTTCCGCTCTTAGTGCCTTCGTTGACAGATAGGAGACCCAAAAACGGGGGCTTCCGCCCCCAAGGACCTTTGTACCCTTTCGCAGGCACATGCGTGTGTGCCCGTTTATAAAGTGTTTCTCAAATGCCAACGTTTATAATTAAATAAAACGTGCAACAAGAGGAATTAATGTGCGTGCGTGTCCCTGCCAGAGTGTTGGTATACGTATATGTATTGGTACACTGATAAAAATTGTAGTAACTCCAAGGCCTTAAATAACTTTCGATATTTTTTTATCTGTTACAGTTTTAATTAATTTTAAAAATGAAAATAATAATTGGAACAGTTATAGTTAATAAAAGGTTTTACTTTTAAGGGCATTACAAAATAAGTTTATTACTCATACGTACTGTTGTCTTCGAAAAAATAAATTGTTTTTATATAGAGGGCCTCGAATCAAAGAAAATTCCGTTTTGTCAAATTAGGACCTTAGTATTTTAAACAAGAGCTATAGTTGTGATATCAAAAAATTCGAAATGGCATACAAGTCGTATGAGTAATTTTTCCGAGAACTTTGGACTGCCCTTACCCTTATTTATTTTCACTATTCCATATTTTGTTCAGTGTATAAGGGATTGTGTGAGTGTGTGTATGTGTGGTGACCATTCATTTTGATTGTGGGCGTGCTGTTGACAGCCACGAAGTATGCAACGCCCTGCGAGCCCTTGGAACGCCCAGAAATGTAGCATACTTTTCAGAGAATTTTCCCCCGCCTCTAAACGATTTTCCCCCTTTCTTGTACTTTTCCGTATTTTTCTCACAGGCACAGGCACATCGGGCACCAGTTCATCCGGCGGCGGGAACAGCCGTCCAGGTCACCGCAAATCATCGCTCGCCCTCGCCCTCACCCCGGAAGATGAGCCGATGGATGTCTACCAGGTGAGTAGTCGGCCACCCCGGGCCCAATCCCTATAGCTACTATGACCACAATTCGAGGGGGAACCGAACTGAACCACATGGTTGTTACGTCTTTTGATAAGGCATATTATCTTATCACAGGCGGCATAGTTTATAGAGAGCGCTGCGCTTTTCGGTTTACATTCGGCTTTAAATAGCCGCTCACCCATACAGGCCTCATGTTTTGCCTATAAACAATACGCTACCAGAGAAATCAAATCAATTAACATTGAAGGTGGGAAATCAAAAGGCAAAGAAAGAGATTATGCCCACGAATCGATCGACGCGACTCAGTCCGTTCCATTTTGCAGTCCGGAGTAGTTTCGACCACAAAACCTGTGAATTGTTCAGAACCGATTCGGTTCCGTAGATACCGATCGAGATACAGATAGAGATAGACAGAGATCTCGATCGAGATTGTCGCATTAGTTGGGAGACGGCGTGGAAAAGTTGGAAATGCCACTCGCGAGGCGTTTCTATTCGTGTGCTCGTCTAGCTTATGCAAACAACTTGTTATTGATCTAAGACATTGGACCTCAAGTGGCGAGTGTAATTGTCGCTGTTGTCATTGTTATTGCGATACGGATTTCGGTGCGGATTGGTTCACTTCACGCTCTCTCTTTGAGTGGCCGAGTGTTGTTTTAATTATAAAACAGAATGCGCAATTGTTTGCCAAAATTCAGTAAAGTCTTTCGCCGCAAGTCCTCCGCGAAGTCCTCATCGGCGGGCCGTGAGAATCCATCCAGCGATCCGGACTCCGACGCGGAGCCCTATACCATATCCGATCGCAGTGGCGATAACCGTAATGAAAGAACCAGACCACCTCCAGATGACGATAGCAGCCGGCTGATAAGCTCTGCTCATTTGGATTTCTCTATGGATTTGAATTTGAATTCGAATGGAGGCGGCGGCATTCGTCCAAAGAGCGAGGGTTCCTGCCCGGAAATGAAAGTGGAAACGATTGCGTCGACGACGACCACAGAGACTGCTGCTCCAACTCCTGGGCCAGTGGCCATTTCCCTGCCATTTGTGGGACGGAATTCGTGTAAAACGCCCGAGGAAATGGAGCTGGAATACGAGGCCAATGTGGAGGCCGAAGGTCGTGACATAATGACCCCCCTGCGCCGCAATACCAGACCATTGAGTGTGGCCTTCAGTGGCGGTGGCGGTGGAGGACGCACTTCTCTGCAGCCGGAAATAGTCGAGGCCATACGCAGCCTGGACGTCCCAGCTCTGATGCTCAACAATCTGAGCCTGGAGGACAGGGAGCGGAGTCACCTGGTGGAGGAGGAATCCCCCTCCTATGACCCCGATAACGCAGTAGTCCTTCGTCGCAAGGTCAACTGCCTGGAGCGCAAATCACACAGTCTGTACGAGCGACGATTGCCCAAGGTGCCGAAACTCCATCTCTTGGTGGCTGGAAAAAAACAATCAACGGAGGAGGAGGAGTTCAGGATTTTTCAGGTAGCTAGGTAGCATTCAGCTTTTCCCGGGACTTTCCAACTTTTCCCAGCTTGTCTCCATCAATCTGGCACCTTAGCCCGAGTCTTATGTACGTCGTGATACATTTCCGATTACATTTTCATTCCTCTGATTGACACTGAGCTTCAGCTTCTGCGAAACCAACCCACCTTCTGCGGATTTAATGTGTTCTCGTATTATAAATCTGCAGCACACGAGCGTGTGGCGCACATAAGTCAGAATCAGCAGCGAGCAATTTTATTTTAATTTATCATCATTTAAGCGACACGAACGACACACACGCACTGTAGCTCCGGGATGGGTGTACAGATGTACAGGGAAACGAAGCCGGGTTAAGCCCTCTTATTTTGACGACAAAGCCAGAGGAGCTGCAGACTTATATTAAATTTTACACCTTGTCTCACCTGCTCTGACATCTCCCCCCCCCTCGTTTTTTTTTCTTTTTTTTTTATATCCTGATGCAGCGAAATCTCATGGACCTGAAGTATCCAACCGTACTACCACCGAATCCCCCACTTAAGGTAAGCCCTCTTTGGACCACTTTGAACATGGGGCAATTCAATCAGTGCAATGGCTTTGAACCCCCCCACCCACACTATAGGCCCTCCTGGTTTTCCACAAATCGGACAGCATCTGCGAGGCGGTCACCGCGGCCTGCCAGCGCCACCAGCTGGACGTAACGCTGGTCAAGTCCAAGGAGGAGGCATTGGACACCCTGCAGAAGTCGTATGCCACCGCCCAGTGCTACCACCTAATCATAATTGATGCGCGTTCTACCAAGAACCTGGATGCGGAGCATATTGCAAGGTGGGTAAGGTTGAAATGGGTTTCGGGTCGTGTCTTTTTGGGTTCGCCCAACTTACCAAACTTACCGAAACTTTTTACAAACTTTTCCATTTTCATAAACTTTTCACTTTGCTATAAAACTTGCCTCTTCCCCACAGAACCATACGTCACACACACGGCCACCATTTAACGACAATAATTGCAGTCTGCAAGAAGAGGTGAGTAGTTGTAGTAGGGGCGGCAGTCATTTTCCGCTAACGACTTACGACGACTACTTTTGCAGTTTCTTCGAAAAGGATGATGTGCTAATTGCTCTATTGGACGCTGGCGTTAATAGAGTAAGTTTCCTTTAATTGCCCCATCACGGGCGGAGGGAAAACAGATGCTACAACATTGCCACATCTTGGGTATTCCACAGTGCGTAGCTGAGACGACCAACCTGGCCATGTGCAGTGTGGAACTGAAGCAGATACTGCACTCCATCATCCGGCCGCACAATGTCATGTCCACTCAACAGGTAATCGAGTTAATGTCCCTGGGCGCCCTTCGCAACTGCAAATTAATTCAATTAAATGGAAGCGCTGCCCGGCAGGCCAATGAAATTGCAAACCCGCTCAGTGACCCCAACCTCTCTGTTGTCGATCCCATCCCCAGGCCCTCTACACGGCACTCCATCGGCTAAAGGAGGTGGTCCTCATCACGGACGACTTGCTGAGGATTCAGTACGCCAACCGTGCCACCGAGAGGCTGCTCAACATGCGGCTGGTAAGTGGGAACGTGGGTAGTGGGTCCGGGGATTGTTTGCCATTGCGGCATTAATGAGATTTCCGCGTTGGACAACAGGACGAGATCATTAGCAAGCAGCTGGAGGACATATTCGTGTCGGACCTGTCCACCATCAGTGAGCAGTGTAAGAACATCAAGGAGTTCGACGGCATCCTGACGGTGCGCAGGAAGAGCCAGGAGGGTATCCCCATGCACGTGCGAGTGGTGCCAGTGGCCTGCATAGGAAGGTGAGTGACTTAAAGCAAACGCGAACGTCCATCCCCCCCCCTCCTTACCACCGAAACCCTTCTTAATTGGCAATTTTCGTCCCAACAGCGCACCCACGCATCTGATTTTCAACTTTGATGTGCCCGGCGGCCAGATGGATTTCATAGCCACGCTGCCGCAGCCCAAGGAGGCGCCTCGGGGCTCCCTGCACTCGGTGCGGAGGTGCAGCTTTGATGTTCGCTCCATCGCCTCGGACGGATTGCGAAGGACCAGTTTGGCCAAGTTGACATCGCTGCCGCTGGAGGCCCCCATCACTAAAGTATGACTCTGCCTCACATTTGGGTTGTGGCTGCAGCACGTTGCAAGTTTGGGAAGGGCTTTTGGGGAATGCCTAAATTGCTAAATTGTCGTCCGTGCCTGTGCCGTGTGTCCTGGTCCGTGGTGTGGTGTGTGTGTGTGTGTCCTGGTGTCCTGTCATGCCCCGTAGCATATGCAGCAACAGCAACAGCAGCAGCAACTGCAGCAGCGACAGCAATAACATTAGCAACAATATTTGCACAAGCACTTGCACAGACACAGACCATCCCCACACACGCACATAAACGACACAGGCACCGACACACAGTGAAAAGCGCTGGGAAAATGCATTTTCCGGCTTGGAGTGGTGCTAACTTTGACTATCGCTGTTTCGAGATGCAAAGAACGGCAGTCACTCTGCTTTTAATCATCCAATTAGGCACTCACATTTCTGTAATCTACTTAAAAGCATCTAGAACAGATGGCGCCCAAACAGGGACCCCTAATGAGTTGCGACGCTAATTAATGATTTGCAACCTCCAAGCCGGACTAGTGCATTCTGGCTAAAAACGACCAAAAGTGGGTCAATTTTAACCAACATTGCTCCACTGTTCATTCGAGCTCCTACTTCGTCATATACTTAACCCCAACTAATCCCAAATTTAACAGTAACAGCACATCTAAACCAACATGTTTATTCTCTTTTTATCTCTTAATTGTTATGTTCTCTTTTTTACTTTTATGTTTTGTGTACTCGAACAATGAACCAACTCATAAAAAATATTACCAAAAAAAATAATGTACCAAACTGTTCGTTCGCACGTTCGCTCGCTCGCTCGAATTGCTCGCTGTGCGTCGCTAACCAAAATATATAAAAAAAAATTAAAAAATGTACAAAACTCAAAACCAACAAACACAACCGAAAAACAAAAAATTCAAAAACTGCGCACTCGCACATTAGATAATCAATTTACTATCACAAGTACAGGAGAATTGTTCGGCCGATGAGGCGCGTCTCATAGACAAGGTCTTGGAGTTCCTGAAGCGCGAGGGACTCTACAGTCCGCAAATGAAGGAGATACGAACGGATGATCCCATAGCCACCGATCTGATTGGTGCCCTGCTAACGGTAAGTTAGAGAGCCCTACTAAATACTCTTGTTTTTAAATATTAATTATAATATATTTTTAGGGACCCAGCGTGTACTCATCGCGCCGCAGCTCGAATGACTCCATCATACGCACTGGCAGCTCTACAAGAACTGCTACTATAGTGCCCGCCAAAATGAAGGTGGTTACTTCATTGAATACCCTTTATGATATAACACTAATTGCATTTCAATTGCAGTCCAATCCCATCATTATGGAACTACTTGACGAATCTCTCAGCTGGGACTTTGATATTTTCAAATTGGAGGAGATCACCGACTACCATCCGCTGCTCTATCTGGGCATGGAGATGTTCCGCCGCTTCGACGTCTTTGCCACCTTGAACATCGATGAGAACGTTTGTAAGGCCTGGTTGGCCGTAATTGAGGCCCACTACCGCAAGGGCAACACATATCACAACAGCACCCATGCCGCGGATGTCATGCAGGTGGGTTATTTTACTACTGACCTTTCTTCCGGTATTATCTCGTAATATTCTGAACCACTTGTTACCCCTAGGCCACTGGCGCTTTCATCACCCAGTTGACCAACAAGGATATGCATGTGATGGATCGCATGGAAGAAGCGACTGCTCTAATTGCCGCCGCTGCCCACGATGTGGATCATCCGGGCCGCTCATCCGCCTTCTTGTGCAACTCTAACGACGCCCTGGCTGTACTGTATAATGATCTGACAGTGCTAGAGAACCATCATGCGGCCATTACCTTTAAGCTAACTCTGGGTGAGTAGAAAGAGAAAGGCATATTCTATATCAACGTTAAAAAAGAGTAATCCATGAAAAGATACACATATATTTTTAAGAAAAGTTTGAGTTAAGGCAACGTTGAATTATGAAATACATTTCTTAGACATTTAAAGCAACTTGAAGTTAGAGAAGTTCTAATTATGGAAGTTATACTTACTATACTCTCAAAGTCCGTTTAAATAACTTTTATGTCAAATTTGGTTATTGAAACTAGTATCCCAATCTCATGAGTCAGCCAAGATCGATTTATTCTCAAATTCTTAAATTAATGAGCAAGTACTTTCGGTTTCAAGACTATTTTCTTCTAGAAAAACAAAGTCAAAATATTTTCATCTCTAATTAAAGATCGCTTCATATCGAAAAACAAACTTAAAAGTTCTTTAGCTTTAACTTTAAGAACATTTCTTCTCAATAATTATTGAGAACAATCATTCTAATGAACAATGTTTCTTCTATTTTGCCTTAAATTAAAAATATTCAAATCTGTTAGCGAATAAAATATTTTTAAGTTTCTACCCCACTTATAATCTTGTTTATCGCATCTTCTTTTAGGCGACGATAAGATCAACATTTTCAAGAACCTGGACAAGGAGACGTACAAGTCGGCCCGCAGCACCATCATCGACATGATTCTGGCCACCGAGATGACTCGCCACTTCGAGCACCTGGCCAAGTTCGTGAGTGTTTTCGGAGGCGAGGAGCCGCGCGAGGTAAGACTGAATGCATACCTCCACATAGAATTAAAGATATAATAAAGATTTCAAATTCTCTACAGCACAATCCCCAGACGGATGAAGAGACGTCGATACTCATGCGCCGCATGCTGATCAAGGTGGCCGATGTGAGTAATCCCGCCCGGCCGATGCAATTCTGCATCGAGTGGGCCCGTCGCATCGCCGAGGAGTACTTCATGCAGACGGACGAGGAGAAGCAGCGCCATCTGCCGATCGTGATGCCGATGTTCGATCGGGCCACCTGCAGCATACCAAAGAGCCAGATCGGCTTTATCGAATACATCATACAGGACATGATGCACGCCTGGGAGAGTACGTTAGAATCTAGAGATCCCCCACAACCATATCTCATATCTAAAAATCCTTTGCAGGCTTTATAGACATGCCGCAGCTGATCACCTACATGCAGATCAACTACTCGCAGTGGAAGAAGTACGACGAGCAGGGCGTGAACACCCTGGCGGAGATCATGGCCAAGCAGCCGCCGGTGGGCAAGATGGCCAACTCCAAATAGCATACGGCCTTCCGGAGATTGTTCTCGGGTCTACTGAAGCCACTGCCGGCCCAGGCGCCGGGCACCTCCACGATTGGCGAGAACGAGATGGAGGACGTGCTCTAGTGACGGCGTCGAAGGTCCTGCGACGTCTGACTCCGGACCCGCAGTCTCTCGGCCTGATCCTCTCATCCCGGTTTGAAACCCATCTGCAAGAATCCGCTCCCTGGACTGCCCACACATATCCACATCTCTCAACGGACCAACGGACCAGGGGGGCGGTACTAAATGGTGTGCCAAGTGGTGTCACAAAAAGGCGGTATCATACATAAAAACAAAAACATAAAACACAACTAACTAAGGCAAACAAGTAAACAATTATTGGGCTGGACTCAAAATTAAATGTTTAAGATGCATCACAAGAAGCGAACTTTCTATTTCTATATAAATATACCATGTGAGTCTGTGTGTGCGTGAGTGTGTATGTCCCCATCCATCCCCTTATAAATGTGTATGTGTTTAGGCTAACAAAAGCAGACTAGCATGCTATGCTAGCAGGTTAGCAAGCTAGCATACTAGCAAGAAATCCCACAGCATATTGACCAGAATATATATATGGCGTGCGCTCAATTGTACCTGGCAACGGTATAACGTATAACAGTATAACGGTTCTGGTAACGCTATAGCGATATTACCAAAACCAAGTGTTACAAGCATGTAGTTCTCTCCCATCATGAAGACAATCTCTGTTGAATACTGCAAAGCCAAGTAAATATAGTATAATTGCTGTCCAAGTCGGTATCGTTGGTATCGGAATCGAAATCGGATTTGGGTTCGGAACGAGTACAAGGCCATAGCTAGACGAAGACTATATACATACACATAATGCGTGCGAGATCACGAGATCGAGAGACAAGCACTAAATATAAACTACTATCACTATCGACTAGCTAACAACAACTACAAGTAAAACTGAAACAAACTAATTCGAATCCACTCTTGAGACATATGAAATCCTATGGGGCCCCTTTTACTACCTAATTATCTAGTTACCTATTTTCCTAACTGAAGAAAAACGCGAAACGATGAGCTATCCTAATTAATACTATTAATGTTGTTTAGCTTTCTAAGCATACGGTATGAGAAATCAAACTAAACGCAAATGTTTAACAATTAAGTGAAATCCTTTTTGAAATCTTTTTATCTAATTGACTGAACAAATTACATTTACATATATAAACCAGATCTATTAATACGAATTGATAATACGTTCTTGTTATAACAAAAAAAAAAAAAAAGAAAGAAAATGAAATGAAATGGAAAAGCAAAATAATATATACAATATACAATTTATACAACTTTTACGAAGCATATTATATATTTATATATGTCATACGATATCGGCATTCATTCACAGAGTTACAGTAATTTGTATGTGTTACCAAGGTGTTAGATCCCGTGCTTCAGAATGTTTTGATAGAAATTATATACACGTATACAAGTCCCTTGAGATCGACCTGCTGAACTGTGTAGCCAAGTCGCTGGCCTGGAAAATCTAGAAAATCCCCACTCCCTAGAGGGTCGACCTTTGACCCAGCCAATCCGCTCAACCCGACCAACCACACAATCCACCCACCAACCCACATTTTCCGAACCCACACTTCACATCACCACTCTGATCACTTTAAAACAGAAAAGAAAACCAAAACTGAGCGATAGGAGAATATAAATGTATATGCATATTCAGTGTTGTTAATATGTGTGTGTTTCAATTGTATGTATTGGATTAAATCGCGTAAATTACAAACAAGCAAAACTGGAATATAAGAAAACAAAATAATACGTGTTATGAAGAATATATGTATACATAAAATATATATACATAGATACGGTACTACTATATGTATGTTTCTGAACACAAAAATGATAAATCTTTACATACAACTATGTATATTTGTTACATCTGTTTGCTCCTTGCAGGTTAAGGATTATAAATGTTAAGATTTAGTCAAATTTATTGTAAAAACAAAAAACAAACACAAACAAGAAACAAAAACAAAAACAAAATGCAAATAATACAAATAAAAATCCAACAAAATGGAAATTATCTACAAAAACGAAGCAAATGCGGGGGATTGGGTCAAGGTTGAAATGGAATCCTATCCCAACATAGTTGGAATGGCAAACTGTATATCAGAATCTATCTTCGATCGTAAAGCACCATTAATATTTCTGTCACTCATTTTGGCCATAATAATCGATTCTTATAGCTCGAGCCCAACCCTCTGTGAATTTTAACAACCTGTTTTACTGGCATTCTGCCATCTTAACGACTGCCCAAAAACGGTGGGCTTAATTTCACCTGGCCGTCTCAATCAAAAGGTAAACAAAACAAACGATCGTTTCCAGCCCAAAAACTTTCTTTCGGCGGTCCCAACAAAGAAAGTCTTTTGGTCTTCAGTCTTACAGCACGATCGATTCATGCAGCCCAGAAATGGTGTCGCATATGGACGCAAACGAGTCCGGTTATGCGTTAATTGCATAATGTCGCCTTGTATTTCAGCGATGACAGCGTGAAAATGGTATAATCATTAAAGTATATCTTTAAAAATATAAATAATATTTATGTGTTGACCGCTGTTGTACACTGTACTTGTGACGGCATAGAACGAGCAGTGCAATAAATTTGCCTACTTAATGGGAAACTGCCATCCGCTCATTTAAATACGGAGTATAATGATCTCCGTATTGACATCTCCCACATAAATAACATCATTTCTGAAAAACAATATTCGTTTTTATAGAACCTTTATCACAATAGTTGTAGTGGACTTACTCTTTAAACTATTTTTCTGCTTTAAGAGTATTTTTGGAGAATGTTAACGTGCACAAAACATTTGTCAATATCTATTTTACATTACTCATTAGTTAAAATAATAATTAGTTCATAATTTATTGCTCCTTACTATTTTTTCCTCCCCAAAGATCGTGTCACGCTGGTATCTCCAAGCTGAGAAAAGATTCGAGATTCTGCTGCCGATCGCTGGGTCTTTCTCAAGCAGCGTTTAATGCGGTTTCAACTGCCGAACCGATCAGTTCGATCGATCGTTTTATTTAGAGTTTGTTGGTTACCTCAGATCAATAGTGATCATGCCGCAGTCGAGTTTCTTTGCCAAGAGCGTGCCCTTCGAGCAGATCGACAAGTTGGCCATAAGTGGAGGCTACTCCTCAATCTTCGCGAGCAGTAAGCCAGCGGTTCCTGTGGTCGGGAATTGGGAGCAGCGCTTCTGCCGCCTGGCGGATACCTTCCAACCGGTCCTGGATAGGGTTTACGATTTCGAGGTTCGGGAGGATGATGTGTGGATTGTGACCCTGCCAAAATGCGGCACCACCTGGATGCAGGAGCTGGCCTGGTTGGTGGTCAATAAATGTGACTTTGAGACGGCCAAGAGTGTGGATCTCACGCTGAGATCGCCCTTCCTGGAGTGGGTTTCTGGATTAATAACAATAGTGCTTAAAACTAATTTAAATCTTCCCCAGATTCAATGGAGTGGTGCCCAATGTTCCACATGACACCATTGAAGCAGCAAATGCCCTACCCTCACCGCGTTTGATCAAATCCCATCTGCCCGCCTGGATGCTGCCCAGGCAGATCTGGACCAAGAGGCCCAAGATCATCTATGTGTATCGTAATCCCAAGGATGCAGCCATCTCGTACTTCCACCACTGGCGTGGAATGGTGGGCTACCAGGGAACCAAGTCGGACTTCATGCATTCCTTCATCGATGGCTATGTGAACTTCACGCCCTGCTGGCCACATGTCCTGGACTTTTGGCAGCTGCGCCATGAGCCCAACATCTTCTTCACCAGCTACGAGAGGATGAAGGGACAGTTGGGCCAGGTTATTGCAGAGGTGGCCCAGTTTCTGGATCGCGAGGTCACCAAGGAGCAGATCCAACAGATGACCCAGCACCTCTCCTTCGAGAGCATGCGCGACAATCCCGCCTGCAATCATGTCAAGGAGTTCGAGAGCATGAAGGCAGCTGCTGGAAGGGATGTGGAGGAGTTCAGGTAGGTCTTGAGATAGCTAACCCTACGCCAAAGGACTCTCCAGGAGCTGGCTAATCAGCACTTCCTCCCACAGGTTCGTTCGCCGCGGAGTCGTTGGAAGTCACAAGGATGAGCTCACCGCCGACATCATCAGGGAATTCGATCTCTGGTCTGACATCAATCTCAGGGATTACAAATTGAACATGGATGACTTTGCCAACTACAGCAAATTCGCTTCCGCGTAATTCTCTCTAAGTAGTTTCGGTATAATATATCTTGGGTAATCTTTGTTAATAGTCTGTAAGCTCGGGTGATATATGTATAATAAATAATTGCTTTCATTATATACTATATGCAATTTAATGGTTTTATAAGTGAATTGTTTACATTCCTGGGGTTATCAGCACATTAAGTGGTTTATTACACCATTATCAGCAGCTACTCCAAAAGACTTGTAACATTGTAAATATCTATGCCTATGAGGCATGGGAGCGACCATTATTTTTCATCCTTATCTTGTACTATTTGTATATATAAATTATTGTCCCCGAACAAACAAAACCTGTTGATAGTATATTGTCAGAGATTTCGGCCAACTTTGTTGCCCTATATCTTTCTCTGCTTGTTTACGTTTCCATTATCAACAGAAATGAGCGAAGCGTCCAATTAAAATGAAATCAAATTAAAACCAACAATAACCACTGAGCTGAGCAACCTTATCATAAAAGTGCGTAAGAGAAAGTCGCGCAAGGCAGAGAGACCTATTTGTGTATCTCTTAAATACATTCCCAAATAAATTTGAATTTCAACCACGATACAAATTCAGTAGGCTTCAGCCATGGAACGTGTTCAGGTCACCCCGCGGAGTTTTCCCACAAACCTCATAGATAAAGACTGGGTGAACCGCAAACATTTGTATAAAACTAACTCAGATCACTTTCTTAGTTTGGTGCATGACATGAAACTTAGAGACGATGATGTTTGGGTAGTAACTCTGCCAAAATGTGGAACCACCTGGATGCAAGAGTTATCGTGGCTGCTGCTCAATAATTTCGATTTTGCGGGAGCATTGGCCAAGGATCAAGAGCTACGAAGTCCATTTCTTGAGTAGGTGTATCAGAATGAATTCTGAAGACACATTTAAAGTTGAACATCTCTTACTTAAGGTTTGGTTTCTTGTTACTTGAGGATGTACAACAATCTTTCGGGCCTATCGAGGAATTAAAATCTCCGCGACTGATTAAATCACATCTTCCCCTGGCTCTACTTCCCTCAAAACTTTGGGAGCGAAAGCACAAAGTGATCTATGTGTTCCGGAATCCCCTAGATCACTGGGTATCTCGATATTATCATGGTGTGACATTTGGTGTTTATTACGGCAAAACTTTACATCAGTATTTTGATGAGGTCATAGCCTCTGATGATTTTGCAACAGAGATCATTGAACACGCACATGAATTCTACCAACTGAGAAACGAGCCCTGGGTCTTCTATACTAGTTTTGAGAGAATGAAGAAAGATCTGCGAGGAGTGATCAATGAAGTCTCCAGATTTCTAAACAAACCCGTTGACGAACAACAAATGGAGAAGCTTCTCAAGCATTTGTCTTTTGAAGAAATGAAGAGTTAGTAAATTATAATCCTAAACTTTTTTATGTGTTTAAACTAATTTAAACTAATTTCAGAGAATCCAACAACGAATCATCTATGGGAGTTAGCCCAAATCAAACACATAAATGCTCGCAAAGAGCAGCACCCGTAAGAAAAACTTATATTATATTCTGAAACTCTAGTAACATGGAAAATTTGGCAGATTTGTGCGACGAGGAAATGTTAATGGCTATAAGGATGAGTTGAAGCCCGAACAAATTGAGAGGGCCAACATCAGTATACAAAGAATTCTCGAAAAGAAATCTGTGACAATGGACGAACTGCTGCTCCAGAATGATCATTAAAATATAGATGAGACTAATAGTAAAAAGCAACTGCTAAGCTGAATGAATTAAAGTTTATAAACAAGACAATAAATGTGCTGTGCTTTTCTTAATAATATAATCATGATCTATTTGAATGTGGATAAAGGTATAATTGCAAACATATATAAGGAATTACGTGTGGTATAAACCGATATATAAATTTAAAATATTTATACCCGTTACTCGTAGAGTAAAAGGGTATACTAGATTCGTCGGAAAGTATGTAACAGGCAGAAGGAAGCGTTTCCGACCCCATAAAGTATATATATTCTTGATCAGGATCACTAGCCGAGTCGATCTAGCCATGTCCGTCTGTCCGTCTGTCTGTCCGGATGAACGCTGAGATCTCAGAAACTATGGGAGCTAGGCTATTGAGATTTGGCGTGCAGATTCCTGAGCTTCTTGCGCAGCGCAAGTTTGTTTCAGTAGAGTACCACGCCCACTATAACGCCCACAAACCGCCCAAAACTGTGGCTCCTACAGTTTTGATGCTAGAATAAAAATTTTAATTGAAATGTAATGTTCTCATCAATACCTATCGATTGACCCAAAAAGTTTGCCACGCCCACCCTAACGCCCATAAACCGCCCATAAACTTCAAAAAATCGTAAATATGAACGCGGATATCTCGGAAACTATCAAAGATAGAGAATTGGGATTTCAGATTTAGATTCCGTAGCCTTATACGCAGCGCAAGTTTATTACGCGAATATGCCACGCCCACTCTAACGCCCACAAACCGCGAAAGCCTGTGACGCCCACAATTTTTATGCTAGGTAAATAATTTTAACTGAAATGTATTGGTCTCGACAATACCTATCGATTGGTCCAAAACAAATTTGCACCGCCCTCTCTAACGCCCATAACGCTTAAATCTACATGCATATCTCTACTTAGCTGAGTAACGGGTATCTGATAGTCGAGGTACTCGACTATAGCGTTCTTCCTTGTTTTATTCTTAAATATTGCTAAAAATCTTTACTTTAAACAAATTTGAAACATTTAGATTAGAAACCTTATTTTCATATAAAAATAGCTGCCATGGACAATAAATAAAAGCGGGACCTTAATAGAACAACTGAATTTTTGGTCAGCACTAGCAGCCAAGTTGATAGACATTCGTTCAAACCATAAAACCGTTATGTCTTAAGATTTCTAAATAAGGAAAAAGCGCAAACAAACTTGCACTCTATCTTATCTATCTTATAAAAAATACCTACTATATGCTGATTTAACTGCTAGTCAGAAAACCGCAACCATGGAACGCGTTCGGATCACACCACGGAGTTACCCCACAAACCTTATAGACAAGGACTGGGCAAATCGGAAACATTTTCATTTGGAAAAAATGAAAGGATTTATAAGTTTAGTCCATGACTTGGATATTCGAGAGGATGATGTGTGGGTAGTCACGCCTCCGAAATGTGGCACTACTTGGATGCAGGAATTATTGTGGCTGCTGATCAACAATTGCGATTTTGAGGGAGCGTTGACCAAAGATCAAGGTCTACGAAGTCCCTTTTTGGAGTTCGTAATTAATATTTCCATTCAACATTGGTATTAATATTTGGTTTTGGAATTCTAGGTTTGATTTTGTCTGTCATGGAAATTTGGAGGAATCATTAAAGCGTGTGCAGGAATGCAAATCACCACGACTTATAAAATCACATCTTCCCCTTGCCTTACTTCCAGCAAAACTTTGGGAAAGAAAAAACAAAGTTATCTATGTATTTCGTAATCCCCTAGATGCCTGGGTATCCAGATATTATCACGGTGTTACCTACGGTGCTTTTTATGGAAAGACACTGCATCAGTATTTCGATGACCTTTTGAGTAACGAAAACTATGCTTTGGAAACCATAGAACATGCCGCCGAATTTTACCAACTCCGAAATGAACCATGGGTTTTTTATACCAGTTTCGAAAGAATGAAAAAAGATCTGCGCGGTGTTATTAACGATGTTTCCAGATTTCTGAACACGACTGTTACCGATCTGCAAATGGAGAGACTTTTAAAGCACTTATCATTTGAAGAAATGAAAAGTTAGTTTTAAAAATTGGTTAGTATTTAACTTAGAAACCATTATAACCATTTTCTATTGCAGAAAATCCTACAACGAATCATTTGTGGGAAAAATCTCAAGAAAATGGCGAAAATGCTGGCAAAGTGGACTACAAGTAGGAAAATTAAACATATTCATATATATTGTTTTCAATATAATTTTACTTCTGATTTTTCAGTTTCCTGCGGCGCGGTAAGGTCAATGGTTACAAGGACGAACTTTTGCCCGAGCATATTGAGAAGGCCCAGTTTTTAATACAAAAGCAGCTTGAGAAAAACAATGTTACTATGGAAGAATTACTGCTGAAAAATAGTCCATAAAACACTTAAAACAAAATCTATGCGATAAGATTGTACTCCTTGTTAGAATCTAGAGCAACGATCGCCAAAAGAAATAAAAAATAACTTTCGTCTTTTTTTCTATTATTGTCCCACTGATATGTAGATCGTTCCTATGGAAGATTTATAAATTGAATTCGTAATTCTACAAAATAGTAGCAGAAAATATGAGGGGAATCAGCCAAGCTCTAATATTAAGATCCAAATAAACCGTTTATCTTTAGTTTCGTTTTAATTGATATAAAATTTGTAAAAATCCAATAGTTAAGGCACACGTAGACATAAACTAACTAACACTCGGGGTGGTACAAAAATTCAGCCTTAGGCGGTGGAGGTCTCCACCTTCCTGGCATTGTCCTCCTTGGAGGAGGGACCAGTCTGTGTGATCTGCACGAGGCGTTCAGTCGAGGGAGGAGGCAGCGCCTTCATGGGCGCCTTGATGGTCAGCAGGCCATCGGAGGAGAGGGAGGATGTGACCGAGTCGGGGTTGACATCATCTATAAGGAGGTTTTTCATTTATGAAAATATATCTTTAATTTATTAGACCTTCGAACTCACTTGGCAGCTGGTAGCGTCTGGAGAACTGACGGGAGACATAGCCGTGCTCGTCCTGCTTCTCCTCATGCTTTCCTTCCACGATGACGAACCTGTCCGCAATCTTGACGGTGATCTCCGAGGGTGAGAACTGCTGGACATCCAGAATCACCTCGAACTTCTCGCTATCGATGTTGAGGGTGGAACCGGACTCCTGCTTCTGCAGGCTGTTCTTCTGCCAGGGGCGCAGGTATCCCGATCGGAGCACAGTGGGTCGGGAGTTCCACACGGAGGACATGAGGTCATCCCTCTTCAGTCCCTGGCCAAAGTGCTGGTCCAAGAGGCGCGAGGTGCGCATTGGAAAGTCGATCTCATCCCACCAATCACGGAACATCAGGGGCACTACGGACATCTAATTTGGTTAAGAAACGAATAGTTGGTGAGCTAATCACTTCACTTTTTAATTCACTTATTATTTTTCTTTTTTTATATATTTTATCTTTAATGGATATATCCTTCTTCGTACCTTTCTTTTATTTTATACACTTAGTTTAACACGTCTTATTCGATTCGCGGCTGCTGCGATTTTGTTGGAGCTCCCAGAGCATTCACACTGTTTTATACCCTCAACAGACTGTTTACATCTTCCACCATGGTCTAAAAATATGAAATTTATTTCCCATCTAAATTTAAACGAGCGTCATTCCCTCTATAAAGAACATACAGAAAATATATATGCCAAACACATATATTTGGTGCGAATCTACGAGCGATTTTAGCTTGTTTTGTTTGGCTTCCGTGGGTGTCGGAGATTTGGAGTCTTAGACACCGGCTATCTCATGTTGACCCAAAGAATGTTCTATATATTCCATCTTACTCACTACAGACAAGCCTTTTTCGGAGTTGAATTAATAGTGTTTCTGTTTGTTTGTTCCAGAACAAACCTACATCTACATCTACATGCCAAAAACTATACAAATACCCTTAATTTGTGTGCAATAAGTATTTTGTATACATCTTAGAAAGGCTGCAAAAAATCCGAAAACAAAATGTGTTTCTGGAAAATGCCAGAAGAAATTTTTAGATTCTACGCCCCCAAAGTTTGTGCTAGATATAAGAAATTTTTGTATAATTTTCTACCTGTTGAAACTGTTGATTTGACGTGGCCAATATGAAAATACTTTGGCCACTAAATGACTTTATGAACTATTTTAAGCAGCTGCCACTTTTGTTTATTCTTTGTTTTTCCTCTGCTGAGTCATGTCGCGTGCGTTTTCAATCAGACGAATCCAAATATGATGACGTATCTCAGAATGTTGACAGACAAAAGAATATTATTTGAAATTTATATCAGAAATTTAGTTGAGTTAGTATCGCATAAATTAACGAAATATTGTTGAGATGAGAGTGCAATGTACGTCCACATTTGTATAGATATATTAAAGTGTAAGGGTCTGATTCAAGGCAATTAAAGCATACCTTAATAAATGTATTACAAAAAGTAAGTTTTATGCTCGGCGCTTTGCCTTCAAAGTTGATCACTCATACGTACTGTTGACTGGCATACGTGACGTATGAGTAACTTTTAAGGAGAATTTGCAACGCCCAAATCTTTAAATTTTTAATTTTTCAGTTTTCAAAAATATTTTTACACACCCTTGTAAATATTTAAAAGTGAGATTACAATTATATATTTTAGACCACCCTAATGTACAGATAAACATCCAATTTTTGGTTCGCTCTGCTTATTTTTGACGCGCTTAGTTTATTCTCATAAAAACATTTTTATTTTCCGTTGCTCTAAGTTTCAAAATATTAAAATCAAGTGATTGAATAGCAATATTAATCAATACATAACGTTTTTATATTGTTGTTATTATTATGCTGCCAGTTGCTTTTTCTTCTCTCCCTAAAAATTCTAAAATACTGAATTGTTATATTTCCAAAATGCAATGTTATGGTAGTTTAACAATCTATCTCAATACCGGTTTGTAAATGACTTAGGATGTACCCCCTGTATTTTCTTATGTACCCAGTGCAGCCACACAGTGAGGCAATTACCTCTCTAAATGGGCCAAAAGCTCACCAACACCACTGCAGCACAGATGTGCAATTGCAATCGCTGACTGTGTCTGTGTGAGTGAGTCTGCGAGTGTGAAAGTAGTGAAAGCTGAAAGCCGAGGGCGAACGGGGCCAATACTTATGCTTATGCAAGCCAGCCGAGATGCCGACGCCACCGCCCAGCAGGAGTCACAAAAACAGAAAAACAGGCGTCATTCAAGGCAGGACATGCGGCACGTGAAGTGTTTACTGTACTTAAATAGCGGAGGATAAATCAAGAGGTCAATAAAAAAAGCTATAAAATGGTAAGAGTGAAATACCTTAAAAATAACACATTTCCCAGATTTTTTTGCCAGAGATTTTGAAATTACCTAATAAAAGTGTCTAAAAGTATGCAGTGAAAAAATTCAAGACTTCCATCAGACTTTTAGACATCATAATATGGATTTTTTTGAAACCCTCGCAAAACTCGATTTGTAAATTGTTTTTTTTTCTCTCAACTTTACTACAGTCTGCCCCCGCTGTGTTGCCCGTGACGTCACGACTGTTGCTTCTCCTAGTGACTTTGTTGTTTTGCCCTCTGCAAGCGCATCTTTCGAAGCGAAGCTACTCGGATCAGAGTGTCCATGGCTATATGACCGAGGTCTCTATAAGGATTACAGGTGGTATATAGCAGTGATGAGCTAACCGAATTGGTTTTTTATTACAGCGCACTTGCTGGTGGAACGAGGTGTGCAAGGAGGAGTTCCAAAGCCTTTTTCGCTGCAAGTGCCCCCAGTTCTCGTACTGCCGGTGAGTTTCCGTTTCCGGCTTAACCCCCGACTTTGTAACAGCGATGGAAATTAAATAAGCATTTCCGGATTCGGTTTGTGTAATTGCTTTCGCATTTTCTCAGATCGCCGGGACGCTACTATAATGCCTACTGCTCAATGACGGACACCGGTTATATTTGGACCCAGCCGAACTGGGATTGGGGGGCGTAGGATGAAGATACCCCGGATAACGCCCCCAACAAGCCCCCGCACCGCCAGCACAGCTCGCTGTGACGTCAAAGACACTGACTGCCGACTGTACGCTTACAAAACCCAAAATATGAGGGGTTCAGCCCAAAAGGAACCCCATATCGAGCCGAGTTCTCAGGCCTTATAATGTAATGGGGTTGAGTTCATCTCCCCAGTTGTTATCGCTCTTCGTGCTGAATAAATGGTATCGAAAGTCGTATTACTTTTCGCCTGCACTGTTCCCGCGGGACTGTTGGAAAATCAATAAAGGCTTTCCAATTCACGACGGCTTGTGGCAGGGCCACAGTGGAAATAAAACCAGAAAAATTAAGCAATTCATTTCTGCACTCTTCAGTAATATTTATTTTTCATTATTCTTTCCAATATTATATAAACTGAAGGATTATAACAAAAACAAAAACACAACGAACATCGGTAATGATTTGCATTCAATAAAATGGCTCTTCAATTAACAATAAGAAGGTTGAAAACATGCCTTTGTATCAAAGCCTATCAATATTTTGTTTTTAAATTTATATATTATTATATTGATTTGAAATGGTTGAGGGCTAGGATAGAAAAAGATAATGATAGTAGTAGAATCTTTAAAGACCCTACTTTTAATATCTTAACTACAGGAATTTTTTAGAGTATCCAAAAAATAAAAGCCTTAAGTCCAAACTTTTTGAAAATTTTACAAACCAACTTATTAAAAAAAGTATTTTTTTCAATAAAAAAAATGGTGTACCTCTTCTTTATATACAAATAAATCCCCATTATCTTAAAACTTCTCAAATTCATTACGAATATTTTTTTGGTTGTTTTTTTTTTCAAGTTTTTCCCACTGTTGCCCCTTCAATTTGTCCCACTGTGCAGGACAAAGGCGCAGGCGTCGCATTGAAAGCGAAAATCGAACAGCGTGGGAGTTCGTTTGCGAGTGTGTGTTTGGAGCAGAGTCAGTTAATCTATTGCCAGCTCAACATATAGACACCGCCAACAGATGTTGGCAGTGCGGAAAATCGAGTGAGCGCAGCCAGAAGCCAAATCCCAGTTGTTTTGGTGACGAAGAAAATCGCAGGACTTCCAGAAAATGTCGCGCATCCTGTTTGCGGCACTGCTGGCCATAAGTTTGGGCTATGTGGCGCCCAGTAGTAGCAGCAGCAGCAACCACCTGCCAGCGGGATTGGCCGTGGATCTGGGGCCAGGTGTGAACCTCAACGAGCGCTTCTTCGACCAAGTGCGGGCACTCATCAAGAGGAGGCTCCAGGAGAAGGTCCTGGCCAAGCCGGAGCAGCAGGAGCTGCCATTGCCCCTGGCGGAGGACGATGCGGTGGCCCTGCAGAACCAACGCAGCTACGACAATGTGCCCCTTCCGGCCGCCAGTGTTCCCACTCCGGTGCTCGTCGAGAACTGGCCCACCGAGCAGCACAGCTTCGGCCAGGTCACCGCCGTGGCCGTGGATCCACAGGGAAACCCCGTGGTTTTCCACCGCGCCGAGCGCTACTGGGATGTAAAGTAGGTCAACAGCTGTCGCTGCCTGGTAACAAGTGTCTATCCCATATGTACACAGGAAAGGGGAAGCCAATCAGTCCAGAATCAAAATTTTATAGCCCAGTTTTGTGGTATACTTTTGGACACATAATTAAGTGATTCCTGTTACATCTTCGTTAATGTATTTGAATATCAGAAAAAAAAAATTACGCGTAAATAGGAAAAAGAACAATCAAACTTTTTGTTATCTTAAGATCAGAAAAATAATACCATCCGTAAACAGGATAAAGATAAATCAATCTTATCTCCAATAATTTTTCAGTACCTTCAACGAGAGCAATATATACTACCTAATCGAATATGGGCCCATCAAAGAAAACACGATATATGTGCTGGACGCGAAGACGGGAGCTATTAAGTCGGGATGGGGATCGAATATGTTTTATATGCCACACGGCATGACCATCGATTTACATGGGAATTACTGGATCACAGATGTGGCCATGCACCAGGCCTTTAAGGTTCGAAAATGCTAGATTCAATTACTAAAATCTCAAATGAAATCCCAATTTTCCCCATCAGTTTAAGCCCTTTAGCAACAAACCACTACTCACCATTGGCAAGCGATTTAGGCCCGGATCATCCGTTAAGCACCTGTGCAAGCCCACATCCATTGCAGTGGCCACAACGGGGGAGGTAAGTGGTACCTGTTGAGTTATTTTGGTTCCCGAACTCACCGACCTCCCAACCCACAGTTCTTTATCGCTGATGGCTATTGCAATAGCCGAATACTGAAGTTCAACGCCGCTGGCAAGCTGTTACGTACGATTCCCCAGCCACCCGGTGCGTATACTTAATATTTATGAGTGGGTCATATATTGATTTTATTAAAAACGATTTTTGCTTTTATAACTTCAGCATTGCTTTTAAAAATAATTTCAATGTAATTTCTCAACTTTTTTACAAAATGTTATTTTGTTTCATGCAAAAATTATATCAGTATAAATAACTTGAAGCCCAGTTCTAGATATTCACCTAAAACATTTAAATATTAGACAACTTTTTCGTAATGTAATGACTATCACTAATAGTAAAAAGGTTATAAAAAAGGTTTTTATTGCTTCTATATTTATAAATTAGTTTTGCATTTTCTAACCACCTCTTCTGCAGAATTCCTCTCATTGCAGGTGCCCCATGCCATCACCTTGCTGGAACACCTGGACCTCTTGTGCATCGCTGATAGAGAGAACATGCGCGTAGTCTGTCCCAAGTGAGAAAGCCCAGGTTCTTCGCAATCCAGAAAATACTAAACGATTATCCTTGACAGAGCTGGCTTGATTTCCTCCCATGGCGAGGGTGAACCGGCGGCCACCATCCAGGAACCGGATTTGGGCCGCGTCTTTGGGGTCGCCAGCTATGGCGACATAGTGTTTGCCGTAAATGGACCCACCTCCATGCTGCCCGTGCGCGGATTCACCATCGATCCGCGCACCGAGACGATCATCGGGCACTGGGGAGAGTTCAAGAACCCGCACTCTATGGCGGTCAGCGTCAACGGATCGGCACTGTATGTGACCGAGATCGGGACTAACCACCAGACGAATCGAGTGTGGAAGTATGTGCTGGCCTGAGCCTAATCCAAGACCCGACCCGCACTGCGCTCCTGCATATCCCAAGATCCCTAGATCCCACTTAATTAGTTATCAGCAGAAACAGAAGGACACACAGAACCAGAATCAGACGCCGAATCAGACACAGATAATACAGAACCTAAGCATAAGCAGAGCCCACCCCAAAGTACAGTTTAACGTGACTCGTGTCAGATCAATAGAGAATAGTAAGTGCTTAAGTAATGTACAAGTTAAGTATGTAAATTGCTTGAAAACAATACCACAACAAACATAACCTCAGACTCTTATGTTTTGCACTGTAATGAGCAAACGAAATAACGAAATTACAAAGCAGCTTAAATAGTACATATACTTAAATGTTATAGTTATGCGTAGGCACTAACTAGGCACGAATGTGAGGATGTGGGGACGTGAGCATGGATAACCGATTCCGATACCGCAGATAACCGGGGGCAACCAGCAGAGCATATAAACATACTTGTGTATCATATTGTAACCTATATCAAATATATAATCGTATCTGTATCTTATCAACTTATCGTAGCCCATGTAAATTATGAATGTAATAAACTGTTGTTGTTGTGATGAACACAGGGGTTCAGATGGTTCAGATCCAATGACTAATTCCCCAAAAGGCAAAGGAATGTTAATTAAATAATTTCTTAGACATAAGTAAACAACGAGTATATATATCTAGCCCTATTTTAGATTCGAACGGCAAGTTTGCATGGCAAAAACATTAATTTACAAATTTTGGAATTGTTTGGGAAAAACTTAAGTAATAGCAAATATAAATAGAAAACTTGAACACATATTAAAATAAAAATTTGTAGGGAATGCAACTGCTGTCAGGTGGAACTTAGCCAATGCCTGGCGAAATCCAGAGCCTCATTCAAGTGCGACAGCCATTCTAGGAGTTCCGATTGAGTGTCGGCAGCAAAAAACACTCCCGCCTCATAATCAGATTCTTTTCCCTGCACTAAAAAGCTTCTGGCCCGGGCACAAAGATCTCGTGGAGCTGCATCTACCAAGGATTGTCCGCATCCTGGCAACTCCAACGAGAAAATGGGTGAATCATCTCCCAGATTATCTTCATGTTGCCAAACGGATAGCCGTACGCCATCTAGACTGCACCATCGTCGATTCCAATGGTGTCTGTTCTTGGGATCCTGCACATTTAGGTAGCCAGTGAAACGGCTCTTGGGCAGCCGCAAGTCCACTCTTCCAGTTATGGATATAGCCGGACCTAGGTTCGTGGATTTGGTGTGTGTACTTAAGGGCAGTTGCCAGGATTGTGAGCTGCGCAGGCAGATCTTATCGCTGGATCTCGATTCGCTGGCCACCAGTTGGAAGGGAGCCAAGTCCATGGCGCGCAGCTTAAAGGAAGCATGCAGACGAAAGCGGGAGATGATCTGATCGCCAACAGAACCCGCTGAAGAGCTCGAGTTGGCGGAACCTAAATTCCCACTGCCACGTCGCTGTAAGGTAACTACTTATTAGGGAACTGCTTGCTTGGAGAACTAAAGCTACTTACCAGCGACTTGGCAGGCTCCAAGGCAAGCGTGGAAACCTTTCGCAGGCGCAGCATGAAGATCTGGCAGCGCAGCTCCAAAGAATCCGCCTTATCCCCGCTATAGAACTCCAAGCCACAGTCGCGAAAGAAAGCAGAGCCATTCTGGCACTCCACCGATTGGGTGGAGCGAATGCGTCCCCCGCACTCAAAGGTGCAGATGTAGTGGTAGTTGAAGAACATATCCTGGCTGACATCGGCCCTTACAGGCAGCTCCATGGCATCGATCAGAAGGCACTGAGATTGCCTCCGTGCTGCCAAGGCCATCTCATTTAATTGGCAACCAAGGGGAGCTGACTTTCGCAGGCTGGAGAAGAGCAGAAGGCGCTCCGCCTCCACCATCTCCGCAGAGATCTCTAATTCCGGCATCTGACGACATATACTCACAGCCTGAGCCAACTGCTCGTTGGGGTTAAGGGACTCGTTCAGCAAGGAGTCCAGGTTGAAGCTGGCATAGTAGCTACTGCTGTCCAGCTCCCCGTCTGTTTGGTTAGACTGATCCCTTGAGAGATTAAGGCTCTGAGTCAGTCGCTGCTTCTCCGCCAGGAAGAAGTCCTTGCCCTTGCGGTACGACCGACGAAGGGCATTCTTTAGCAGGCGGTACCGGGCCAGAGTGCTGACCGACATCAACTGACTTTCACTGGGCATGGGCACCGTCTGCATGAGCTCACCCAAACTGCTGCTGTTGTGCAGGCCAGGATCCACTGCCTTCAAAGCCTCCGCCTGCTGGGGAGTTGTGGGGCAACTGAAGCTGATATTCTGGCCAAATTGGCGCAGCGGCGTGGCTGGGCCATCGTTTATATCAATTGTAAGATTGCGCGAGGGCTGAAAAATCAATTATTACTCAGTTTCAACAACAAGCTTATATTTCAAATGCGTTTCAGAAAGCTTTGGATGAGTACAGTGTGATAGTGGCTATTTACAGAAGTTACAATGTCGGATGAAAGCGAAAGCCTTAACCTCTAGTGGGAGTCAACAAAAATCTCTACCTTGGTTGTAAACCGCTGGCTCTGCTTCTTTTTCGGCGTACTCTGGTTAGCCGGCTCAGGCTCGATTTGTCCAGAGCCATAATCATTGGTCGCAAAGGAGCTACTGCCCGCCTCACCCAAGCTGTAATCGGCGTAGAGCTCCTCGTTCCCTTCATTGGGCATGTCATACGAGACGGAATCCGCATTGGAAATGGTCTGTAATAACAGTTTTAATAATATATGGTATTAAACATAAGCTAGTTCATAGCCACTTACATTGGGCACTTTTTCCAGTCGATCCAGCACCAGTTCACTACGACACAGATTGTCCAGGAAGATCTCGCTGCGCTGCAGAGAGAGTTCCGACCGAGAGAGATTGCGATTCTTCTTGGGCGGTGAATGCTGCTCACTGATATTGTTCAGGGATTGATGGGCGAGAGGTGGAGACGACTTCAGCATGGGCTGGCGAATCACTGAGGACTCTGTGGTCTGACTAGCTGAGCAGGAGGATTCAGTGTCACTCGGTTCCTCGGGTAGAGGCATGAATTGAAAGAAGTTCCCGTTCTTCAGGGATTCGTGCAGAAAGTGACCCAAAGCCACAGGATGATTGGGAGCATATAATTGAGGTTTAATTGGCGGTTGCACAGGCTGGCTAGATCCATTATCCATTATCTGCGGTTGAATAACTGGTGGCATTATCAGCGGTTGGATAACTGGCGGCATTATCGGCGGTTGGATAGCTGGAACCATCGGCGGTTGGATAACTGGAGCCACTATCTGCGGCTGAGTAGCCTGCCCCAGTGGCTTCATTTGAGGCGAGTTCTTTGGCGTCTTCTGCACCCGGGCGTACATGGCGCTGAGATCAGCGGGTGATGGCGATGGATCCGGCATGGTCTCACTAACATACGCCGTGGAGCTTTCCGTTGAAGTCGGAGTGTGATTTACTACCTGCGCTGCGGTCCTAACCTCGTGATGCGGACTCCCTCTGATTCGCAGGCAGTCCTCCTCGATCTCCGAGTAAATGGGTTCGCTGTCGAGATCGCGCTGTAGTCGGGCCACAGATGTGGTGGCCAGGCTGCTAGGTCCATCTGTGCAGTCGAAGCTCTGGGTCTGAAAATGACTACGCTCTAGGGGATCGGAGCGGGAGCAGTCCTGGAAATAAATAAAAATAATTATGTTTAATATGTATATTAATATAATATATATGTTTAAAACTATTTTTCGAATAATTCTAAAACAAACTATTATTATTGTTTTTTTTATAATTAGTTTTGTAATAAAGAATAAAAAGTTTTAAGAAAATATAAAAAATATATAGGCTTTATATGTTCCCTAGCAATATTTTGAATTTCGATAGTCCGAGTGCCTCATTGTTATCGATATCAGCTGCATTGCAGCCCAGCGAAGGAGAGCGCAAAGCAAACTACGCAACAAGCGAAAACAGCTGACGGCACAGATTTCCCCTGGAAATTCGGACGCCATCCGAAAACCATTGAAAACAGAGGCATTTCACGGGGACCAGAAGCGCGGGCACATGGCGAGGAGCACCTGATGAGATGTACAAGTCCCTGATCCGCACCATTAAACACCAGGCCAGGTCACAGATCATCGGGCGCAGCAGCAGCAGCCAAACAAAAGGCGCCAACGGAAAACGCAAGCAGAAGGGGGAGCAAATGGATTCACGCTACGATTTCAACAGGCGCTGGACGCCAGTGGGGGTTCAGCCTCCAGGAGTGGACCCCCCAAAATTGTCCACCCTTAAACTGGTCTCGTACAACATCCTGGCCCAGGATCTGCTGCTGGAGCACCTCTTTCTATACGTGGGCATCCCGCAGGAGTTCCTCACCTGGCGTCGCCGCCAGCAGAATCTTTTAAGGGAGGTAATGAAACTCAATCCGGACATTCTGTGCCTGCAGGAGATGCAGTTCGATCACCTCGCACCACTTGTCCAAGGACTGCGCATGGGCAACGGCAAAAAGCTGGCCTATGTGTACAAAAAGAAGACGGGACACCGAACGGATGGATGCGCCATTGTCTACGACTCTTCCAAGTTCGAGTTACTGGACCAGCAAGCTGTAGAGCTTCATGACCAGGAAGTGGCTCTGCTCAATCGTGAGAATGTGGCCCTGTTTGCCAAGTTCCGATTCAAAAAGGAACCAGGCGAACAGAAGGAGTTTGTGGTGGCCACCACGCATTTGCTGTACAACCCGAAACGAAGTGATGTGCGCTGCGCCCAGGTGGGCAGAATGCTGGAGCAGCTGACCTCCTTCTCCACGGACACACCCATCATCCTAACTGGAGACTTCAACAGCCAGCCCGACTCATCACCCATTGAACTGCTCATCGGAAAGGAGGGGGATGTGGAACCCGCAGCTAACCCAGCGCCTCTGCGCTTCGAGGTCCTCGATCCGGGTGAAGGAACAGCCTCCACATACCAGGACGACTGGATCACTGTGGACTACATCCTGCGCTCGTTAGGATCGCGGAGCAAGCACAAGCTTCTGCCCATTAGTGTCTACTCACTGCCCTCGATCAACTGCTGCAGCAGAGTTGGCCAGATCCCCAACCACTACCTGGGTTCGGATCACTACGCTCTGGGCGCCATATTCACCGTTGTCTAGTTTTTAAGGTTGTCACTCGGACTCATCAATAAAGATACGAAACATAAGATATTACTGGAACGTCTGAGAACTTTTAAAGTTTTGTCTGATTTTTAAATACGTTGAAGGATCTAAGCATTTGTTTAGTACTTTAAATAAATAAGACTAATAAAAGTATAATCCCCTCTACTACTTAATGAGAATAAAAAGAAAACTCACCCTGAAGGTTCTTAGTGCTCGCTCATCACTGGCCTCCAATTTGGCGCGAATGCTGCTCAGCAGATAGCCCATCTTGGTGATGGTCACGTCCTGATCGAGGTCCTTGTGATACGAGCGATAGGTTGTGGGCGCCGCCTCCGTTTGGAAATCCAACTTGCGAGCTCTGTTGGCACGCGGCAGTTTCTTCGGAGGCGTCGGAGCCTTCACCTTGCGCTCGAAATCAAAGTAGGGCTGCTCGCTGTCCAACTGCTGGCGGGTGGAGGTGGTCGTTCCCGAGGGCGTGGTCTGCATTGGTGAGTGGTAGCTGCCCGGCGGCGACTGGGAATGCAGGTCCAGCTGCGAAGTAGAGGTCTGCACGCCAACTGTGCACTGTGTGGGAGTGGCTTTGATCTGCTCCTCCATCGGCTGCTCCTCTTGATTCGACTTTTTCGGAGACACAAAACGCAGGATCTTCTTTTTGGAGCTATTCAGGAAGTTCTTGGACTTCTTTCCAAGGCTTTTCGGTTTGGTTGCCTTCCAGGGAGACAAATTTCGCCACTGCTCACCCCAGATGAACTTCTGGCTGGCCTGACCACCAGTGGTGTTAACTCGACTTGGATACTTGATGGGCGTGTCCTTGTGAATCATATTGGAGGCAAGATTCTCGCTCATACTCCCATCCACAGTGTCAAGGGAAACTTTTGGGACTACAGGCTGGGGTTGTGGCTTAGGCGGCTGCCATCCAATTGAAACTTGTGGTTCAGCTGGCGTTTTAAATGTGCTGGCCGACTTTCCCTGATAGTTGAGCATATCGGTGATTTTCGGCTCTGTCCAGCCAATAATAATATCCTTGCTGGGCGCACTCTTCCGACTACTCTCCTGTCGAATATTCCGGGCGTAATTCGAACCCCGCTTGGACTCCACCACGCGCTCAATGTCGCTGAGCGAGGGGCAGGAGGGCAGATGCTTGTGGCTTTTGGGCTTCTCCACCTCAGCTAAATGGTGAGATAAAACTCATGAGATCGAGGAAAAGCCAAAGTTTAAATAAATGAAACCGTAAGCCAAATTTGTAGAAACAAAACTTTTTATTTGGTAAATACATTTGATTTTTGGTAAAATTAATTTTGGATCTAATTCGATTTGGTTACGGTTTCATTGTCTTGGGCTTGGGTTGGCTACTTACCCATGGGAAAGGATCTACGCTGACTATCCTTTCTGCGCGAAGGTTCCACTCTACTAACGGGCACCTGGACGCCTCGCTTGCGCAGAAACTCGTCCAGCACTCGCTCAGCCTCGCGCACAGAGGGGTTCGTCGATGTAAGCGAAGATTGCGAGAGCTTGCCGTCTAGACTTTGAGAGCCACGTCGCGGTGGCTTTGGTGGCGGTAGCTGGGAGTCGCGTGCCTTGAAGCTGACTTGGCCCTGCGATAGTCGCTTTTGTAGAAGGCGTCCACCTGCTCCAGAACTGCGCCGCGAGCGGGAGCTCCTGCGACTGGAGGGCTCCGTGGCCAGCAATTCCTTTTCCTGTTCCTCCTCCACAGCAGATTCCTGCTCGCTGATGTTGGACAGAACAGGAGCTGACGGCTTGTAGGCTATGGGTTCGTAGGACTGCATTTTGGTGGTTTCTCTCAAGGTTTGGGAGTTTCTATAACGGCAGTTGGAGCCTGAAAGCTTTTGGCGATTTACGCGCACCTCGGACACCACACAGTTATCGTGAAGCTCCTGGATGATGTGAATAAGCGGCTCATCGTCGCCGCCCGCGGCTCTCAGGCGACTGACAGCGGTTAGAGGAGTTTTGAAGCTGGATTTTACGTTGGCCGGTTCACTTTGACGACGTTGCTGCGCCTGCTGCGGCTGGCTACCCAGATTGTTCTGCTTGGCGGGCTGAAAAATGGGCGTTTAATATGGCATCTGGAGGGGGCTGGGGGTGGGCCTACCTTAGAGCTCTCGGAACGCCTGCTGCGCCTGGGCAACCGCACGTGCTGGTCACGTGGCGGCGCCGTGGAGCCGCAATCCCCGCTGTCGCTGGTGAAGCAGTAGCAGAAGCCATTCTGGCAGGGCTTGCCCTTGCGCTCCTGCTCCTTGTTGCAGCGATTCTGATTGATTAGGTCCGCATCCGTGGACCTGCGGACGCGGGGAAGCTGCCTGGGCATGTTGTTCTCGCAGTCGCGACTCTGGGTGGACACCCTGCGAATGCGGCGTGCACGGAACTCGTCGATGCACTCCTGCAGACTGAAAGACGACGTGGAACCGGACTCGGCGGAATCCTCCTCCTCCTCCTCCTCTTCGTCCTCCTCCTCCTCTTCTTCGTCAACTAGAACGTGTTTCGAGAACTTTGAACCTGCAAAAGTCTAGAGACCAAGCTTCAGTTTACAGAAATTGCATTTAAATATAGATTTAATGCTTACGGTGGCCATTTTGATGTCGACTTGTGGAGCTGATAAGACCAGCTGCATGTGCTCCACTTTTCCACGTTGCACACACTTTCTACTCCGGCTCTAGTTCGTGGTTTTCCAATCAAAACGACGCCTCGCCTGCATCTGCATTTTTGTTTTCCCTTTTGTGCCGCTTCTTCTCTATCAAAAACAACCCTGTCTTTTGTTAGAGATGTGAGCTTGGCTGGGAAATTAGGAGCAAGACAACTAACAATAAAGAGACTTGCAATATTTCATTTATTTTCCGCTTTTTTTTGTTTATTTGCAATATTTTATTTATTTTTCGCTTTTTTTTTTGTTTATTTGCGAGAATCTGTTTTATTTAAATGGTGTGGGGTAATAAGGTACCATTTTAGCATACTCAAAAACATTAAACAATATAATACCCTATTGCATATATGAAGGCGGTAAAAAGTTGTACATTGTTCCTGTAAGCCGTTCTATAAGAAAACTACTTATAATTTTGTAACATTGTTATAAACATTTATTTAAGAATTAAATTAAAAATTTGATTTCCTTTTTAAAATCTTAACTATTATTTCAAAAGAATAATCCAGCCATACTAAAATTTTAAAAAGGAATTAATTTTAAAATATATGTCTTAAATATAAAATAACAAACTTTAGCCATATCTTTAAAATGTTTACTAGCTAACTCGGCATCTCTGGCCAACGAGAAACAGCTGTCAGCTGTTTGCGGCATGAGGTTACGTCGCCTCTGATTACGAAAAGTCTTAAAAATTAGTTTTAAACTATTTTGAATTAAAAATAAATACAAAATGTCGAACAGCCACTTGTTCCTGAAGTCCGGCTTTCCACGGGCTCCCCTGCAAAATGGATTGGGGCGCTATGTCTGCCAGCTGCAGAGGATTACTCTGAAGTTCTGCAAGAATAATGGATCTAGCAGAGGCATGCGGTATAGAAGATCATTTAATTTAAAAAGTAATATTTTTAATTAGTAATTAATTGAAAAACTCCACAGCGACTTCATCGAGAACCACTTGGTCGACTTTGCCAAGGAGAATCCCGGTATTGTGGTCTACGTAAAGCCCAGACGCCATCGCACACCAGTTTTGGTGGGGGAGTATTGTGAGTAAACACTTTGGGGTCTCCAAATTCAAAATTTAAAATATATAGAAGCCAGTTAAAGCACAATTATAAATATATTTTATAGAAAATAATGTAGTCATCCAGAAGGAGGTTCTTAAACCCTGTCATAGGTATAACCTATTTATTCAAAAATAATTTTATTGGTATTAGACCAATACCAAACTATTTCTTTGTTCCGCGGAATAAAATCTGGTTCTATTCTTAATATTTAAATCCATATTCTCGGGGGACACAAACCTCTTCTCGTTGAAAAAGACTCGTGTCCCTTCGGATTATGAAAACAAAACAGAATACCATAAAAATATCTTTTTTTCAGTGAACGGCGAGCGTGAGTGGATGAGCTGCAGGAACAGCACCCAAGAGGAGATCTCTAAGTGGATTGACCTGCTGAAGACCCAGAACGGCAGCTCAAGCTCACTGCGTCTCCGCAAAATGTGGCACACTGATGTTCCCTCCATCCAGGGTCCGTGGACACCTTTCCTGCTGCGCTCTCCAGATGCCCAGGGCCAGGTATATCCTAGTGAAGAAGCGTCCAAGCCGCTAGAGACACCACAAACCGCCACCGAGAAGCTTATCGAACTGTTCCGGCAACAGCAGCTCGAAGGCGGCAAGGAAGCCCACGAAGTTCTTAACAAGAAGCGAGCTGAGTAGTAGAAAATAAGCCTTTTTGTAATTGTTGCTTTTATTTTAATAATTAAAATCGGAAACACTGAAATTATGCCTTTTACGCTCTATATCTGCAAATTGAACATTAAATAGGGAGCTTGGTTAGATTTCTAAAATTAACGTTTGAATCAAAAAGAGGCTTTCTTTGCCCTGTATAAATGGTGTAATGATAGTAATGTCCTTCGGGTACTAAAAAAACAACAGACAATTTATGATCCAGATGGCTAATTGGAAGGTTTTTTAATACTTATGTCTTGATGTAATATTTGAAGTGTATAAAACTTTGAATTTTGATTAGGATTGTACTGAAGCGTTCATAATAAGGACAGAAGTTATTAATATTTGAATACGGTGTAAACGAGTTGCAGAAAAACTGTAACAACTTCTCCCTTAAGGAATTTACAGGCGTCTAAAGTAATGTCATACAGAACGGGTGTATTTCAATTCAGTTTTTAAACGATTGCGATTTCTGGGAAAGTCTTTTTTACAATAGTTTCACTTTTTCCAAAGGTTTTTCTGTATTTTATACCCTTACCCAGATATCAGCCGTCTTAAGCCGCTCTGGCCGCGTTGCCAGATCCGGCGAGAAAGACCCCCAGAGAGAGCTTCGCGTAGAGCTTTCAGGTGAGACCCGAGCTCGCCTCACCTGCTAACCCGATCCGATCTTCAGTTTCGATCGAGACGCACTTGAGTGCGGACGTGTGGTGCGCTTGGTCCTGCGATTTCCGATTTCCTGCTGAGTTTTGCGGTGTCGTCGCATATTTCGTGCCTTCCGGAGCGTGGATCCCCTGGATTTTTGCGGTCGTTGTGCAAGTGCTTGGCAGTCACGTACAGCCGTTGCAACAAAAATTCGAAAAAGTATAAAAAAACTGACGAACAACAACCGCCAGAAGTAACCAAATCAATGTGGCAAATAGTGTACTTTCGATGCGCGCTCGTTGATTGATTAACACATCACCTCCTACACCTATACAGAGTACTTGGTACTGTACTCAGTACTCATTAATTTGTACTCGCTTCCCTGTGGGTGCAATCCGCTGGAATTGTAAACTTCGCGGTGTGCATCATCAGCGGAGAACGTTAAAAAAAAATAAGTTAAAAGTGCCGCGGTTGCATTGTTTTGACTTTGATCGTGTGTCGTGCTCCCCGCAATCCGACAACCGCCCCTTGTCCCATCGACGGAGCGCGTGCGTGTTGTAACTTTTGATTAGCTTCGGTCGGTCTTGGATTCGGATTCGGATTGGAACTAAGATTTGGATCTTCCAGTGCGCCTGCATTTTTCGTAACTTATCACCGCCCACATCTAGCTCTGGCATTCGCCATTGCAGCTCGCTCTCTTTCTTCAGGTAAGCCAGGTTTCCTTGGAGGAACCATAAATGAATACATTTTTAAAGAAATATTGGTTTTATACAAGTATACAATACTAGGTTTCTGCTTAAGAGAATTAGTGTTCTTCCAAGTTAAAAAACAGTTTGACTTCTCTATAGCGTCTGCAGTTTTTCATTAATCGTTGGCATGATCATTATCCAAGTTATTTTATTAGGAAAGAAATATAAATAAAGAAGTTTTAGTTATTCCAAGTTATTAAACAGGCTGAGTATTATGTTGGGTCTTGGGTATTCCACAAATCGTTAGCATAATCCTTGTCCATATTATTATTATTATTACAAAATATAAAATCCCAATAAAAATTTAGAAGACACATTCATATACTTCCAAAACAGATTGGAAATGTTTTAAAATCGAAATATCCTTAAAAAATAATAATATTTTCTTGGCGTGTAATTTTGGCTTGGGTTTTTGTTACCTTGTACGTACATATACTTAAGACGTGGAGGAAGACCAAGGAGAAGAAGCAGCAGGAATGTCCGCTGAATTGGCAATGCAAACGGGCGCTCAATTTAGGAATTCCCTGCACATGCCGCAGCGGAAGATGGAAAAAAGTGAAATTCGCCCCGAAACCTTTGTAATTATAGACACTCACCATACGATCCAATACGATACGCACAGACAGTACAGTGCCAGGCATAATTTATTGCATATTAACGTTTGGCAGCTGACAGCTGCTTTTGGGATTGTTCTCCGGAGATCGATGTGGGATGGGGCCGTCAGAATCGAGGCGAAGCTGTGGCAGATGAGATGAGATCACTTCTAAAAACCGAGCCCAGGCGAATCGGCCAAGAATGGCCAAAACGCAAAAATCGCGTATGCGCGTATGTAAGTCCATCAATCACAGGCGAATAAAAAGAAATGTCGAACTCGCTCTGAGTCACCTGTATTCTGGGTATCTTCTTGGCTTTCATTAGTCTACCTTATCCAGCAGCGGAATCTAATTAATTCTTCTTTGTTTTCATCACCTCGATAACTGTTTGTCTCCATTCCATTTGAGCCGCTTTGGCTAATGGTTGACCCTCTAAGCCAATCAGGCAAAAATGTTAGGTGTAGGTAGGTGGTACATGGAAAAAAATGTGTAGACTCGCTTCTCCATTATTTGAAATTGTCTTCATTCAAAAAATATATGCGTATCCTAACGATATGCCTCAAAACACTTTTCTATTTTTTTTAATTAATCCCCAAACTACGTATATAAAACTTTCAGAACCAGTAAAGTGTATTTACCCAGAATTATTGCCATCTATTTTTTTTGCGTTACATGTTAATAGGTATTCTGTATTATAATAAACTTCTAGTATTTGACAAAATAATCCTCTTTTTATTGTAAGCTCTTATATTTTTAGATATTACTCTTAACTAATATAAAGAATATTATAATACCTTATACCTTATACCATTGTAAATTGCGGACCTTTCCGACATTGATACTCACAAAAGTGATCTCCACTCATATGTCATATATCATATATCTTTAATGATGTATTATTTTTCTGTGTACTATCGATTTGACCACCACAGTGCCGTGTCATGCCAAGATTAGACCGCCGGAGAAACAGAAGCCTAGGCAGAAGTGACCTTGAGGGTAATAACTCCCGCGACTCGCGGCTCTCTTAGTCATGCCCGGAATGCAGCCGAGCAGCATTGGCAGCTGCAAAGGCCAAAACCGGATGGCATCCACATCCACATCCACCAACATCTAACATCTAATGGCCAACACAGGCACATGGCTTTGAGTGTGAGATTGTGGCAGGCTGTATCAACCCACACCATGCAGGGTTCTCTTATTTTGGGGGCATTATAAAAGTATTTACTGCCACTCATCTAAAGCTCTATTATTAACACTTACTGGCCAACGAATTCCAGCGTCTAATAATAAAAAAAAAATGCCAATAAGACCCGAAAAATAACAGCTTAAAACAAAAAGCCATCAAAACACAGAAACAACAAAAAAAGTGAGAATGCGCGAGGGCAAACGAAACCAGAATCAGAATCTCGGGACGGGTTTGTCTAATGGTCGATTCGGGGGGTTTGGGGATGGTGTGGGGTCCGCTTGGCTAAACAAACTGGTTGGTAACATATACTCGGCACAGGTGGGGGGACCTTGGAGCGCATCTTGACTCTTCAGAAGTAATTTGAACTGTCAAAGTCGGACAAAAACCAATTTGTAATCTGTGCACTTGTTCAAAACGAACCTGAACAATTTCGGCCATACTATAAATGATATATGTGAGCCAGTTTTTATAGCGAATATTTCGCATTCGTTTGCCAAATTGAATTTTTAAATTGTTTTTATTATTTTGTTTACGCTGACCCATGTCGAGATGCTGCGCGTTCGTTGCCTAAGTCTTTTGTATTGGGCCCAAATGGATTGGCATTTCAGCCGCGTGCTTTTCAATGCCGCGAATATTTTTGTAAGCGGCCCGTGTAAATGGACATTATCGCACATCGGATTACGCAAAAGACCGTAACAAAACCAAACAAACAGCTGGCTTTAATAGACTTTGCAATGCGTAAGGCGTCCGTCGACTGACCTTAGATTTTTATGGTAATCGCTGGCCAATTGCTCTCAAAATTGAAAAAAACTTGGCCAGCTCGCCCCAAATGACACACAAACGCCTCTGCCAAAAACTTATTGGTTGCTTTGCGAAAGTTATTCTCTTGATTACAAACAAAAGAGGGTTAAAAAGCATTTGACGTTAACGACTTTCGAGCAAATTTTGTAAAGATTTTATACGGGTATTTATGTAAAGACCAAGCAGGTTTCTGCAACTCATTAATAAATTAACAGGTGGATGCGATTACGATTGTGATTGTGATTGTGAGCCGGGAATGTCATTGCGATCGTCTGACGCCAATCGCCGAGATGATTTTGCACAAAAGTAGAGACGGCTGAAGAGAGGGGAGAACATCCCACAAATGATTTAATGTTTATAAATACGATTTACGCCTCGATCTGATCAATTTTTATGGCCATCGTAAAAACGTGAATGTACTTGTAGCTACTGCAAAAAAGGCCTGACGATTGGAAATACCCTGATTTAATAGTTTCAATGATTTTTAACTACCCTTATTTGTTTTCTTTTTATGAGACGACATTAAAAAATACTTGTATCGCATTAAAATTAATAAAGCACGTAATATATTATATTGATAAATATTTAAATATACAAAATAAATAAACATTTAAGAATTCTTCTTAAATTACTTTAATTTAAAGTAGTTTGTTTTTGGACTATTGGATTTGAGTAGTTTTTTAAGTATACCAATTTCATGACTTGATGGTTTCAATGATTTTATAGTAACCTGTAATATATATATTTTTTTATTAGGCAAAGGAAAGTAAAAATAATATATTTTCGTATAGCCTAAGACAACATTCATTTAGGATCTCATTAATTTACTTATATAGTAAATCCACCTAAGTGAGGGGCATACAAAAGCAAACCTAATAAAGCTGTCAGTGGTTTTCCTGCTCCTCTCAACCCGTCAGCCTTCTAATACCAAAGGCCCACTCAGCCGAAACGGCCATCATTTAATCTCGGTGCCTGGCCGTATGAAATACGATCTTATAGGCAAAGTTTACTACAAGTACTTTGGATGGCTCTCGCCAGTTTAGAGATCAAGTTTAACGGCCATAAAGCGACAGCAAATAAACGCTTGTTTTGTTGTTTGTTCGCTTGTTTGCCGCGAGTTAACCCTTGGATTCACCCTGACCCCGAGGGTGACCCTCCTCCGCCAAACCCGTGTAGCTCGTTCTTGTGAAAGTTGAAGAAATCAAGAGCCGAACAGCGAATTAATTTAATTTCGGAAATACTTATGCCGAAAGCGAAAGACCCTCTGGAGACAAACTGGCTGCACCAGTTCGACGGGATTACACGGTTCCACTATGCTAATCAGCGGAAATTATATTGTTGATATATATGTCAATACATCGGAAATGTGGGGGCCTGAGGTACACTACTCTTATAAAAGCCAAATATCGAATCATTTGTCAACTTAGTGATGGCTTAATTTTCATAATTGATAGAAAACCATCGAAAGTGACGGATTTTTTGTGTGCTTTTGCTTTTCATTTAGTTGCATTCCGAGGCATCCAAGTCGAAATCGAAGGTGAATAGAAAACAAACAGAAATCAATGAAAAACTTGGATTCGATGGAGGCAACTTTCACTGCGAACCGAAGATGTCATCGAAGCCTTTATAAAAAACTCCCCAATGGAATAGATTAACGAGCATTATCACTTTTCATAGCGGAGATCTCCTTCTATCAACAAAATCTGAAAAGTATTATGGATGGATTATGAAATGGAAAATCAATAAATACATCTTTCCTTCATTTAGCTCCACTTAGTTACCGTTCGCAATATTTTTTTCTCTGTGCACCCAAGTAATTATAATGAGCCAACTCGGCACACATGTTTGTCAATCACATATTATCGACGACTGACTCCCCGTCCAAGTTCGGTGGCGGATTCGTGGTGCGTGACATTAAAGTTGAGAAATTACGCGCAAATAGAAATCCAAACACGAAATGTTTAAGGCAAACAGCGTACAAAAAGCAGCCATAGCACTCGCATAACCATCATGACGAGCTGATTTTCGCACCGCACAGCAGCCGTAAGATCTGTTTGGCTCAAATCGAGTAGCCAGTCACATGGACCGTTAAGAGCCGCTAGCCAAAATACACATATCACCCATACGCCGGGTGGTGCGAACAGTTCGTCAAAAAGCCGCGATTAGAAAGTCAGTTGGCTGCGCCAGCTTGCTAATCATTTTCTGGATAATTTCCTTTTTTATTAGGCCATAACTTTTGTATAATTTCCTTTTTTTTATTAGGCCATAACTTTTGTAAATATTTTATTAAATCTTTAGAATATCCTCTCATTAATGTTTTATTTGTAAGATTTTTCTAATTTAAAAAGAATACACCTTCATAATATTTAAGCTCCTTAAACCTCTATAAATATAGGTTGAAAACATTTATGAAAATTTCTTATACCAAATGGATATAAACAAAAAAAAATATTTTCGTAAGTCCCTAAAAGTTCTAGAAAAAAAATAATTAAAAAAAATATTTTTGAAAACTTCTGCGGGTTCTTAAAAAATTAGAGTTCTTAAAGAAAGATAAGCCTCTAAATCTCTATAACAACATAAAAAGAGAATTAATTTAAGCTTCTTGAAAATTTCTAATAATAGATTATGGTAATAAATTCTGGAACGAAATTTCATGGATTTCTGCAACTTCTTGAAAAGAAATTAATTCAAAAATATTCCTTCAATCTTTGAGGGTTCTTGAAAAGATCAAACGAAATTCCCGAACCTTTGTTTTTACCTGTTGGCTTAAACGAATCTCTGTTTTTCTCTTCCTTGTTGGCCTCTCCCTTAGCCGCTAAGTGGTTGCACAATCGCCAATGGCAAATGGCCAACACGGTCTCATTTAAAATCAATTTCAGCTCTTTTACTTAACCATTTTGTACTTATCTGGCCGAATTGCTGGCTGCCATGTTATTCTCTAATTTGGCTGGCCGAAAATGGAGCGTTCGCGCATAATAATAATTCCACTGAAGTATTTTGGTCAAGAGTGTGCCACAGATCGGGCTCTAGTTTCGATTTTCGGGGCTTTTGGGAGCGGCCAAAGGCGATACACTTGCCGCCCCAGAGTCCAAGTTTTGGCCGGGTCCGATAGCATCGATTTATCGTCGATCCATTAATAGTTGACTATATTTTGTTTTGGGGCCAGTAACCGGTTTCCGGTGCCCAAACAGAAACCGACTCAGTCACAGATACACATAGCGATACAGATACATTTGCAGATACAAATGCTAGCGTATTTTGAAAATCGTATCTGAGGCCCAACATGAATGAGCTTTTCGAATATTTCGTAACCAGTTGGACTGCATTTTTTCCACTCGCTGTCGCCGTGAATCGAACATGAGTAGCGTGGCCAAATGTTTATGTCCGCAGCCACAGTTGGCCATAATCGATATGTCGTAGGAACCGAGTCAAGTGTTCTTTTCATTCGAATCGAGTTGCGTTGAGTTGAGGACTTCAATTTAATGGCGTGTGAATTGCATTCGAATCCGTTTCGCTCATGGAATTCGCTCTACGTCCGAGCCAAGTTCGTTAATTACATCTCGGTTCTAATTAGTGGAAATGCAAAGCACTCGAGAGGCAATTCAATTAAAGTAATTGCTCACCTCACCTAAGACTCTTAAGTCAGCTTTAACTTCCACTCCAGGCCCGAACAGTTTTCCCTCAGTCAGTTGGGTAATGAAGCTCGGTTTTGGCCAACTCATGACAGTTGACTTGGCATCACGCAGGCCCATTCCAAAGAATTGAGCTCGGAGCCCGGAGTTTCCCACTTTTCTTGGCAGTTGCGTCTCCAGCTGGGCGCCATTAGTTTGCTTTTGCCCCAAATGTGGGCAGATTAGGTTGCACAAAAAAAAACAGATCACTTTCAACCGTAGTTAAAGTTAAAGCTTGTATATATTATGGCTTACAATTTCTAAGTTTATAAGCTATTTAAATAAAAAGTTCTCCTTAGATCCGTTTTCTCTATGTCGTGTTATAGTTATAGTTGTTATCTGTCATGAAAAGTTAACATGAAGCTACATTTTTCGAAAGACAAATTCGTTTCTTTAATTTGATGTTAATTACAGATCTTTAAAGTGCTTAAAAGTGCGTTACTTTACGACTTACGTCGAATTTCTCAATGTCATGTCAAGGTTCTAGTTAGCCATCTGTCAAAAAAGTTAACAAGGAGTTACATTTTTTCGAAAAAAATGGTTTTTCAAAGTACTTCTAATATTATGAACGACAAATTTTTGCAAAAATTGTACACTCTGATAAAAGTTAACATGACATTGAGAAATCGGTGCTTAATCAAGTAAGAATATTACGAAACTTTGATTTTCTTATGAACTCTAAACGAACAATAATCGGGTTATTCTAGTTTTAATATATATATTAAATTAAATTGGTTGTAGATTATGTTTTTAAATATTTTGTAAGTAGTCTGAACGAAAAATTTATAAAGTGAAGAGTTAGGAACGTCTGGTTTTCACCTTCAAATTGACTATAGTTTTTCAAGGATAGACCTAAGTTAATCACCAGAAATTCATCAAAACAGATTTATGTGTGCCATCCAAAACCCAATTAAAATTTCGGCCTATAGTTCTAGCCCAGTTGCGAAGACTGCTCCAGATACCCGTTTAATGCGACTCCATTTGCTTGTGTGGCTCGTCTTAATTAACATTTTTTACATGCTTCTCGATTTTGTTTTGCTTTGGCGACTTCAATGTCAGGCCAATGTGGTCGTCACAGTCACAGTCGATGTTGCTGATGCTGTTACCATTGTTGCTTGCTCTCAATGCCAGACAGTTGTTGGCCAGGCCAGCCAAGTTGGTCTAGAGTCGGGTAATCAAAACCAAACGAGGCGGTCACCCAAAGCGTCAGCTGCCGCCTCGGAAGTTGCTGCCGCACCGTTATGGCTTATAAAAATGTTTTGTATATAGCTTCTATATATATAGATATTTCTGGGGGTCTGGCATTGGACAATGAGTCGGTGATTACTGGCTGCCCGCTGCTTACCTGAGATGTCTCTGAGAAAAGTGGAGCACAGCCGTTCCCATTTGCCCCCAAATCGTGGAGATTTTCGCCAATCAGCCAGCCAGCTCCAAAAACCAACTAACACCAATTGTCGTTGATTTATCTTGGGGCAAGAAAACAGAGATTTCATGCTGCATGCAATTTGCTTGTCAAAACTGTGGCACCATTTTCCAAAGCCAAAGAATTGGCCACATTTTTACGCCCATTTCAACGCCATTTGTTGTCGTTTAGACCAGAGCAAAAAAAGAAATAAAACCCGGAGCAGGTAGCTTTGGGCCCCTGATTTATGTCGTTTCATTAGACAAGCTTTTTTTTGGCGGTCCAAAGTATCTCATAGATTTTTGGAGTTTGTCTGTTTGGGGGGCAGCTGTCATTGGCTTTGATTAGTTTGTTGAACGCGGCAAGGCCTTCGATTTCACTTAGCTGCGAAGGCGTCGGATATATAGACACATGGTAATTCCGATCGAGCATTGAACCGCACTTCAGGAGGATCGCCTCCAAGTATCTGCCTGTCACACTGGAAATCTGCGAAAAAATAAAAGAGAAACGTGTGTCTATCTTTCGACACTTTCTGCAAAAAGAAACTCTAATGGAATTGTGGGAAATTTCCTTGTCATTGTTTGGCTAATGCAATAAATCATTTTCACAGATTCAGATAGTCTAGTACCCAGTCTCCCGAAAACTTATGCAATTCTTGGCCAATAAATATTTTTATAATTATTTTTTTTTTTCTCTTTCAGAGTCAACTATTCACCAGCTGAGATGTGCGTCCAATTAATTATATAATTTCCAAGACCCGCTGAAATCCCCGCTAAAAATCAATTGCACAAAAGAAGAGAAAGAGGCGCTTGAATAGACACGCCAAGCGGTGCTAATGCGAAAGAAAACTCCCCGACAATTGCCAGAAATTGTAAAGAAATAAATTATACAAAATGTCTATAAATAATACAAGACATTCGCCATTCGGACTTGGAGGCGCCCTGCTGCTGCTCGCCGCCTGGTGCTTCTGCCACCTGGGATACTTCGGATCGGAGGCCCATGTGGCCCTCACCTATCCACCTGCCCGCAAATACGATCTGGACTTTCTGGACAATGCGCGGACCAAGGCGCCATGTGGCATGCCCAAAGGTGAGTGTTCTTTGTTGGGGAAGTGACCTGGATTTTCGGTAGCCTAAAATACATAAAAAATACACCGATAAATATTAGTGGGTAAAACCTACCTAACTAAAAAAGTATCACAAGTTTTAATCAACTTAAATTCCAACTACTTCAGTAGGAGGTAATATTTTGTCTCCAAATCAATAGGCATCCATTGTAACACTTGTGGTATATTGTTTATTTATTTATCAATTTAAAATGCTCATATTTTTTACGATATTCTGCGGGGAGAACTGTCTTCAGAAAAGTGACCTCGATTTTGGATAACCTAAAAGACTTGAAATAAATACTAATAAATAATAATAAATTCCGTTCTCATTGATTGTATTTGATAAAAAATCAAAATTGTTGTGGATGTTGTATTGTTTACTTCTTATCGTCTGTTGAATTTTGAAAAATAACTTTAGAGGTGCTAATTGTCTTAAACATGTGAGTATATGATACAAATATTTGTATTATTCATTGACTAAAAATTCCATCATGTTTATAAAAGCCAATAATAACAAAAAAACAACAATTTTTGACTGAAAATTAGTATCAATTAGGTAAAAAATAATGATTAATCGCTTGGAGCTGTTTTTTCACTTCACCAAAGCTAGTACAAACACATCTTTCGATGCATATTATTTTGTTTAATTAGGTAAAAATAATGGAACAATTGTTTAAATTAATTTATTCCCTTGCAAATGCATTTCTCTGATTTAATTCGTGGGAAATAGAAACACAGCTGCTGGAACAGGAGCAATAATTGGCCCAGCTCCAATGAAAATGCATGTCGCAATCGCCAATTGTTGGCCAACTTTGGTGGGTTTACTCAGCTCGTCTGCCAGGCACGCTTTGATTATAATATTATGGCTTATTACGGCTGGTTATGTGCGCTTTGTTTGCCGACTGTAATTGGTCAAGCACGTTCAATTCACACAAACATCCAGAGATACAGTGCGTTTCATAAGCTCAAATGAGATTTGAAAGAGAAGCAGGAAGTGCTGGGCAGCACCCAGCGTAAATGATCGTTAAAATACTAATATAAAATTGTTTGTTTGATTTCTTTAAAGTAATTTGGTCAAACAATACAAGGCTAATGATAATGATGATTTTTTTCTAAGCTCACCTTGTTTCTCAAGATTATATTTTTTAGGATTCTAATATCAGTATTTTCTTCAAGACTAATTAATAACATATTAAAGCTTATGAAAAGCTTTGAAAAATATTAGTTGTTTCAGATTTTAAATACTTTTATTGCACTTTAAGTTAAACCGATGAAATATTTTATCTTATAAATACCTTCATCAATATGTGGCCATATTCAGTAGATTTGAATTAGATCCATAATTTATTATAATCTTGATTAATTAGGTAATATGAAAAAAAAACAAATATAAACATAATTTTACTTACAAAAATTGTAGTGAATTTACAATCCTGCAATAAAAAAGTCACCATATACCATACCATATCAATATTAGATCATTTAACCAAAAGAATATTGTTAATAGTAAATAAAAAAGCACAAGAATCAAAATACAGTCGATTGCACCTAAAAATGTTAGTTAAGTAAGTTCAGGTCATAAGAGCTACCATATATCACACCATATATCATACATCGAAGCCTTGAATCTATGGAAATAAAATCGATTTGTGCCATTCAAGCGGGGCTGCTAATGACTTACACCTGCGAAACGCACTGCATGTTGTTTAAATGTATTCATAATTCAGAGACGTGCATTTTGCAGCTGAAACACTTTTGCTTTTGCACTCGCTTGCATAATATCATATGCATATGCTTATGCTCCGTTGTTATTGTTATGGTTATGTGTGTTATATGTGTGGCATCTTGCTCAATGCTACTTTTGTTATTGTTGTTAGTGCTGCCTCAACTGCAAAGTGTTACCAATTAATTTGCATATCGCGAGCGAGAGAAGCAACTCGACCGCCATTCACTTGTTCGCAGGTGAGTGGAGATCCACAGGCAAAGAAATTGGGTCATACAAAAAATTATGAGCATTTCGATTATGATATCCGTTGGATATGTTGACTTATGGGTGCCTGGTAAAATGCACTTTCGAAAATGAATTAAAATAACACCTCTCGAGTCTTGACATTTGATTGCGCTGATTTCAAGAGGGGCTAAGGGTTTTTCATTTTTTGTGGGATAGTCCCCCCGTCGATAATGTTTGCATATCAATTATAGACAGCCGACAATTGCCTTGAGATGGTTGGTAATTGGCAACTGGCAACTGGCAACGGGAACACGTGTGCCGCATCAAAATGCCAAATCAATTTCCATGGATATGTCCATAAAGTACGTACCTACATATCGAGTATATATACATACCTATACCTATATCGATTGTACAACCCGTTGAGCGACATTTTTGTGCGCAGCACTCTTGCCCATATTTTTATTTTCATTTTCAATTTCGTTTGCAGTTTCATTTCGCTTTGTTTTGCCCGGTCTGTTGTTGGTTTTTTTTTTAATTATATATACGCGCGCACATTGCGTATACGCAACGTGGGCAACGGTGGCACGTTTAACCCATTTTGGGGCATGACAACTTTTGCCGTTTTCTGTGCGCTGCAGCTTGCCAAACGCGTCTCGAGTTGGCCAAAAAGCCGCTCTGAGCCATGGCAACTGCAACTGCAACTGCGGCCTACTGGCTGCCTTGATGATGATGTATGCACCGCCACCGACGAGAGCCAAAGTGGAATGCCACATGCTGCAAGTGAAAAACTTTCACTTGTGCAGTGCATTACGCCACACAGAAGTCGCCGGGGGCAGAGCGTCTCGATTGGCGAGTGGAGTGTAAAATCAGGGGTTAAATATTACGAAAATGTTAGTTACTCTATCCATGGCCGTAGTCAGAATGCTTTGAATTTGATTGGGTACAAATTAAATAATAATTATTTCAAAATATTTTCAAATATACTTTATATACTATTTTAAACTTTTATAATTTAAAAATAGTTTTTGCTACGATTAAGCTTTCTACAATGATGTAGTATAGGACTATACACAGAAAGAAATATTCAAGTACATTGTTCTTGAATTGAGAACATTCGTTCTTAAGAACCCTGTAGATAAATTTGTATCAATTTTCTCAATATTAGATCGGAATGGTGAGAAGAGAAAAGATAAATTGAGTTTACTTAACAACTTTTTGAAAAGTAAGCTTTAGGAACATTTTCAACTCAGATGAGAAAATCAGAATTTTCTGTGTAGGTTGGCTGAATGGTTTTAAACTTTTATCAGAACTGGAACTTAAAGCCTGGCATTTACTTACGCAAGCAGTTTTAATACTTTAAGCTGTTCACCCTATAATAGACAACGCTTGCTAAGAGCACAAATACCTAAAAATAATACTCCAACAAATGCTACATTGCTAAATGCTAAATTTAATATATTTTAAGTTTTCTGATTTATTAAATAGGCCACACTTACTAAAAATTTCTCATATGCAGGACTAATCATTACAGTCAATGGAATACAATCTTAAGTTTTTAGAAACTTAGGTCTGTTTTCTCGCCTGCCTATTGAACTTAAAATACGTTTGGGAATATATGCGGGAATATATGTTTTTTGATAAACCCTTAATATATATTTTTAAATGCGAACATTGTACCGCATCTATATCTATGATTTATCTGCAGATCGATCGCTGTTTACAGATGTATCTTTGTATCTGACAGTGACTGCTAAATGAGGCTGATGTTTTTTTCTTAGCTGCTTTGATGCTGCTGCCCTTTCTGTCATCTTGCAACTGGTTTACTGGGCCACAAAAACGCAGGGATTGGAAATGGGTCTTCGAGGTACTCGAGTGACTGACTGACTGCTGACCTCTGCGCAGCATCTTGCATCTTGTTTGCATTGTGTTTACCCCTCGTCTAATCCGTCTCAATTTGTTCGTGTTTGACACTCTTTTCCACAACCTTTGTCTCAGTGCGGCCACACGATTTGTTTTGATTTGGCTTGGTTGCTGTTGTTTCTATGTTGTTTTTTATGGCCACAAAAAAGGCGACATGGCTCGTAATTGTCGGCTGGCGTGCTGAGCACACTGGAATGGAGGTCAAGTTGTGGTCGCCTCTTGTGTCACATGTCGGCAGATGGAGATGGTGATGAACATCTCTTGGGCAATCCATTGGGGTTGACAACACATGGGTTTCGATAATTAGAAGAGCAATCAGCTCAATGCTAATGTCAATTAGTCAGCCGCAATTGCATCGACCGACTTGGGCAATATTCAATAAGCGCTGCCAGAGATTTATCATCGCAGTTGTTGCTAGAAAAACCACCAACCATTTATCATACACAAAAAAAAATAAACTTATAAACTTATTAAGAACCATTCATCGCAGTGTTGCTAGAAAAACCAAAAACCATTTATCATACACAAATAAAAATAATGTATGAATTTAATATTCCTATGGTAAACTTAATAAGTACCATTTATACCACTAAAAAATGTATATTTGATATTGAGAAATGGTATTTCTTGGATTTTCTCTCTTTGAAAATTCAACAAAAAAGGAAAAAAAAGAAAAAAGAGTAAGATAGTGCCAAAAAATACTGTGGATAAAAGCGAGGCAAGATAAATTTAATATCAATGCTCATCATAACCTATACATTATTTTTATCAGTACATTGCAAACTGTCTGAAATGCCTGAAACTCATATTTTAGACCAAAATCCCCTGCCTTGGCTTTGCTAAATCCTGCAGCAAAATGTCGCATTGTGAGCCATTTGGAATATCAATGAGAGCGCCGGGTTTAAATGACATTTAAACCGTCTACACGGACCTCGCTACGTATACGTAATATTGCCCGGGAATGCATAAGTAGCCAGCACCACAGGCACATGCATAGCACAGAACAAGCACATATATCTATCGAAATGCATTGTATCTGCATCTTAGACCGCTTGGATCCATAAATACCAACCGGCAAGTGGAGTGAACTGTGGAGCAAAGTGTGGAGCAGTGGATCGGCTTGGATTGCATTGGATTGGTTGGGATTGGGTCGGATCGGATCGGTCGGTGGCCCCCTAAGGGGCTGGTCGAGACAACGTCACGAGCAATTAACTAAAGCGAAACTCCTTGACCACAGCAGCAGTGGCTACACCACAGGGAATGCAAATAGCCCCACTGAGAAAAAAAACAATGTACTATTAAGGGGTTTTTAAGTTTTTAAGTTCTCAATGGTTTCATTTTCTCTTCCATTCTTGAAAACTTACTTTTCTATTTGAATTTTTTTATAGTGAAAGCTTTCACTAAACACAATTCAAAATTCAAACCAAACCAATTATATATTATTTAATTTTTCCAAAGCATTTATGACATTATGACACGTGGTTATCTTTTGACTTAATGATTAGCTTAATTTAAAAAATGCAAGGCAGCCTATATAATATCTGTACACATATATGTTTTGATTTACTATACAAATTAAAATTGTTTCTCTAGGTTGAGATGACTTTTTTAATGAATCCAGTCAGTAAGTAGAAATTTGAGCAAGTGTCATACGGCCATAGCAACAATGGATTTTTAATAAGACACCAAAATCTCTAGAAATATCTGTGATATGTATAATTGTTGTTATATCAACAGATAGAAAAAATATTAAGATTATTGAATGTATTTTTAAGTCTCTGAGATTCTAAGAATTAAATGCTTAATTATGATTGGTGTCTATAGCAGGTGTCTTAGAAAAATCCCTAAAAAACCTATAAAAACGTAAGATTTTCTAGGGTTAAAACTCGCCACATACTGATTTTATTCTCCGTGCACCAGAAGTACCAAAGCACTGCAAATATCGCAAATATCAAGAGCTGCCAAAGCTGGAAATACGTTAGCCACTTGGTCAGGCTAATTTGCTGCAGCGGCCACGGCGTCGAACGGTGGCAACTGGCAACTGGCAGCCAGTGTAGGGTTGCCAAAGCGAAATTAATTTTATGGCACGTTACTTATTCCGCTCCACCCGCTGCCTCCCCTTTCGACGCCCCTTTTCTACACCCGCCCCTGTTTTTGGTGGCAAGAAATGCTGAAATTTATTGCCCTCCACGGCGCATGCGCAACGCTTCGTTAGCCGAGGCAAAAATGCTGCCTGGAAGTGTATTTGTCAACTTTTAGCAGTGCACCCTGTACAGTGGTCTGTCTGTATGGCGGAAGTCTTTGTAAACGACTACGTGAGAGGCGTCGACCATATTGGGCTGTCGGTTTTTTGTATTTTCTTTCGTTTTTTGCACTCATGCAATTAGAATGCATGCAAGCGAACATTCTTCTATCAACAACAGCAAATTGCCTTGGGGAGGATGATGTAATGCCGCCCATTATTAAAGTGCTTACCAGGTTCTCCTCCACCCATGTCAAGAGTTCCAGAACACTACTGTTCTTCAGCTTTTTATAATGGCTAAGACTTGCACATAGGATAGGGCACATGAGATACCTACATCGTTTGAAAAATCTCTTTTTTACTTAATCGCTGAACAGACTTACAACTTTTTACCGGACCCAGCCTATGAGAAAATTTTAATTCGATTATAGAAATAGAAAATAAGAAAAATAAATAAAATTTTGTTATAATACTTTTCAAAAGCTCAAAAATTAAAACAAATTACATAACTTTTTTTGAATAGTACCTAATGAAACAATGTTTCTAAGCTGATTTAATGAAAATTATTTTTTGTGCAAGTAATTTAATGTTGATGAGCTTTTAGAAAATGCAATTTAATATTTTAAAATGCCTCCATCAATAGCCACATTCAATCAACACTAAGTCGAAAAGCGCCTCCCCCCTCGATCGATGGAATTCAGTTTATGATCAAATTAGCCAAGTTTCCAATCAATTATAAACCGATTTCACGCGCATCTCCGCCAGAGATGAGGCGACCAGCCAAGGTGACCCCGACGATTTTCGATATGAATCCAGCGGGACGGACTTTCGAAATGGCCAGACATCGCCGGCGAGTTCAAGCTCAACCAGCACACAGATACAAAATTTTGAACAGCCTCCAAAAACAAAATGCAAAGGTGAACAACTTTCGCGGGCCTCATGCTCATGGGAAATATGACGGAGTAGAAGCAAAAACACGAAAAGGCGTACAAAATATTAACCAGACAAGTTCGACCGATCGGTCCAAGCCATGGGAAACCTACAAGAAAAAATGTGGAAAAAATCGCCGAAAAAATACAGTAAAAACACCTGCTAATTTGGTGCATGGATTCAGATGCGATTCAGATTCGGATACAGGTTTACCGCCCCTTTTCGGGCATAATTTGTATGTTGTTTCGATTTATTAATGGGAACACTTGATTTATCCACCGATAGTCGCTTAACCCATTTCTCGATCTGGTTTGGCGGCTTTCCGTTTCGAGTCAAAACAAAGCGAAATCTTATTAAATCATGGGAAGCTACACTGATAAAAAACGAGAGTTGTTTAAAAAAATATCTGCATGTTGTATAATAAAACATCAAGTTGCAAGATTTATTTGAAAAATATTTAAATCAAAGTTGAAAATATTGCATGAAAATGTTACGTCAATGATACAAAATAATATAAATATCATATTAAAAAGTTTAAATTCTTTAATTCAACTTTAATTCTTTAATTGAATATTTTTATTTCTGAAGCAAAAAATTTATATATTGAAATAGAGTAAGTTATATATACATTTAATATTAAATCTATGAATTTACTATGTTTTTTAACAGTGTACGTGTGTGTGTGGTCTGTGGCTCTGCGTCAGGTGCAATCAAATGTTAAGAATGCACTGATCCGCATTCGATTCAAACTGATTTCCATTTCCCAGTGGCCCAGAAAGCCAGCCAGGGAAGCCCATTTAATTTCCAGCTGAGTGGAGCTGATTTTCCTCTAATGATTGCGCAATAGAAATCAAAAGTTTTACCGCCAAGAATGAGCCTCTAGTGACCCACAACTGGTATTAGCTGGTTCCTATAGAAACCTATAGAACTTTGAAATACCCTGAAGACTTGGCTCTAAAGAAGCGGTGTATCTAATAGATATACCTGGGTTTTTTTTGTGCGGTATGAGTATAGCTAACATGTCCATCGCTTCGAATGTCAGCTTATGACCATATTGGGATGATCAAATGGCAGCTGCACGACCATTGAAATCGAATGATTCAAGTGGTTGGTCAGTGGTTTTTATGTTCCCAACTCGAATGACTTTGGCTAACTTGGCTGCGCGATCTCGTGCCAGCCGAGTAATCATAATTTTCAGCTTCCTTATTGGCCAAGACAAGACAGACGCGGGGACATCGGGAAAGTGACACTCCTCCTTTCGCTTTCGGAGATCCAACATCGCTATAAACGTTTAATGGCCTCAATTAGCGACTCGTTCGCCGTGTATTGGCTGCCAAACGATGTGCGAGCTGGCCATTGATAGCTCCTCTTGTCTGGACACGGCGAAAAAATATGATGATACTCAATCTTTGAGCACCTTCTAGAAAATGCAATACTTTTCTAGGAAAATATCATGGTATTTTATTGGCTAGAATAAATATAGCGTCATTTTTCTAAAATGCATCATCATGTATTAAAAAATATCTACACAAGAAATAGAAAAGTTATAGACACCTATTTTGAAATACTATTATGAAATACAATTACGATATTTATGGTCATGTGATACCGGCATAAATTTCGTCGAAAAAGTCGTGCCAAACTAATAAAAGTCTCTACAGAACAACATCATCAGTCAAAGTTTTAGCAAGTGTCATATGACTATAGGATCATGTAGAAGGTTTTAAAATGATATTAAAGGCATTCTTTAGTCCTTCAACTCACTTTCATCAATCAAAACTTGTCCTTCCATTAACAGTGTCTTAAATCAAAATACCATTTATAATGCGAATTTCCTAAAAACAAAGGATTTTGTTCGGTTGCTAGTGATTTTTGCTTGTGCAGCTGCATCGGCATCCCTGACCCTCCATTCAGGTTGTAACTTTTTCACAGCTGGTCAGTGGAATTCAGCGAAGATTACCGCATGATTATGCAACAGACGAGTATGAAATTCGTCTGGGCAGGTTCACAAAGATGTTGGGGTTGGGTCTCAGCACATACACATAAATATCTATAGCTGTCATGCACAATTTGCCAAGGGGGAGTTGGGTATACGTATTCAAGATGCAGGTGCACTCGATGCCATTCAATGCAGAACCAGTCCGATTCCAGACGGGGGAAACTGGATTTAATTATGTTCATGTGACTGGATCTGGGCAAATAAATAGATGGCCCTGGACTGGGCGACTGTCACATGTAATCACCGGCCCACTGATCACGCTCTGATTTCCTAATTCCAGGTTCCATCCGCACATCGCTGCTCTCCGGCACGCAGTTCAACGTCACCTGGCATTTGGCCTTTGCGCACAAGGTAAGACTGAATAGATCCATTGCAATGGAAGCAGATACCCCCCTTTTTTGGTGAGGGGGTTCCTATCGCCAGGGGCTAATTAGCCGAGAATCCATTCTCGAGCGATTGCCTCACATGCACGCAGTCAAAGTCAAACTCTGCGACTAGAGATTCCCATGTTTCTGGCTTGGCTGCACGACATCGTCGCATCACAAGTTCTCAGTCATTGTTTTGGCATAACATAACCATAATCATAATCATCATAATCGCTTCTTTTCCAGGGCGGTTTTCGGTTGCAACTACTGGATGCCCTTGATCGACCTGTCTTGGACCTAACGCCCCATGTGAATAATTCGGAATTTGTGAGCACTGATGTCACGTGAGTTTTAAATTTTAAATTAACCCGAGAAGATGTGTTATACGAACTTAAATTAAAGAGTATAGATCTATTTTTACATATTATATACTCTTTGGCAAAATAATTTTATTAAAACCGCGAATTCTTTAGATAAGTGCTGTTCGATACTTACACAAGTTCATTAAAAAAAAAAAAATAATAATTAGGCAAACCAACTATTCCGAATCATTGTAAACAAAAGTTATATTAAAACCGGGAATTCTTTGGAAGAATGCCTTTTGAAAACGGAAGAATACAAAAAACAGCGATTTCTTCAGGAATTTGATTTGACAACCCTAGTCCTTTTTAGAGCTCATAATATCTTTACCATTTGTATTAAACATCTGTCTTATTTTTTTTAGTGCCCAGTCGTATCAGGTGAAGATCCCGAACGACTTTGAGTGCTTCAACTGTACCCTCAGGCTGCTTCGCCAGGCGGATGAGTGGTCCACCAGCTATCGGTTTTGGTCCTGTGCCGATGTGGACATTAAGCTGCGCAAGGACTTCAAGGAGACCTGTTCCGGAAATGGCAAGTACTTCCCCTCGCGATGCAAGTGCGAAAAGAACTTCTACGGCCCGCAGTGCCAGTACAAGGACGAGTGCTCCGCGGACGCCGATTGCGGTGTCCAGGGCAAGTGCGTGGATCTGGGTGGAAGCTCACTGCCCAGGCAGCAGTGCTACTGCAACTTTGGATGGTTTGGAATTGGATGCAACAAGCGGTCGCCCTACAAGACAACCAGCCTCGATCTCTCCTCGTACTCGAAGAAGGAACTGTCGCCCGACTACCACGTCTACTGGAGGCTTCTTGAGGAGCAGAAGGAGATCGAGATGGTTCTGAGGGTCAACAGCACATCCTGGGTGGGATTCGGATGGAGGCCGCGTGGAATGACGCCGGAGTGCAAGAACTTCCCGTTAGTAAGGGACATTGGGGATCTGACCACGACGTTGGAAGGCTCAGCTCCGGAACCCAAGAGCGAACCAGAACCTAAGAGCGAACCGGAACCCAAGAGCGAACCGGAACCTAAGAGCGAACCGGAGCCCAAGAGCGAGCCTGAGCCCAAAAGCGAACCTGAGCCCAAAAGCGAACCAGAACCTAAAAGCGAACCGGAGCCCAAGAGTGAACCAGAACCTAAGAGCGAACCGGAGCCCAAGAGCGAACCAGAACCTAAGAGCGAACCGGAGCCAAGGAGCGAACCAGAGCCCAAGAGCGAACCAGAACCTAAGAGCGAACCGGAGCCCAAGAGCGAACCAGAGCCTAAGAGCGAACCAGAACCTAAAAGCGAACCGGAGCCCACTAGCGAACCAGAACCTAAGAGCGAACCGGAGCCCAAGAGCGAACCAGAACCCAAGAGTGAACCAGAACCTAAGAGCGAACCGGAACCCACTAGCGAACCAGAACCTAAGAGCGAACCGGAGCCCATTAGCGAACCGGAACCTAAGAGCGAACCGGAGCCCACTAGCGAACCGGAACCAAAGAGCGAACCGGAACCTAAGAGCGAACCAGAGCCCAAGAGCGAACCGGAACCCAAGAGCGAACCGGAACCCAAGAGCGAACCAGAGCCAAAGAGTGAACCGGAAACGCAGGGCGCCAAAACCAAAAGAGTTGCTGGGGACTTTGCCCAAAAGCAGGGCGTCTCCTCCGTTTCTACTAGTGTTTCCTATCGCGTCAGCACCAAGGCGGATCGTCAGCGCCGTGAGGCAGGTGAGGATCGATCATCCTAGTCCCATCCTGTCAAATTTTTATCCAATTCCCGTTTATTTCTTCACAGAGTCACCCAAATACCGACTCAATCCGTATACACCACGCCATGACTTCAACGGAATGGACTGCACGGACATCGTGATCGGAGCAGCTCGGGGATTGGCCAGCAGGGTGGGTGACTACTACAGTCGGGATAGATCCACGCCTCGCACCGATGAATTCTACGGCGGCAAATCAAATCTGGCTTTGGGCACCGGCTTCGAGGAGAACGGCGTGACCACGATCATCTTCCGTAAGAAACTGGTGGCCAATGAGCCCACCGACCACACCCTGGACGATGCCCTCACCCATGTCATTTGGGCCAAGGGACAGGAGACACAGTCCTCAACAGTCAAGAACTTCTATCAGCCTGATGAGGTGAAATACCATGGCGGTCAGATGCAACGAGGCGTAACCCAAATCAATTTCTTTGGTAAGTAACCTTCAAGTGGCATTCAATTAATGCATCCTTTCGGACCTACAAAGATATTTAAATGTTAGACACCTCACTAAAAACTTATAAGATCAACAGTCTTAAAGGATCTTGAGTTTGTATTTAGAGTTGAACACATCTTGAAATTGATCTTAAGCTTCTTTTTGGCGATTATGACATCTTAAAATAACGTGAGTTTGTTGCTAGGGATGATAATATTCTGAAATTGAGAAGTGGACTTGATTTTTCGAGACATACGTAGTCTTACAAACAAAGAACCCTTCACTTGATTTTAAGAATCAAGAGAATCGTTTTCTTTGGGTTTATAAGTATTTTCAGCTGAACTTTCATAACTCGAGCATCTTTAACTCAAGGTCTCTATAAATCGAACATGTTTTAATGGAAATTAAAATGATAAAATGGTGGCAGCAGAATATCTTCAAAATAAGTAATCAGCTGATTTTAACATCTATCTCTTCTTTTAATAGAAAAAGAAAAGTCAGCGACAAGCACGGACCGTAATGACCTGGGCACCAATATCCTGGACAACGACTGCTTTGGCCACTGGAAGTATCCGTCTAGCTGCTCTCCCCAGGAGCACACCTGCGAGTACTACGCCAGCTGGGAGACGGTCGGTAAGGGTGACGAGATGCGTTGGCACATCGAGACGTCGAACACGCAGACCTGGACGGGAATCGGCTTCAGCGATGACCAGAGGATGTCCCAGACTGATGCCATCATTGGCTGGGTGGACAGTCGCAGCGGTAGACCGTTCCTCATGGACACCTGGGTGCTGGGCTATGCTCCGCCGAAGCTGGATGATCGCCAGGACATCTACAATGCCTCCGGACGCATCGAGAAGGGAGTGACCATTCTGGAGTTCAACCGCAAGCGGGTTAGCAATGACGAACTGGACCTGTCCTTCACGGACGACCACTGCCTGTACCTGTTCTTCCCGGTTCTCGGAGGTGCCTTCAATGTGGTGAACAAGAAGATCCGCAAGCACGAGCAAGTTCCTCCAATCTCTTCGCAACGTGTCTGCATCAAATCCTGCGGCAAGGGTAAGGGATCCTCAGAACTTTAAAGAAAGCTAAATTTATTTTATTACTATTACTTACAGAACTCGAGTCCGTTTTTGTGGGCACCAGCACTCCGGCTCCCAGCCGCCTGGTCTACGCAGTGGCCGTAAAGCTGATGAACCTGGGCGAGTCCTATGAAGCTCCAAAACCGGGAACTGTAGAGTTTAACAATCTGGCTGCTACTATATCAGATTCATTCAATGGCATTCTAAGTTCTCAGACTGGGTATTATAAAACCGAGATTCTTGGTTTTGAAAAGTACGTGAGCAAAACTAATTTTATGTTCTTATACAAATTGTTAAAAATAAATGAATTATTTTTTAGGGAGGGCAGCACCATGGTGGCCAAGGTTCAGACCATGTTCGATAAGGGGGATGTGGAGAAGAAGCACGATTTGGAGACCAACGAGGTGGACAAAACTAGTGAGGCAGCAGCTCAGAAGAACGCCGAAAAGATCCGATCGGCTCTGAAGGATCAGATAGCCACAGGACGAGTGGGTTCTCTGACGGTGGATCCCCAATATCTGGACTTTGAGGCTTTGGAATGTAAGAATTTGAAAATGTAATATGTATTCTTCGGATAATCAGTATTTTCCCTTCTTTTAGACAAGAGCACCTCTGAGCCCAATGCCAAGGAGACTCTACTATCCTTCTTCGATCTCTCCGAGACTCGTTTGTACATCGTCCTAGGCTTAATTGCAGCCCTGGTCCTTATCGCCTTAATCCAGGCATTCTGCACCATTTGGAAATCATCTCGAAAGAGCAAAAATACCAAGGTAGGTTCAGAGTTTAGAACCCAATTGATTGGGTCAGCATAAGCTCAGCAGACACAGAGAAGACAGATCCTATCTTTCAAAATAAAGAAAATAGGAATTATTATTTTCTGTAACATTAATAACACATTTCTTTGCAACAAGTTCCCTAATCGATTGAATTCCCCTCTGTGTCAGCGAAGCTTCTGTCACTCCTTTCTTATTAATCTTTCCCCATTGTACCCGTGTCGTTCAAAGCTGGTTTACGTAATACCCGAAGAGTGGCGCATGTACCAACAGCGACAGCACCAGCGCTACTATCAGCCCTCTAGCGATCTATAAGACTATAATCTACAAATCAAATTCAGATCAGATCAGTTATACTCTAGAGTATAGACAATCCCACTGCCCGATCCACCTGAAAACCGAGCATCAGCTACAACTGCCTTAAGCGCATTTACGATATAATCCAAAATACCGAACCCATCTTATAGTTAGTTTAAGTACCGGAAACCTCTTGACTATGTACTGTATCTGCATCTGCGTAGGTGCCGCGTTTATCAAAATTCTATAACTGAATGGGTAATTCAAAACTCTATATTTTCTTTTGTGGTATCTGTTGTGTATTAACCTTGTCACCTAACCTAAAAAATACAAAAAAACTCACTCTGGACGGTAATCTTTGATCTCTTTTCTCTCCCCTTCTCTTCTCTGACTGTCTCTTAACCTATTTCTGTGTTTCCAGTTCGTTCTAATATTCCACATCCATTCGAATTTCACGTAACTTGTGTGTGGTTTCTCCTGGCCAGTCAGCATTTGATATGTGCTACGTAAGACCCCAAAAATTCTGAAACCTTTGGAACCCTTCTTACTTAATCCTATATATATACTTATACCTCTAGATGTTTTTCCATCTTCATAAAACTTCACCGACTTTTAACATGACCTTTATTTTGGCCACATCCCACTGGTTTCATATGGATTTAAGATTCGGCTTAAACGCAGGCACAAGGCACATTTGCAGAACAGTAAAATACGAACAAAATATTATAGATATTATATTAAAGTAATGGTCCACCCAACAAATCCCAAAATATACCCACACCAAATGCTGACTGGCTGAGCACCAAAAAGAAAAACCAACGAAATTACCACTTAATCATGCTAAAATCTCCTTGTGCTTCCAGGAGAAACTCATCAAGAACTCACCCTGGAAGGAGTTCGCCTCGAACACCAACTACGCCTTTGATCCCTATGGCGAGACGGAGGAGAAGAACATCAGCAGCAGCACCACGGCGGGCAAGGAGAAGGCCCGCCACCGCCATCAGTCGACCACGAGTAGCCAGCAGACGACGCTGCCGATGTCCCATTCCCCGACCAGCAAGTCCCAGATGTACTACGAGAGTCCCAATGGCCAGGGCAAGAATGGAACCAACGGACGTGCCACCCAGGAGAGCAGCGTGGGCGGTGCAAATGGAGGAGGTGGAGCACCCTACTCCAGGAGTTCCTATGCGGAGCGAGCCTACTCCCTGCCCCGGCAGGCGCACCACTACCAGCAGAGCCCGGCCAGCATGCAGCCCTCGGGTTACTATACCCATGACAGGCGTGCCGCTCGCCAGGGCAGCCGGGACAGGGAGCGGGAGCGGGAGAGGGAGAGGGAGGAGGAACGTCGCCATCGCCAGGATCGCGATCGGGACTCTGGCTACGATCGGTCGCGAGATGATCCGCGACAGAACGGTGGATCCGACACACCGGACTTCTACTTCATGCCCTCGCAGCGCAAGTATTCCGGGGAGGTGGTTCGCGTCTACGTGGACTACAACAAGGATCCGAAGCACTAAAGCTCAAAACACATCTGTCTATTTAACGCTCGTTTTAAGTTCTACCATTCTGTACTCCGTCCATCCGTTTGAAGTCCGTTTCAGGGCCACACAGAAAAAAAGATTTTGCTTGGGGTCAATCTGATATTTTCGGCTTTTAAGATCACCCTTTTAGGGCCAATTTCTTAATGTCGTGTTAATTTTTGTCACTGAGTTAAGCTGCCGATTATCATTTTGTAATGAATATCAAAAAAACCTTAACTAGAGGCAATGGTTTTGCTTGAACTACCTATACCTAGCTCTTTAAAGATTTGTCCTTCGTAATATTCACATTATGTTTTTAAAATGAAATGGTCTTACCGAACAGCTTAAGTTCTTGTTAAGTTTCTCTGACAGAACCTTAACACACCATTGAGAAACCGGCTCTTAAAGGTTATTTTTTATAACATCAACATGTTTCTTCGAACTCAGAGTACACTTTAATTTAACGTTTATCAAGCAATTCAAATATTACAGAAAAAAAATGTTATATTCTTCGCTAGAGATGAAAATGGTTTCCCACAAGTCCGAATCAATATGAAAAAATCCACTTGACCTCGATATAAGCCTCATCTGTGCCCTTTAGTTTCCCCTGAGCTCTCCTTAGTTTCGATTTTGCCATAACGCAGTTTCGCTGCAGCGGCGTTTCCAGGTGCGCAAGCTTTACCACAAAACGCACAATGCATGATTCCACAACTTAGTGAATTGTAAATATTTTGAATAGACATTAAAGCTCTTGCTACATGAAACAAAACAAAGCCACACACAAATCACACAGAATTATAAATCAAACTTTGCGATTAGGTACGTGCATTCAGAATGTTTTCGCATTGTCTTATCTTAAATGTGCAAAGAAACATAGTCACTGTATTTAATCAAATTAAAGATACGCATTAAGTATACATAAATAAAGTTAAGTACATTAAAAACCCCACTGACTTTTTATATTTAATTAGAGGTGGGAAGCTACAATTATGCAGAAAACTGAAAATTTTTCTATTACCCATCATACTGGAATAATTTAAGACTTTTAACTTATCCTTAGGCCCTGCTAAGGAAAAAACATAACGTTTATACTTCAAAGCAGCCGTATTATTAATGTCCTTTCTTAAAATTTATTTAAAATTTATTGCTGAAAACACAATCGAGATGTTCGTGAAAATCAATAATACTTAATTATATTTGCGAACCACTCTGTTTGCCCCATAACGTTTGTAAAAACGTTTATTCCATTAGTTGAATAGCTGACAATACCGAGCAAAACGAACCGTTCCATATTTCCATGCATAATCCTTTTTCCCAATATGTCGCCAGGATTTCCGTATCTGTCACTTATTCCGCGAGGAGTTTCCACACAAAATTGATTCGGTCCGATTTGCCTCTGGATTCTGATTCTACAATCGTAGGGATGAACAACGTCGACGTTAAACTGAAAAATTCTAGGTACTCCATAGACAGGCACATAGTCGAATACAATAAAAGGTATAATAGAAACGGCCGCCTGCTGGTCTTTTAAATTCGCAAGCATACATATCGGTTTCACTCCATCTGCAAAATAGGAATTCTATGGTTCTATGCGTTTATGAAAACAAATGATTTTACCTGGGCGCGTTACCCGTCGATTAAGTTTTAGCAAAGCAATTCCATTGATGGCCGTAAAAAACTCTGGGTTCTTGAAGATTCCTGTAACTCTGTATGCTTCATGCCTTCCCCTCACAACAACTTGTCTATGTAATATTGTTAGCTCTTAGTTAATTAACTAACATGCAACGATTTACGACTACTTACAAGGAAGCAACATTTACTGGCCAGTCCCAGGGATTTGTTAAGACAAATTCTGAAATTATAGTGTTAGCAAGTGTTATCGTACATATCAATCGGATCTTTAACTTATTAATTTTAACTTGAGGTTTAAACATTGCTTTTGCTAAATCTGATACTGATAACTGATACTCGACACGAACTGAACTGGTGGTGCTCTAAACGCAGCTTTCAGATTTTAACCTCAAGTTAACTTGACATAAATAAAAGGAAATAACCGATACTAACGGTCTGTGATCATCACTCCCAGGGCCACAAAATTAGGTCCATAAATGTCTGCCAGTAAATTCGATGCTATGGTACTTCCACCGCAGTCTTTGTACAACCACTTTTGGGGCTGTAGGGCGATTGTATCGTCATCCGGAGTGTCATACTTCCTAATGGTAGCCTCAATCCAGTCCGCATAGCTTGTGACATCGGTATAAACTCCAATTCCACTACAAGTCCGCCCTCCAAAGCTCACGATCCCGAACTGAGCCTGACGACCGTATCTATCAACAGGGTTGATCAATGGACCACCAGAATCGCCCGAGCAGGTGTCTCCGTATAAGGAGCCAGCACATAACTGCTTGGAAATGACGTTCACACTCAGACTTTGTTCACACGTTTCTCGACGTAAATTGTCAACGAAGATGGTTTGAAGTATATCGCTATCCTGGCCGTCAAGTTTTGTTAGTCCCCAGCCAAGGGCTCTGAACCTGGCCATTCTGTCCACTTGGGCTCTAACATTTGTATCCAAAATTATGCAAATTGGTCGAATGCCAACTGCAAGATTAATAATTATAGTTAACCTCTCTCGAGTGGCCAATCCGTTTACATACAATCGTAGACCACGCTGCTGTCCAACTTAAGCAGGCCTATATCATTTCCCTGTTCAGGTAATCCATTGAACAAACGATGGTTTATTCCTGTTTCGACATTTTTTTGAACTGTTGGTTCAGTTTTGTTGTATGCTCCCAACCTCACATGTCTAATCCCGAAACAAATAAAATTCAGCATTAATAAAAATAATATGTATAGTACTTACAGGCGAACTTGACCATATATGCAATGGGCAGCAGTTAGCACAAAGCCTGAAAAACTATTCTATATTAGGAACCAATCTTGTTTTTTATAAAAATACGTACGTTTGTGTATCAGCGTGCCACCACAAAGAAATACATTACTTGAATTATATACGGCTGCCATCCAGGCAGAGTGTTGAAGAGTGGCATTTTGGCCTTTGAGGATTTTCGGTACAATTATATTTCCACACGGCTCCTCCAGAAACTGAGAGGACCCTAGGCGGCCTAGGAACCAAGAGAGCAAAAGAACCCAAGCTATATGTGTCTGCATCTTACGGCAAGTTTGAATGAAATAAATCCCACATTGGCGATTTCCGCAAGGGAGACCTTAAGTCACTCATTTTATGGAGGGGCTTATCAATTTATTACTCACAGTGCACAAAAATATGCAAATTGTTTTCAGATAAGACTACACAGAAATTTTTAAATATTTGCAGATTTTAATGATGCTATATATTTTAAGTGGTAACCTTAACAACCTCTAAAACTGAACAAACAAAGTTACTTGAACAACTCAACGATAATTCATAAAGCTCGATCTGAAATGAAAAAGTTATTTATCGCTTAATGCTTTGAAGTGAAAATAAAAATGCTGCATTGACTCACCCTCCGAATGCTGGTTTCTGGGTATTGGAGTTTCCGGTCTGGGCCAGATTTCCGAAGGAGAGGCCAGTCTCCTGGCCACCCAGTGTTTCAAAGATATTTCCTTGGGCCGGCTTGGGTGCAGCACCGAAGGCTGGAGGTGAGGCCACAGGGGTGGCCGCGCCGAATCCACCAAATCCCTTGGGACTGCCAAAGGTGGCTCCTCCCCCGAAGGTGGGACTCGCTCCGAAGGCCGGCGATCCAAAAACTGGCTTGGCTCCAAATCCGCCTGGTGCCGGCTGTTGCTGCGGCGTATGAGGTGACCCAAAGCCCGACTGGGCCACTGATCCACCGCCGCCCTGGGCAAATCCTCCACCGAAGGCACCCTGAGCAGGAGCTGTCTGCGAGAAGGAACCAAACCCGCCGGAGCTGCTGCCGCCACCAAAGATCGAGCCGCCAGAGACAGGCGAAGCTGTAGCTGGAGCAGGAGATCCAAAGATTGAACTTCCACCGCCTCCAAAAGCAGAAGCTTGCGGAGTGCCCACAGGATTGGAGAATATGTTTCCACCTGCTGCCGGTGATGCTGCCGCTGGTTGACCAAACACACTTTGGCCGAAGATTGAGGTACCTCCAGTAGCTGGGGCACCGACAGGACTCTGCGGATTGCTTCCCCCGAAAATAGAGCTCGATCCAAATGGTGAATTGGTTCCACCGCCGAAAATAGATCCTCCGCCTTCGGCTGCAGGCGCCGGTTGTCCAAATACATTTGGCTTTGCAGCTTGGCCAAAGATGTTGCCGCCGGAGGCCGGTGCTGCAGTTGGGGGACTGCCGAACGGCGAAGGGTTACTAATGGCAGCCGACGCAAAGAGACCCGTGGGAGGGGCAGCTGGTGCTGCCGCAGCAGTGGGATTCGGAGGAGCAGCTCCAAAGACACTGGTTTCCGGCTTAGGTATGCTGCCGAAAATGTTTCCACTCGGAGCTGTAGTCTTTGCAGCCGTTTGGAAGGGACTGACCACTGGAGCCGCTGTCGATGCTGCTGCTGCAAAGCCGCCTCCGAACACTGAGGTCGACGAGTTACTGGTTGTGGATGCGGTGGAGCTGGTGGCAACCAAGGGAGCAGCAGCAGCAGTAGTAGTTGGCGCAACTCCTGCGCTCAGGCTGCTAAAGGCGTTAGAGAAGGAGAAGGCGCTGCCAGGAACAGCGCTGCTGGATGTTGCTGTTGCGCTAGTTGTGGCTGGTGTCGCTGCCGGGGAAATGGCTGCTGGACTAGCTGCTGCAGTCGTGGTCACAGTTGCAGCTGGTGCTGCCGTTGTTGTGATGGGATCCGTTTTGACTGCAGTCTCCCCAACGGTTGTAGCAGCTGCTGTAGTCGTTGCAGGTTGAGTGATGCTGCCAAATAGTCCCATCGCGCCATCCCCAGCTCCTCCGCCAAACGAAAAGCTGCCAGAGCCCGAACCACTGCTCATACCTCCAAAAATTTTGGCTGGTTTGGTCGAATCTAAAAATAAAGATAACAAGATATGTAACTTATGTATTTACAGAGTTGAAAATAAAAGTTTACCTGCTGGGGTGTTTGGCTTGCAAATGTTTACAGAACCGAAAAGACCGCCAGTGGGATCTGAGTTGGTGGTCCCTCCGCTTGCCGTGCTTACAGGAGCGTTAGTTGAAGTGGTGGATGCAATTACAGGCGTTGGTTTGCTGGTGATCGAGGTGGTGCTGCTAGTCACGGTGGCTTCACTGGGTGTTGGTTTGGCCACAGCTGCCGAGAACATGCCAAAGGGAGCAGGTGAAGCGGATGTGGCTGCTGCAGTGGTTGTGATGCTAGGAGCTTCCGATGTCGGAACGGCAGGGGCGGTTCCTCCGAAGCCAAGGGATGATCCCAATCCACCAAAGCTGAACGGAGAGCTGGAAGCACTTCCCACTGCTCCACCTGTGCCTGTAAAGCCTCCAAAGCCAAAGGATTTGCTAGCAGTGTCTGCCTTTGGTGTTTGTGGCGCTACTTTTGCTGCTTCCGGTCCAGCTTTCACTGGCTTGATTTCAAGTCCTGGTTTTTGCTCCTTAGGCTTAGCTGGCTCTGGAGCAGACTGTTCTTTTTCAATCGCTGGTTTCGGTACTGGAGCCGATTCCACCGCTGGCGATCCTCCGCCGAATGAGAGCGCCGATTTGGCACCACCACCACCGAAACTGAAGCTGGAACTACCGCTACTCAGACCGCCAAACATGGAGAGACCTGGCTTAGCAGCCTCGCCAGGAGTCACAGTATTTGTTGTAGGAGTCACAGTAGAGGTCTTCACAAACGGGCTGCTCTGGCTGAAGGAGAATGGCGTCGACACAGGGGTCGCCACAGGAAGGGGTTTTTCCGCAGCCACCGGCTTAGATGGCATCGGTTTTGGCAGCTGAGAAGCCACTGTCGGCAGATTCTGAGGTGTGGGAGCAGCCGCTGGTGCAGGAGGTGGAGCCACTGCTGCTTGGGTGTACTTGTTGGCCATCGCTGGCTTGGCGGCCGCCTTTTTAATCAGCTCCGCCCTGCGCTTGGTTTCCAAAATAACCTCCGACTTGAGTCCTACGCGATCCGGTCGCTGGGGACAAATAATATTGATCTTTTGCAGTTGGACAACCTTTCGGATCTTCTGCAGCCTCTGATGCGTGAGTTTGGCTGCATTGGAGTCCACAACCTGGCTAAGACTCATCGAGAGAATGGAGTCAGCCAGTGTTTCAACTCTACAGAAGAAATTTATGATTATATTTAAATCAGGGAGATGAAAACTCCTACTCACGCTTCGTTGGTGCGGGTGCGACTGTTTTCCTGGTCGAGAAGGGCGGCCTGAAGCAATCCGCGCTCCTTGAGCTTGGCTTTGATGTTGTTCTGCAGGATGCGCTGGTCAGAAGCGAGGTTTTGCAGTCTGGTCAGCCGCTGGTAGATGCCCTCCAAGCATGGCATGTGCATGCGGGACTTGGAGTTGCGACGCACCACATCCTGGAACTGCTCCCACTGCACATCGACATGCTGCTGGGCGAGACGCAGCTGAGCTTCATTGGCGGCCACGTAGCTCTGCAGGCGAGCCAGCATTCGGCGGCCAGCGGGATCGCAGGAGCTTGAGTTCATCAGACGCGTGATACTGAAATTAAAGAGGACTATAAATTGTGCTTCTATAGTACGTATAAGAGTATGTCACGCACTCTGGTTTCCTGTAAATTTCTAGCTTGCCACGGCACTCGGCTACGATGGCATAGGCCTCATTCAGACCCTGCCGCAATCCCTGCACATCCAACTCAAACTCCACATCCTTGGCTTGTTCGTTCAGCTCCTGGAGGTCATCCAAGCGCTTGGCAAATACCCTCAGAGTTGATGGGGCTGCAATCTGCGGAATTCAGACCAAACGTTTTAAACAGAAACAAACAGAAAATAACGTTTACTTACGCCTTTAAGCAACTCGCTGGTCTGATCCTTCTGCTTTTGAATATCCTGGCTAAAGGCATCGATTTGCAGGGCAATCATATCCTTGATAATAGGCTCCGTATCATCTGGCTTAAGGGTGCTCTCTACACTTGGAGGTGCAGCCGGTGGTGCTGCCTTCGAGGCCACCGGTGTGAACGTTGGAGGAACAGTGTACAGTGGTTTGTTTACAGGAGCTGGAGCAGCTGCAGGAGCAGCAGTTTCTGGAGCTGCGACGCGGGGCGCCACAGTAGAACCTGCTGGTTTGTTCGCTGGCATTCCGCCAAAGGCATTCGTTCCGGGTGCGGAAAACATTGAACCCATTGCGGCAGTCGTTGCTGGCGCTCCAAATCCACCAAACGCATTGGATGGCTTGGCTGGAGCGGTAGTTGGAGCTCCAAACGAAGGAGGAGCACCTCCAAAGGACAGCTGCGGAGCAGGAGGTTTGGCTGCAGCTGCACCAAAGCCTGAGAATAGCGATGGAGGCTTATCTTTCGAGGGAGCCGGCGTTGAAGTAACCGTATTCGGTGTAAAGGCGAACGATATGTCAGAGGGAGCAGACACCGCAGGAGTTTTGGGCGGCGGACTGGCCGCCACAGGCGGCTGCTCCTCCTCCTCATTGGGAAGCAGCGTGTTCAGCGGCCTGAACTGTCCCGAAGTATCTGCCACTGGGGGAGGTGGCGAGCAAACAGACACCGCTGTCGGCAGCATGTTCAGGAAATTGAAGGAGAGTAGGGTTCCATCCGAGCCCAAAACGTGCACCATGGGCATGGTCTGCAGCTTTTGCTCATTAATGGTAAGCTGGTGCGTGGAGGATGTATCGTAGGCAAAGCCCAGCGGGAAGGTCTCCTCCTGATTGCTCTCACTTAGGGGCAGCTCAATGCGCGCCTCATCCAGCAAAGTGAACTGGTGCCAAGTGGGTGTATCGCCGGCCTCCAAGGTGCCCATGACGCCCACCTCAACGCCATTGGCCGAGACTACGAGCAGCAGATTCCACGGGGCCACATGGCTGAAGATGAACTGATGATTGCGCGGACCGTTCAGGCTGTAGCAGATGTCGTAGTAGTTGATGTAGCTAGGTGCCCCGGCCTTCGGGGCGTTGAGAATGTACAGCGAGGGATTGCAGTCCTCGCCGTGCTGCAGGAAGATCACCGCAAACTGGAACGTTGACAGCCATTGGATGGCGATGGTGTCGAAGGGGGCGTCATGGATGTTCGGTGGGCACAGCAGCGTCTTGGCGGGCGTCAGATCCGGCTTGAACTGCTGCACCTTGCCGGCGGGAAAACCGAGAACGATCTGTTTACCCTTCGGCGACCAACAGCCGCACTTCACCTGCTGGCTCTTGTCCAGCGAATGCATTTCAAAGTTGCCGGCCTCTTTAAGAGCATACATGCCAAGGGCTCCGTTGCTCAGGACGACGGCCAGGCTGTTGGGCAGCACGGGATTCCAGAGTAGCTGGACGGCGTGCACGTGGTCCTCGGCCGCCAGGCGGATGTTGTAAACGGGACGAATGTCCGGGGTCATGAAGGATTGCACTGAATAGATGGTGAGCAGGCTGGTGCCGTTCTGGGTGTGGTTCACGGCCAGCAGGTTGCCATCGGAGCTGCATGCGATGTAGTTGGGAACACTGGGCAGCGGCACCAGTCGCGCCTGTGGCTGCTGTCCCGTGCTCTTGGCATTGGCCAGATCCTTGGCCACGATCACTGCAAGGGGATGGGGATTAGGTTTTATATACACATATATGGACTCCTAGATTACCCTTCAGTTCTGGCTGGTTGGGATTCCCTGCAAAGAGCAATCCCCGGCTGCTGGAGATCGCAAGCAATTTCACATTGCTGCGGGGGTCGCCGCATTTTTTGAACGCCACGAATTTGTCGTGCAGTTTAAATTGAAAATCCTGTGACGAAATCATTGTAACTTTTGATGTATTATTCACATGTTACTTTGCTCACCTGAGTGTCCCTGCAGGCGGGTGCGTTTTGCGCCATTTTCGTCGGTTTTCGCTATTATTTTGCCTGTTTCGAGCAGTTTGTTAAAATTTCAATTTGAGCCGTGGTATGGCTGCAAGTCAAGAACAATAAAAACGCAGATAAACAAAAAGCGCGCCACGGCGGATACGGTCACTCTAGGGAAACTCACCACGGAACAGTTTCACCTCACCACAAACACATCTTTTTGCTATTATAGGATTAAATCAAAATAAGGTTTGCCAATAAATTTGAAGTATTGAAGAGTTATGCTCTAAAATCTGAACTATATGCAGATCAAGAGTTACTTTTAATACCCCCTTCCCAAAAAGTCCATCCGTTCGAAACGGTTGGGATTTTTGAATGTGAAATGTGAAACTCCGATTCCCACAAGGCACATCCGATAACAGCTGATCCGAAGACCTGTGGCTAATCAAACCAACCCTGTTGCTTCTGCGCCTTCCAATTTGTATGTTTCACTTTCAACTGTCAAGAAGAAGAGCTCAGAGTTGCACCGAACAAACATTGCCTTTCTATCGCATAAAAGAGTCCGTCAAATTTCGATGGGGAACTAACTGGAAAATTTTCGGAACGGCAAAACCTTATGGACCATCCGTTCAACGACTGGTAGATGATGGATGGATCTCTGTGCTATATAAGATGGCAAACTATATATACAAGATTTCTTAATGCTTTGAAAAATTAAAAAATTTATTTACAAAGTTTGGTTATTTATAATTCAATTCTTTATTGTAAGTATTCGTTTTAGGTAAGTATTCCCTCACTTGAAATTAAAGTATGTAGACACTACATTGGAGAGCTCTTAAATTTCAGACAATTAAATTTGTATGGAACCTTTGACAATCAGAGCAGCAGAAACAAAAAAGGACACTTCAGTAATCTAAAGTTTTTTGGAATACCCCATCTGTTTCGAAATAATGTGAAATAGTCCGGATGTGACCATATCACTTTGGTATTTGGTATTCATCAGGTTGGTATATTTTTAGTATGTCCGAGACACTTACGTTTGTGTGGTTCCAAATACTGGTGGCGCTTCGCCCCGTCGTTTCTCAACACGAAAAACACAGCAGCCAGCTTTGTTGTTGTTCATCTGTCTCTGTCTCGCAAGCGTTGCTTTTTTTGCCTGGGAATTAAACAAAAGCGATTTGTTCGCGGGCAATGCATTCGCAAAAGTGGGCACAAAACATCGGTTGTTCCGAGTGAAAATGGAGATGCACAAAGCAATGTAGTTGAAACCGAGCTAGTGAGTCGCAAATTATCCAGTGGCGACGCAACAAGGTGCTAAAAATTGCGTAGCCAAATAATTTCGAAGTCCTGCTGCACAAATCGTAGTAACACAAAAAAAATTATCAAAATCAAGTGAAATAGGTGAAGTTAAGATAGTTCGAAATTGCCGGGAGTGTCGTCCAAAAAAAACAGAAACATATAGCACACGCGGAAACAGTCGAGGAATTTGCAGGTGATAATTAAGGGTGAGAAGGAAGAAAGGATAACGGAGTACACCTACGTAATACCCTGTATTTTTCTAACCCTAGAACCAATAAGACCTTCAAGATGATCAGCAGCCTGTTTTCGCGGCTCATAATGTGAGTAATCAGTGGTAATCGGTTACCCCAGAACCAGTAATCCCCAACTTCATGACCCCCGTAAGCGAGCAGAGCGTGAGTGCGAGTGAGAGCGCTGCAGCTGCTGACCCCCAAATATCAGAAAATTATACCAACTTTTCAAGCTCGGCCTTCAGAATCAAGAGAAAAAGCACCTACGAAAGTCAGAGTCGTTGATTCCAAATGGTGTGGGCGTCACACTTCTGATTTTTTGTGTATTTCCGTGGTTTCTCGATTTGTTGTTTGTTTATTAATCAGCTGTCGCCGTTGCGCCGCAAAGTACCGTTCACTTGTGACGGTGTGTGTGCGCGTAACCCTCAATTGAACTCCTAATTTGGAGTTTCCACTTTCCGAGGCTCCAAGTCCCCGGGTTTCCGAGGCCGTCGCACTCGTCTCGCCCGATTTGGGTGCAGAACATGTGCATATAGCCGCGATACGGGGCGACCCGGCGACTCTCTTTGTGACTCCATTGTTGTCAATATTTATAGATCGCGGTCGAATTGGCAAACCTAACGATTGCTCATACGCCACAGTGGCGGCCAAGTTGATATCTACACTTTATTACAGTCTTTGCTCGATACAGCCAACAAACTGAGTACCGTAATGAAGTTATAGGATTTATTAGTAAAAAAAAAAATTTGATCTCTTATTAGTACTTCAAGCTAAATTATTTAAGGGAAAGGAAAAGTATTTTCAAAAAAATTAACAAGTTTTTATAAGTAGTTTCGAAAAAAAAAGAAAACTAATGTAGAAAGATAATAAAAAGTTAAATGTTTTCGTTACTGAAATTATAAAAATATCGGCCTAATGCGTCAGCATAAATTTAAATTTTTAAATTCAGATGAGTCCTTAAAATACTTCAGAAAGTTTTTAAAATGACTAATTTCCTTTCTAAATCAGTAGATAAAATACTTCAAAAAAATTTGTTTATATTAAGAAGCCTTCCAATGAGCATATTATTATAGAAGGTTATATAATTTTACTCAGTAAAGGTATATTTGAGTAAAAACTTTAAAATAATTTTATATTAAAGTCGGACTGTTTTTACATTGTTTTAAATTATATCTAAAGAAAACTTTTTTCACAATATCTTCAAAATAATAGTCTGAGAACAACATTGGAAGAATTCCCTTACATTTTATTTTCGAAGATTCAAAGATCTCCAGACTCTGAAGTGCTAGATTTCTAAACACATCTGTCGGTCGGAACTGCGGCACAATCCTCCGTGTAAACATTGCCACGGGCTGCCTCTCTATCGCCAGTTCTCTCTCGACCCGATCGCGGGTTTATTAATAGACCCCCCGCCTGAGCGTTAGACGCCGGATCTCCGATCTCTGATCTCCTCCGGCAGTCTCTGCTCGGCGTTCTAGCGGCCAGGAACAGCGATCTGCGATCCGCGCTGCGGGCAATGCATCCCCGTTGCCATGAGGCCCATCTATCAGCAGGAGCAGCCGCTCTTCTACCAGCGGCCAGCTAATCTCCGACGCCTACGTCATCCGCCGGGCACCGTCTACGGTCGCAGCTATTCGCTCGAGGATCAGCCGGAGGATGTGATCCCCGTCTATCCGAAGTTCATTTACGCCACACAGCAGCAGCAGCAGCAAAGGGCTCAGTATCCACTGTACCAGCTGGGCGACTCACTGAGCTCACTGGAGAGCGATTTCCCCGAGAATGAGTACAGTGGAGCCTACATAGTCGAACCGAATGTTCCCCCCACGCCCAAAGTGGTCCAGAATCTCAATGCCCTAGGGCGACTCTTGGAGCTCCTGCAGCGCTGTCCTCTGCCGTGTCTCTCCTTCAACACCGCCTGCATCTGCTCGCTGATCGTCATATTTCTCGCACCGCGCACTTGTGCCCAGAGTTTACTGTTTCCCGCTTTCAGATTGTTCTGCGGCACCCTGTACCCGGCCTACGCCTCCTACAAGGCCGTCAGGACCAAGGATGTCAAGGAATATGTGAGTATCTACATCGGAATTTACTTTAATAACTAAAAAATAATGTCTCCCTTAATATAACTTGTAACATGAATAATATCTCTTAATGGGTATTTAATAGCAGACCATATATGTATAATAATAATAAGCCTCCAAATTACAGAAATATTTCAGATTTCATTCAAAATCATTGGTTTTAAATGAATTTTATTAATCAAAACTTAATGTAATATTTACTCCTGTATAATCATTTGTTATTCCAAATCATTTTTGACTTAATAGGTATTTAATACCCCTCATCTGACCTAATTGGTATAATAAGCCATTAAATTAAATCAATTTGTCAGATTTCATTTAAATGATATGCTGTAAATTGTTTTGTATTATAATGTCTTTATTTATTAAATCTCTCTTTAGGTAAAATGGATGATGTACTGGATTGTCTTTGCATTTTTCACCTGCATCGAAACATTCACGGACATCTTTATCTCCTGGCTGCCGTTCTACTACGAGGTGAAGGTGGCCCTGGTCTTCTGGCTCCTCTCGCCGGCCACAAAGGGCAGTTCGACGTTGTATCGCAAATTCGTGCATCCCATGTTGACGCGCCACGAACAGGTGGGGCCTAAAATCTCAATTATATATTGTATCTCTCTGTACATCTAAAATTACTCTCTTTGTTTAGGAGATCGATGAGTACGTGAACCAGGCCAAAGAGCGGGGCTATTCGGCGGTCCTGCAGCTGGGCTCCAAGGGAGTCAACTATGCCACCAACGTCCTCATGCAGACGGCCATTAAGGTAATCCTCCCCACACCATCCACACACAGCCCCCACTGACACACTCCCCTCACCCAACCAACCAACCAACCCATCCACCCACCATCTCGCACACTCACTCGACTCATTTGGCCATTTTTCGATCGCCTCCAGCGTCGTTGCATAAAATGAGCTTCAGCTGTTCTATATTCGAAACATTTTGCGCAACACTCTCGCGTGCTCATCTTGATCATCATCGCCAAACTGGTCAGCAAATCCGCAGCAGCTCCTCCACCAAGAGAATCATCATCATCACAGCCTGCATCATCAGCTCGCCTTCTCTTTACATTTACTTTTATTATTATTTAGTTTAAACGTCTAGAATTGAATGCTCTTTTGTGCCATTTGCGTGTTTCTTTCGATTTCGATTTAGTTTGTAGTGTGTTTCTCTTTGTGTAGCTAGATCACTATATACACTATAAGTGATATACGCCGAAAGATAAATCAACATGTTGAAACGATGTAATAAAAACAAAAACTGAACAAACCAAAACCATGCCAAAGATCCCAGATACCCGTCGCAATTCACAGCTGTTTGTAAACAATTCAGATGTGGGCCAAGACACTTGTGGGCAGCAATCGATTGTATAGAATCTGGAGGGCAGAGGTGCATTAGTTCATAAATAAATAATGCCCGTTGATGTAGGTCAAAAGAAAAGAATAAACGATCTGAAAGGTAAAAGTGATTATGATATATTCATAGGTTAATTTCAACATTCCAAATGGTTAGCTCACAATGAGCTTACAAGTAAATCGAATTAATCATACGCTTTCTGGAAATCTTGAGCTTCCTTCTTTGTTAGCAGACAAAGGAATTCGTTCATATGTATTTTAAGGAAGATGAAAAGATTTCTTACAAACAGTTGCTCTGAACTTTTTTGTGACAGGAAGAGTGTCCTTATAAAACTTGATTTGTTGTTGAACCTGAATATATATACAGTATTGTATTACATATTTCAAAGAAACAAAGTGGTAGGTTTACTTATGAAGTATATAGCGAATTAATCATCAGAAAGGGTGCTGATCTCCTTTGTTCCTAGACAAAGAAACTTGTTTTCCTTGGAAACAAAGACCGAATGTACTTTTTCATGTAGGTATACCTACATTTGGGTCCTCAAATAGAGTCTATTGTGCGTTGTTTATTGCGAAGACATCTGCCGGCACTCCTTGGTTCCACATTTGCATTCCGCTGATTTCATTGTCCCCTTCCCAGTTGCCCAGTTGCACAATTCTAATTCCAATTCCGAATCGCCTCTAGGGTAGGGCATATAAATATAAATAGATAGATAGATACCGGGCATGAGACAATTCTTGAGCGTGTGTGTATGTGCCTCATTTGACCCAGCTGCAATTCATTTCAATTTGAGACTTTTGCGTTGCCTCTATTTTAATTAACTTTTTCGTTTCTTCACTTATGTTTCTTTGCATTTAACCAAACCACCAATCAAAAACAAAACGATCAAAATCCCAACTAAACGCACCTGCCTGCACCGCTCGATTGCAACTAACCCGCTAACTGCTAGACCTATGCGCTGACCACGGCTCCATCGGTCCACGGACGTGGCCTGCAGAGCTCCCATTCGGCGGACGAGCTGTCCCGGGGTCAGGACATGATGGACAGCACGGACAACTGGCTGCCGCGTGCCAGTTCCCTGAGCAGCATCGATAGCTACACGGAGAACATTTACGAGCCGAGGGGCGATACCAGGCGCCTGGTCATCCGTGAGGTTTCCGAGGAGGTGGAACCAGAGGATGAACCCATGGGTGACGCCGGAGCAGCCCGTCTGCGTGACTTGCCAGTCCGGAAGGCTCAGCCACGTCGCGCCGCAGGCACCGCCAGAACTGGAGGCAAACGTGGCCAGAGGAGCAATGATACAGAAGCCGCCGGCAGTTCTACCAATGTGATCCGCTCGCGCCGCAAGCTGCGCGATCCCACGCCCGATGTGGACGTGGAGACCTACTAGAGATGGCCACCATCCAACAACAGATACTCAGCGAACGATCGAATTTTAAGCACTCAGCGATACACTCACATGTGCACATCACCATAACCCTGTCGCCCACTTGCAGTTTTAATTTTTTCCAATCATGTATTATTGCTATGTTTACACCTAAGTTTTCGACTAGTTGTAGTTAAAATTAAATAACTCAAATGCCAACTCTTGTGCTCTACTTCACCAACCATGACCATTCACGACCATCCACTTGAAACCATCTTTCCATCGAGAAGGGAGGCGGCAATCTCGTGCAGACGATCAAGCGGAGCTACAGCCTCAGCGATCTGAGCGAGCCGGATATGCATCGCACACAGGATGAAATGGACGCCGTGATGATGTCCTCGATGGCTTCGTCGGCGGTGGTGATGCGTTCGCCATCCACGGGCGCTCGTCTGCTGAGGCCAAGGAATCAGACGCCAGTGGGCAGATCCGGCAGCGGCACCCGCCACTCCACTGGCATGTATTTCACGGAGGTGGATGTGACCGCCAAGAATGCGGGCGATTTCAAGTGAGTGTCTGATCATAAATAGCAATCAAGAAGGTACCACAAAAATTCAGTTTTAGGAAAATAACATATTTTTAGTTACACTGAACTGATAGAAAAGTTTATAATATTTTAATAATTGATATTGGTTTTGAGGCAATTACTTTATATTGATCAAAAAATGTATTGTCCTAAAATTTTGTAAGACAAAGATAATTTCTTTTGGACAGAAAGATTATTTTAGTAGCTCCACATAAGATATGTCTTTGCATCTTGATAATCATTTTGTTGTGGTATTTCATAAGTATTATATTGGAACCGTATTGATTTGTTTCTTATCTACCCCAGCTACAACATTCGCAGCCAGGATGACATCAGCTCCGGCTACTCGAGTGCCGAGCCCGTGAGCGGTCTCAGTCGCACCTCCTCCATGACGAATGCTTCCAAGGGTCGGGCCAAGTCCAAACGCAATGAGGTAGGGATCACTTGGGTATTTTTATCTGCGACTATCTTAATCCGTTTGGAGATTGGTGTTGGTTAGCAGTTGCTGGAAGAGATGAGGGACGAGGTCTACTTAGAGAACCAGCTGTACTTTCAAGGTGTGCGAGGGGAGAACTCGATTCCAACGGCCCACGAACTGAAGATTGTGGAGAGCTTTGAAAGAATCCCATTTCGGGAGCAGGAGGAGAATGATAACGCGGAGGATGAGGACTTCTTTGAGGCCTTGCCCTTAATAGAGGAGGAGATAAGTGAAGTGGAATTGTCCAACCCAGATCCACAAAATAATTTTACACAAGAGGAGGAGTTTGAAGATGCATTATTCGAAGAACCAAATCAACTAGATTCAACCCAAGTGGATACCAAAAAAAACAATGATTTAAGCGGGGAGGTACATATAGAGAAGTTACAAAATCTGAGTACGAATGGATCCGCCGACACTACTGAACTGCACAAATGCAAACCATATGTCCAACCACCCATAGATCCCTTTTTGTTGGTTTTGAGCACTTCTGCATCCGCACCAGATCCCTTTCTGCCCGAACGACAGCGTCCAATGTCGCCTCGTGAAATGCGGGCCACCCTGGAGGAGATTAAGCACAGCTTCCGCGCACAACTCGAACCAGAGCCCTCCATATCGAGCTCCCCGTCGCCCTCCTTGCGACCCAGGGCCAACCATGGCAAGGGGCGAGCTCCACCTCCGCCATTGCCGCCGAAGAGGCACTCTTTGAGTCCTCAACCGGACGCCATCAGCCAGACATCGACGGGCAGCGTGGAACGCAAGTCAGGTATCGGCCAACTGTTCAAGCATATCAAAGCTAATGTGCTGCGTAACAAAGCTAATCCCAGCCAGCGGCCGGAGGATGAGCAGGTGGCGGCCAGAGAGACGCAAATTTGAAGTAAGCCCAGCCGCAAGCCCGTTTTCGAAGCTCTCATCATCCCAGTGTTATGTTTCGCTCACCGCCGGGCGTTTTCAGCTCCGCGTTTAACTTTCATGGCCCCCAGATATATGGCATTATCCTTTTGTACAATTTTGCTACAGTTACTAACACTCAGTTTTAAGGATTTGCAGCATGTTGTTTGAATTGTTCCTTGCAATGACTGTATTCTAATCCTTTGTTTTACTTTCTTGATTTATTGCAGGACAAATCCATGTCTGCTAGCTGCACCACCTTGCCACGGTCGAGCAGCCGGAAATCGGAGAGATCCCAGGTGGGTGGCACTGCCACTGGTCAGGTCAAAATGCGCAACAAGTCGGAGAAGTAGTGGAGCACCGATCTTTGGCCATCCATCTCCATCAAGATATTGATTTCAGGTGGATGGAAAGTAATATCCATAGAACCAGAACCTCATGTTTTAGTTTAAATTGTAACTTAATACGGATATATCGATACAGATTATGATAATATTAGCTATATATGCATATGCATTGTGTACTTTGTTTGTGATTCTATTAAAGCTCCAGGTGCACTACGTCCCTGGTCGCCATTGGTACTCATTTCGTGACTAGTTTAGCGTTAAGCGAGTCTCCTAGCCTCTGCCCAAAGGTTCTCCAACAGCTGTACTAACCAAAAATGAAACCCGAAGAAACCTATCAATTGTGTGTAGCATAAATTCCTAATATTGTAATTGAGCATTAAATAAAAGAATCTATACCATTGAACTGAATACATGGAGGTGTCATTAATGATCGAACCTATTAATGTTGTTAGGAAAGAGTTGGTAGTTGAATTAAGATACTTTCCACCCTACTTATAAGGAGTATGCATAATATTATAAGACTTTTGCAGACTCGTTTAGAAAAACTTTCAATATATTTACTATCACGTCGAAACGAAATTTTTACTTAGGATACAGGATTATTATTCAGCCTCCTCTGCAGGTGCTTTTTGTGTGTCTCCAGCTGCACCCTGAGAAGCTCTTTTATCGGTCTCATCCTCGGGTTCCTCCGACAAGTTGTCATTTTCGTTAAAGTAAAGAGTCTTGCGTATATATCGAGCCACCAGTTCCTGAGGTCGTTTTTCCCATTTGGCCAAAATCTCATGAGGAGTTTTGATCTACGTTGGGTTAATTTTAAAAAACGAGGGAAAAGTTAAACAATATGACGAATATAATGATAATAATTATAATATGATGTAATAAGATATGATAGTCTGGATAAGCTCACCTGATCTCCATTGAGGCGATTTAGAATGGCAACGCAGACGACTGCTCCCCTGATGTTGGCCCGACTGGTGAGGGCGGCAAAGGCCAGACTCTCCATCTCGATGTTCTTCACCTGCTGGCTCTGCAGATGCTCCAAGTAGGTCTGCTTATTTTCGAGCGTGTATTCGCAAAAGGCGCCGTCCAATCGGGATTGGCCCTCGTAGAAATCGTGGGCACACAGTGTCCTCCCTATCACGGTATCGAAATTGTCCTTATCCGGATCGTGGCACATCTTGATTTCATCGGCCAGTCCCTCGTCTAGCTGGCTGGCATGCTGGACACTGATGCCGTGCACCAGGATCTCGTGAGCGGGATTCAGTCGACCATCGACCGCTTCGGAGGAGATGACAACAGTTCCGGGATCGACGCCTATACCCCCACAGGTGCCAATCCTAATGAAGACGGGGTCCTTGCACTTGGCGTGGTACATCATCTTGATAAGCTCGTGCAGCAGGATGGAGATCGAGGGACAGCCCATTCCGTGGCTGGCGCAGAGCACAGGGCCCACCTTGAACAGGGAGAATCGCTTGCCCGCCTCCGCCATGTCCCTTAGTTTGGTGGCCGCATTAATCTTCAGCCCAATCTCCTGCATCACGTAGTAGGCAAAGTTCTCCATCCGTCCCGGGGTTCCTCCCATGCAAACAAACTAGTCATAGGCATACAAGTTTTAGAAAGGGTTAAAATCGTGATACAATTTGGTACTGATAATAAAGAAGTCCTAACAATATGGTTTCAATTTTACAAACTTATTATAACTTCTAATGTTAAACTATGTATGGTTATGATGGGCTCTAATGCGAAAATGCATAGAACTTACCCGCACATCCCCGAAAACCTTGGGGAAGTCGGTGGTCTCTGTGTCAAGTCCCAGGTGATAAAGTATGTCGGGCTGCAGGCACTTCAGGCAAGGATTCAGGCCGCAGAGGGTACATTCCTTGGGCTCCTCGTCCTTTTTGCAGCCATCCCTCATCTGTCTGACCAACTTGGCGAGCGTTTTGCTCTGGGCATTGACGATAGCTATGGGATGCGGTCAGTATTACAAAGAGTATCGAAAGGTATTTCTCCAAGTATTGATTAGTTACCCTTTAGTTGGCCCACCTCGTTGGCCAAACGACATGTGCAATCACTACAATTACTTTTGGGCATATTTATATTTTTTTTTATTACAAATAAAATTTTGTAGGTCGTATTTCCAGAAGCAGTTTTAGGTAAACTTCAAATTTGACAATAGAAACGTTAGAAACTTTCAAATTGATTAAAAACATGAGTTATACATTTTTACAACATGCATTTTTATATTATTATAAAGTAATTTGGCTAAGAATTCAAAATCGAAAAACATTTTTGTGTTTTATTTTTTATTAAGAAACATACAGTAAGTATAATTTGTTTTAGCTTTTGCAATTAACTTTTTATTTCGAAATTTTTTAGAAAAAAAAAATTTTAAATATAGTTTTAAGAAAAAAAAAAAAACAATAAGAATAACAATAATTGCAAATATATTTGGTGTTCCGAAACTTATGACTTTTGTCTGGTGTTAATGTAAACTAAAATTATGCTCTAAAGATCTCTACATTTAACATAACAAAAATACGAGTTCCGGCTGTGATAAAACCAATATTATAAATCTTGCAAATATTTTTAGTGTGCCTAAACTTATCTTTACTCATGCCTCAGTTAAGAGAGTACGGTTGCGACTCAGTATTTACCTTCCATTGAAAAAAGCTAACCGAAACATGTGGTGAGTGTTTCCAGAACATCTACACCGCCCCTCGTAGGCCTAAGTAAGAGCAGCGATTATTTTATACGCCCCGCAATGAAATACAGTGAAACAGCGAAAAAGAGGTTAAACCGGCTTGCGAACCGCCGAAACAGCTTTTGCCAACCGCTCTTCTTCTTGCCATGCGGCTCCAGAGACTCGGAGTGCAGCTTTCGCGGAGTCTTCCCCCGCCCCTCCTCCTGCGCACCCAGCCATCGTGATCGTCACACATGCGCAGCAGCTGATGCGCGAGCGCTGACCTTGACCCTCAATTGGAGTCGCTGTGGACTGCCGACTTGTTGCCAAGTGCAGCCGGCGGAGTTGAAGTTGCCACCCCAACCCGACTCGCTCTCTCCGCTCCTCTCTTTTCCGCCGCCTTTTTCGCACAGCCATTTTTCACCATTAGCGGCGACTGTACTTTGCAGCACGATATATTCACTTAGCGTTTGTATGTATGCCTGTGCGGTGGTACGAAAACTGCAAAGAAAGCGGCATACACACATATGTTGAGTGAGAGCGGGAGAGAGCCCCCATCAGCTGCCCGCGCCATGTGTTCGCAGCTGCAATTGCCGGCAAACTGGTTGCGCGAGAGAGGGAGAAAGATAGAGAGTGATCGCTCTCTCCGGGTCAGAGGCGGCTGATCTAGAAACTTGCAAGGGGGTCGATAAGGAATTTTAAAAATAAATAAAGCAATAAAATTAATTTAATGATGTGTTGATTGACTTTTCTTACAAAACGTTTTAAGGGGTGTTCTTGTTGCAAACCCCCCTCTCCCAAAAACATTACACATGCTTTGCAATTATTTTTTTTTGTCTCAAATCAGCAGCTCCAGCATTTTAATTTACAATTAAAAAACAATCACAGTGATATTTGAATTTTCATTTTCTTCATCGTACGTAGGTTTCGCATCTTTTGTGTCCCGTCCGTCCAACTGAACTGAAGGTGTGTGTGTGCCATTGTCTTCTTCTTCCCCCGGTGAGTGTTCTGAGTGCTGCTTGCTAGTCTTCTTCTTGTGGGCTGCCCTGCCGCTGCTTCTTCTTCAACCCGCTTAGCTCATCCTCTCCAGCGTTGCGTTCCGTTTTCATAGTCGTCGTCGTATGTCTACCATTGTTGATGTTCTCTTCTTGTTCTTTGTCTGCTTCTCTGTTCTTGTTTGCTGCCCCCTTTGGCTCCACAGCTATTCGCTATATAGCATGCTACCCCGCTCGAGAGATCTTGCCGGGCGTCTTGGATCATGATGGGTGTTTATGGTATAGGTGTATACTAAGTATGGTATGGATGACAATGGTAATGGTATGGGTGGCTTAGGGGTGTGTGGTGGTGGGATACTGGTTACTGGGTAGGCAGTCGTTCATCCTGTAGAATTCCCAAGGCTCGCCGGCAGCAGCTGGATGGAGTGGAGTGCAGTGGAGTGGTAACGTATGGTCTTCTCTTTTCGCCGCCTGATTCTTCGCATTTTCATTGGTTTTTTTATCATTTTTATTTACGCTTTTTCTTTCGGTTGTTTCTGGCTGTGGAACTCCTAATAGGATCATTATCTTTATATAGTATTCTTTAAGGTATTTTTTGTTTCTTTATATAATCTTATATAGTTTCATTCCATTCGTTATAATGTAATTAGTAAATTCAAACACTTTTTGCAGCATAATCATATAGGTATAATTATAGTAAAGTGGTTTGCTTGGTGATTTCTCTTGTTGTTGCTGTTGCGGTTTAGTCTCATCTTACAAATTGGGTCGTCGTGTCTTCTTCTTCCTCTTCCTCATCCTCTCTACGTCGGCGTCATCTGCTCTCTCGGCTGCACAGCTGCCGTTGGCTATCGTCTTCAGGTTCTTCTCGTAGAGCCTTTCTACCTCTACTGATTCTTCTGGTGGCTTTCCCTTTCCCTTTTGGAAAGCCCAATTCTTCTGCATCTGCTTCTCTTCTCTCAGTTCTTGGGACGTTGGCACCGCGCTGCAGGCTCGGCTTTTGGAATCAGAGATGGTTTACTCGATGATTTTCTGGATTATAGATGTATATCGTCTGCGTGTGTGTTAATGGGTGTATGTGGTGTGAGTGGGTGGGTGTGGGGGCTTTTATATTTTTGGAGGGGTTGATCTTGACTTGGGTGCTGCTGCTGTTGTTGTTGCTGTTGGCTGGCATTTGTGAATGTTGTAGCAAATTGATTTTTCGTTTTTCATATTTTTTTTTCTTCTTCTCATCTTCTTCTGGTTGTTATTCGTGTGTTGAATTGTTACTCATTCCCTCCTTCGATGATTACATTTTTTTTTTTTGAGGTGCCACTGGTGGTGGGTGGCGCCTAGTTCCGTCCTCCCTTCTCGTCGCACTCGCGCCTCAGATGTCCGCTCTTGCCGCAGCCGTAGCAAGTCTTGGAGGTCTCCGGGCAGTTCTTGGAGATGTGACCGGTGCGGTTGCACTTGTAGCACGACACATTGGCCGGTCCACGTTCGATTGCGGCCTCGGGGCAGTTGCGCACCCAGTGCCCGGTCTTGTTGCACCGATAGCAGGTCGGGTTGTCCGCCTGGGTGCAGTCCTTCGAGATGTGACCGATGCCGTTGCAGCGGTAGCAGCGCTCGGCCTCCTCGGGGCAGGCACGTGCGAAGTGCCCGAACTGGTTGCATTTGTAGCACTTCTCGCGGTTGCGACGCATGCCGCCTTCGCTGCCGCGCATACCGCCGCCACCACCACCACCGCCGCCGCCTCCTCCGCCAACGCCACCTGGTCCTCCGCCGCCGCCGAGACTGCAGTCCCGGGCAAAGTGGCCCGGCCGGTTGCACTTGTAGCACGTGGCAGACATCGACATCTTTGCTTCGCTTTTGGTTAGATTACGACTCGGGAATCCCTCTGGATCGAACGCTTCTTCTCTCAACTTCCTCGCACACTCACTGGTTCCACGGCCCTCGAGCACTACACACTGCTTGCGCTGGATGCGAAAAAACCACACAGACGAACAGGATCTCCGGCTTCCTCAGATTTCCTCGCCGTATTTTCGACGCCAAAAGTTAAAATGGCTGCCGCTGGGCGAACGAGTACCGAGTACAGATGGTATCGACTACTCGTCAGAGTTGCTTCGGTTGCGCTTCAATGCAACGCTGCTCCTCCACGCGGTGCACATTGGTTCGGGATGCGGCAACTACGGAACGAAATGTGGGACTGACTGGGCTGGGTGGTACTGCCACTTAGTACTTCCTCTCGGCCTGCTTTCTTTTGGGGCATCCATATTCCGTTTTTCATCCGCATACTTAGTTTTCTGTTTCCCTTGTGAGGTCATCAATATTCCGGGGGCACTACATAACCCAATTTGGCTGCGTTTTTTCACCACGGCCTAAGCAGTGTGCCCGTAGTGATGGACCGCACTTATCGCACCAAGCGTTAGGGATATCCCCCGCAGAGAGGTTATCGGAGTAAATTTTTTTAAAGATAATTAAGTAACTCCGGTTAATATTTAGACATAAATATTTATTTCAGGCACATCTGCATTCATAAATCTTAAAAAATTATTAATTTTAGGCATCGATAACCGATTGGCCCATTAAGGGTATGCTTGAGAAAATGCCGCATACTAAATGGGGGTTTAAAGAAAAACAAAGTTATTTAATAGAAAAACTAGCAAATTACCTTTCCAAATAATGAAAAGGGGTGAACTTGTCAAGTATCTCTGTCAAAAAAACAGGAGTAGCAGCATACATCAAATTATCGATTTATTCATTCAGGGTTAATTTCTAAAAAATAAGACAAAAACGAAATAACAGACTTGAATTATTTTTCCTTTTGCTTAAAAAATAATGCTTTGCCATTTGATAAAGTCTGAATGAAATGGTAGCAAAATAATCAACGAGAGGCCAATTATCGATTTTAGCAGTAGGGGTGTGTTTCTTTAAAAAAAAAATGTACAATTAAAGCACATACTTTGTAAAACAAATAGGAAAATCAAAGAAGGCTAAAAACATTTTTAGTATTAAAAGCTCTTTCGTTTACAAGGAACTACTCGATACCTTTGATAGATCGATAGTATCGCCGCAGCGGCACCTTCGGCGGCCAGTCCACCACTAGCGCATAAGAATATTGAGGACCACCTGATATCGATTGTTTGTTTTTTTTTGCAATAAACATTTACATTAGTTATGCGTGCGTGGCCAAAATGCTAATCGTCTGGTTAGTGCTTGCCGCCACACTGAGCCGCTGCATCCGAGCCAGCACCACGATATCGATACCGATCACAACGCAGGACATAATAGCGGGTGACGTCTTTTTTGAAATCCTGTCGCCCTCGGACCTGGAGTACACGTACCGGTTGCGTCCGGCCAAGGACTTTGGATCCGCCTTCTCGGAGCGGCTGGAGGGCGTGCCGCTGGTGCTCACCGATCCGCCGGGCGCCTGCCAGGAGATCCGGAACGCCCGAGACCTCAATGGGGGCGTCGCGCTCATCGATAGAGGGTGAGAACAGCTAGAATCTTCGGTGACAGAAGCGGTTCAGTAGCCCTTTAGCCCTTCCTAGGCTCTTCTTATCAGCAGTCACTAACTTACCTATACCAAGAAGCAATACCTTCAATTTACCTATCAGTAACAACAGAGTTACGCCTAATGCTTTTATCAGCAATGTCACCAATTGGTTACGTGCTACGAAGGTGTCACTAAGAAGTCTAAATCCAAGTCCATCAAGTCTCTCAAAAACATCAAAAAGTTATCTATTCGACATTAGGTACGGATCAGGAAATCAGTTCTTTAGCGGAAAAACTATCAGTAAAATCCACCAAAGAAAAGATTTACCTAGTATATGTCTAAGAAAGTCAGTCCATTGGCAATAGTACGCTACGGATAAGTTTTTATGTTAGATAAACCATCAAAATATGATCCTAAATGATAATGTAGGAATATAACGTTAACCTTAAAAGACCTTTATAAAACCCCTTTTTCCTTTGGAACCCTTCACTCCTTTTTACTTGCCAATTCTAATGGAATACCATTTTCCAGGGACTGCTCCTTCGTTACCAAGACGCTGCAGGCGGAGGCAGCGGGTGCCTTGGCTGCCATCATCACGGAGTACAACCCAGGCTCGCCAGAGTTTGAGCACTATATCGAGATGATACACGACAACTCCCATCGGGACGCCAACATACCGGCCGGCTTTTTGCTCGGGAAGAACGGCGTCATCATTCGGTCCACGCTGCAGCGACTGAAGAGGGTGCATGCCCTGATCAACATACCGGTTAACCTCACCTTCATCCCGCCCTCCAAGATCAACCATCCGCCGTGGTTGGGCTGGTGACGGGACAGGATTGCAGCCAGCAATGAGGACTTGTGTGAAGGAGGCACATACGATCTAAAACCAAAGTGCATACTCGTAGGCAGAGAAATCGAGACCGCAATTGAGACTAAACTTTAGAGTACCAATAAGTAGCTAATTCGTAGACGGAAGCCATAAACTGTAAATAAATTGCGTAGCAGCCAGGCAGTCGGGTCGCAAAGTTGTAAGCTAGACAAATACTATAATCTTTTATTATTATAGGCGAGTGCGTACGAGCTAGTGGTTATATTTTGCCCAGGGCGGTGAGATTCAGGCACATGCCCAGCGTGAGGATCACAATGACGACCACGAGTATGGCGAAGCAGAGGTAGTTCGGCTGGATGGGCATCCGGAAGAGTTTGGCAGACATGTCCAGCGAGGCGGCGAACAGCAGCGTCGAGTTGAGATCCTCCGCCGAGGTATTGTGGTACACAAAAGGACGAACGCGTATCTGGTGTCCATTGGCTTGGGCATTCTGGCACACACGCGTCACCGAGGAGGCCACGAAAAAGGGCAGCAATCCCAGAAACAGCCACAGCATCACATTGGCAATGTTGAGCAGGACGAGCTTCAGGGCGCAGTAGTGGAAATCAAAGTCCTTGAAGAGGTACACTAGGCCAGCAAAGGCGTACGCCAGATTCATTACAATCAGAAAGCACACCGGAATGGACACGTGCTGATTCAGCCGCTCCAGCAGCTTGCGGAATTCGAGCACTTCCCGCATCCAATCCAGCGAATCGATTGAGTGCATAAGTAGTTTGTGCGACAGCGTTTCCAAATGCATTCTCAGCAAATAACACTCTATATAGTAGTTGCTGAGTATGATGATCTCCACAAGATCTTGGAGGAGTATGGTTAACAGCAGGCCCACACGCAGCCACATCTCCCAGTCGCTAAGGGCTTCTGCTAGCCAGGACACCTTGACGATCTGGCTGGGCTGCATCATCACCACGCAGCAGGCGTACCCAAAGAGCAAAATCAGCAGGGCCAGGGCAATGGCCAGAAAGAGCCACAACATCCGGCAGAGCCTCTTCGGTTTGGCTGACATCAGGAACACTCGCTCGATGAGGTTCTGCAGCTGCTCGTGGTCGATCACCTTGCAGACCAACACCGCAGACACGAAGGCCATTAGGTTAAACCCACTGGGCACTATGAATCCGAAGAGTAGTTCTCCTATGGTGTTGGGGGTAATTGCTCCTCCGTCTGTCCCATTGCTAAAGGGTCGAATGTCCCGGTAGCTGGTGAAGCCACGATCGCCTCTGAAAGGGAAAAGTTCAGATATTCATTTATTATTTATACAAGGCTAACATAAAGTATAAAACTGTAAGCTAACTTATGACTAAGATTAATAGCAGTGAGGTCCTTCCGCTCGTCTAGAGTAACAATGATTTATTATGTCTGACACTAAGATGTAAAATGAATGTTAAAAAGTACTAATAGATCGTCAATATCACATTCACATGACAAAGTTAAGGAAAATTATAATATTTTTTGTGGATTTTTAATATTTTTTTTTTGTATCTCAAAGACAAAAAGTTTTAATTTCACACATATTTCATTAATTTGGATTTTAAAATTGATCAATGAAAGTAATATCCCAAAACGAAAACACACCCTTGAAAGATAAGAGTAAGAAACATATTTTGGGGATATTTACGGTTTGAAATATTTATTTTTTTTATAGCTAAGCCATTTTGATGACTGTTCCTAAGTTCTATCACTCAGCATTCCTATTTGCTTAGATCACAACTAATAATCCACATTAATGAGCTGTTTTTGCTTAAAGCTGGGAATACTTTTTCCGGACTAATAAATCAATTGATAAAAAAACGTAGGTATGAACATATGATCGCTTTTACGTTAAGTTTGCTTACATGATGCAATAAACAGACCTGCAATGTTTTTCTTTTTCACTGAATCACTTTCTCTGTTGTAGTATCAGCTAGGTCCAGAGTGTTCCGCTCACCTGTATCCGCATATGTACCGCAAAAGGTATCCCACCAGCAGGACGAATAGCACCATCAGCGCCTGGACGTAGCTGCAGCAGGCCCGGACACTGCTCATATCGGTGGAGATGGGATTGAGGCCCACCAGCGTCAGGATGGCCACATATGGACGGAGGAACTGTTTGATTCGGGTGTTAGGTAATCAATTCGATGACCGATCATCACCACACCCACCTTCCGTTTGCAGTAATCCAAAAGGGCGGAGGTGGGCTCATGCTCTCCCGGCTGCTGCAGTTCATCATTGGCATTTCCGTTCAGGCGATTGATGAAGCAAAAAGAGCTCTCCGCATTATGTCGATACATGATGGACAAAGAACGATGATGATGGGGAGTTTATAAGCGATATGGGGGCGGGTGGAAAGAAACAGTTATAATAACAGTGAGGGGGATCTCATTCACAACAAAAACCCATGGCGTGGGTGGTGAGAGTTGAGATCCGAGAGAGAGAGAGAGAGATCGATCGCGACCGGCGGTCTAGCCACAACTGAGGCCCCCAACTTACAAGCTCGTCGTGCAGCCAGGAGGATCCAATGGACGTCGCTCGGCTGCGGCTCCCGCTGCGACTGCTCCATGGATCCCGTTCTCTGTCGCGATTGCGATCCCCTTCGACGGCGCTCATCGAGTGCAACTGTAACGGTAACGGTAACGGTAAATTGACTAAATTGAAACTCGAGCCGCGAGAACAATAGCAATAAATGTGTGACGAAGCTTTCCTGCGTGAAGCTCTCTTTCCGAGCTTTGTGTTTGTCTTCTTCCCGACCAACCGCCCCCTCGCGCCCCCCTCCCCCCACCACCCTGCACATCCCAAACCCAAACCCCACCCCCCCTTATCAATCAATTTTATCTCGGGACCCAACGGGGATCGCGTTTCTCGAGTCTGCTGGGCACCTGTTACAGTTTAGATAGGAATCAGCCCTGTTATCGCCGAGCACTATCTGCCGGTAGTGAAATTAGCATATATACATATGTATATGCTGAGATCCATATCGGACATGTGTAAACTCCCAATGGCATGTACCCCCCATTTGTAGATTGTATATGTAACGCTTCGTTGTTATCGCGTGTCTGGAGGGGCTTTTCTTTGTCACGCTTTCGTTGATCGGGCGTTTCTCTACTGCTGATCACTCTCTCTTTTGCTCTCCCAGGCCCCAAATGGAGATGCTGATTATGCTTTTATTCTCCACCCGGAATCTTAAATGCACAGTGAAAAAAATTAAGAAAATAAGGCCTGAACAATCTTTCTGAAGAATCAATTTTTTATATCATCTTTATTATATCATTGGTTTTACAAAAACATTGATCTTAAAAAGTTACTTTAATATAAAAAACATTTAATTAATAACCCTGAAAACAGTACAGTTAATATTTTTAGGAATTACCCACATTTTCATCATACCATTTCTTTTATATGACATTATATTGTATTGACCCTTACTCAAACATGAGGTATACCTACCTAAAATATTTTTTTGTGCATGCATCCCCTGATAAGAGAACAATTAAGCTTGACATTGCAGGCTGAATATAATGGAGTGCTATTATTTGTCTAGGAAATTATTAAATAAAAGTCGGGGCTGTTTATTTCCTCGCTTAGTAAGAGGAAATACTGTGTAAAGAACTCGACATATATGATCTATGTAAGCTGGTTAAAAACTTTTAAGAGTCATCTTTCGTGAGTTGTCATTATTATTTATTAATAATTTTCCTAAGGTTAAGTTGTAAAATAAATAATACCTTGACTCAACTGCACTTCTCAAATGTTTGCTTGTTAACCTAATGTAAGCTGGTTAAAAACTTTTAAGAGTCATCTTTCGTGAGTTGTCATTATTATTTATTAATAATTTTCCTAAGGTTAAGTTGTAAATTAAATAATACCTTGACTCAACTGCACTTCTCAAATGTTTGCTTGTTAACCTAATAGTTTAATTAATTTAAGCATCTCTTCAATTGTAGCTAGGTATTACAGAATTATCATATTTAAAAAACATCATCTATTAGTAAATAGGATAAAATTTAAATGCTTTTATTTCCTTTTTTCAATCCAGAAAACCCGATTTTTAAGCAAATTCAGTAATTGGCAGGCAGAGGGTTAAGTTAACACTCACTTGCTCTCCTGCCGCATCGGTAATAAAGTTACGAAATTTACGTCAAAGTAATTAAATGAAATTGAACGCAAGTCGAAAGCGGTTTTAACTTTTTGCCCACTTAAAATGCTGTTCGACGATTTGGCAATGAGGCCATGGACATGGACGGAGTCGGTTCCGGTTTTATTCCAGTTTCAGGTCCAGATCCATGACCAGGCCGCAGAAAGAAACCGCAGACAGAAGCCGCATGCTGTCGGGATGTGAGATACGAGTATCAGCTCCTGTCTGTCCAGTACCATCAACCCCATATTGCCAAACCCCCCCTTTCGCACGCTCATGTAAATTAGCTGCGTTGTCAAATAATACTGATTTGTTGTTGCTACACTGGCGTGCTAATAAAAACGAAGGGGAATAGAATCCAGACCCATCACCATCACCATCCCCAAATACCCATCCCAATCCCCTTGTCAATATGTCAGCCTGACCAACGCTCGTCACTTGACAATGCCACTATCTCACTCTAACTAGGCGTGGGCCAGCGTTTTGTTTAAAAATCAAATCAAATATTACGAGAAAATTTCAATGCGGTCAAATGCATAGGAAATTTTATGCCCGCCGCAGCCGCAAAAACGCAAATGTTGACTCCACTCCGGCGGACAGCAGCTGGGAACCAGAACCAGTCGAGATGGAGCCGGGCGATACAGATAGGGATACTGGTCATGGGTCGAGTCACCAGTCACAAATCGCTTTAAGTGCGATTTAAAGTGGCTTTTCGGCAATACGATGGGAATATTTAACATCTAAAGTTTTTAAGCTAGATAAACATAAAGAGAAAATGTAAGGGATCAGAAGAAAACAAGGCAATATTTAATCTAAGTCATGTAATTAATAAAAACTATATAAGAGTTATACTAGTTATACTTTTTAGACCAAGGGGAAAAATTACTGCAAACTTTTAAAAATAAAATCTTACTTTGAAGTACGTTTAAGAAAAAACCAAGGTACCATTTATATTATTTCCGCACTATTTACTTTACTTTTAGTTTTTGTCCCCAACAAACTTCAAAATTTGTTTTTCTTATTTTAGGTTGAATTTTAAAAGTATAAAATTCTTAAATGTAAACTGTAAATAAAACTATTTTTGTATTGATAAGCATTATCATCAATTTAAAATGTACATATTTTTATACATTTTTTTAATCAGTATGCATGTCTTGAAATGATAAGAAAACTATTTTCTTTTATAAAATGTTTGGAATAACCTTAAATGTGATTAAATATTTTTATCGAAATTCGTTGGCTTACAATAGAACAGCCCATATAAAAAATGTTCATACTCCATTACTGATAAGAGTTTGTATCACAGTTTGTTTCATTTGAATTGTAACTTTCGGAAAATGAAGACTTCATTTGGATGGTTTTTTTTGCTCTTGAGCCACGTGAGTGCCTATCGCTTTCTAGAGGAATCTTGTGGAACTTGGCCTACATATAAGCCCACCAATGTTGCCTGGTTGGCTAATATTTGGAATGACACACATTTTCAGTGTCACGGAACCCTGATTCACAGACGTTTGTATTTCCTGTGCAAAATACAAGATTAGTCATATTAATGAAAAAATGTTTTTAGGCTTCATTTTAACTGCTGCTCGTTGCATACATCTCCCTGGAATGAAGTAAGTATCAACTAGATAGATTTCCACCGATTTTAATAATAAATTTGGGCATTTCCCACATAATATTTACAGTATTGGCAGTCATGTGGAATTTGGATCAGCTAAATATAATGTCAGTATATTGGTGGCGCACAAGGATTATCTACAGAACGATATTGGCCTGCTGAAGTTGTCAAGAAACGTCGACTTCAATGGTATGTGAACGGTTTTATCGCTCAAAACCAGATATTAATAGCAATTCTCCACAGCCTTCATTTATCCAATATGTATAATTTTGGATATGGAAAAAAGGAATTATGTAAAGAACACGAACACGTTTAGAACTACTGCCTCTATACTATACTATAACTATAATACTGCTCAAGTCATTAAGATTAGTCAGTTAAATCGTTATTATTGTCAAAATCACTTAAATGCCAATTCGAATCAAATTTGTGCTACTAGTATCGCAAATCGAGTGTCCTGTTCTCTTGAGCTTGGAGGTCCCTTGATTCAATATATCTCCTTCGGTAATTTACCTCGTGAAGTTCAGCTTGGGATCCGAAGCGCTGGGGAAAATGGCTGTAATGAACCCAGAGTTTATACCGACCTCACAAATTATGTCAAATGGATTGAGAATACTGTACAAAGATTGAGTACCGAAGAACAAAAGCCTGAGCAGATTCCAAGCCACGGAATATGGTTGTATGAAAACTGTAGTGGCAATATCTTATCATCGAAATTACGGGCTTTTATTTATGGACCTCAATTCAGGGCTCAGGGTTGGTTTATTACACACAGTACGTATATATACCATGGTATATTGGCGGATAATTGATATCTAAATATTAAATCCGATTCCGCTAATTTGTTATCTATTGGTAAGCAAGCATTTATATAATTTTTCAGGATTTGTCATCACAAATGCCCAAAACCTTCCCGAAGACGCTTCCTCATTGTAAGTAGTTAAAACGAGTTTAGAATAAGGTATTTAAATGAATCATTTATATCCACAGAGATGTGGGTTTGGCGGAAACCCCAAGGTCCTATGACGAATTCAGAGTCCTTTCTATATTCAAGCACCCAGAATTCTCTCAATATTACAAAAATGATATAGCTTTGCTCAAACTGAATAGACCGGTGACTTTTGGTAACGTAAGAGTTGCACAATCTTAGCATTATATTAATAAATTCTATTTTTGCAGACAAGATGAGTCCTGTATGCATGCTAGCCCTGAAAAATCACCAGGAACAGGCCGAATCTGCTTGGTACCATACTATGTTTTACTATGTTCAAACTGAAAATCACATTACTATAGTTGAAAAAAATGTTACACTTTTTGATCCCTTTCAATGCTCCCACATAATTAGAAACACAATAGACCAGAATCAAGTCTGTGTGCAATCTTCCCAAGGAATGAGTTACGGAAATCCTGGAGACATACTGATAAAAAAGATAATGTATATGGGAAAAGAATGGATCGTCCTGGTTGGTATTGTCAGTTATTCATCTAATGGCATACAAGTTTTTACAAATGTTATGAGACATACTGATTGGATAACCGAAATTGTTACCTCCAATCAATAACCATACTATGCAAAATATACGAGTATACTTATATAACTGATATCATTGTCAATTATTTTGAACTTGTGATTTTGGGAGCATAAATACAGTTTATAACAAAAACAAATTTGGGTCATTTAATTATCGGATTTGATAATCCAATCTTGATATCTTCAGCATTAAAATAAAATTCACTAAAATTTTTTTACGAAAACATTCTACATTTCATAAGCACTTCTCCATTATAATGACATCATCTTAACCCGACAAGGATACACGTGTTTTAATATCAATATCGGATTCTCCTATTTAATAGCTGGTTTAAACACTGTGTTTTATGCGCCATGTCCCCTTGGCCAGCGTGTCAACAAGAGATCAGAGATTGTGGGACGTGTCAAGTGTCCGAAATTCAATTAGACTTCATTAGCATTACCAGCCGGTGGCAGTTACCCTCACAGCCCCCTTGTGGTTTCGTTTGTCTGTGTGCGTGAACAGATTCAAGCGTTTGCAGATTAGCATAAATGAGATCATTAAAATGCGCTTACGTTTGTGTGGGTGGTTGTTTTGGGGGGGGCTTTAAGGGGTGTCGAGGGGCTCATGGGGTCAGCTGAGGTGCGGGGTCACGACTGCTACATTTCGCACGTTTCTCAGAGACTGACACCGCCTGCAAATTGCCCGGGTCCTGACTTCTGAGTATCTGAATCCTCGTTTTCGTCCTTGTTTACCCGCCTCTCCAAAGGTGTCACTGCTGCCGTCGGTTCGTGTCCCGGCTAGACGGACAAAATTGAAATTTGCATAATTATTGCAGCATCTTTTGCCTGTGATGTCCTTCTGTCCTTCCCAACTTACCTCCAAATAGTTTTCCCTCCGCCCAGCCATTCCTAATTTGCTCATTACGTTTAGTGTGATGAGGCAGTTAGGACAAAAAACAGAAGGATAGTCGGGCGAGAAGAAGAACTCCACATTAAATTTTGTTTTCACTAAGCTACAGGTTTAAAGGTTAAAATGGACAAATTTCCCACACCATTTGAGATTATAATATTAATTTTTAAAGACTCTAAATAATAATAATATATGTAGATTTTATAAAATATTTTTATTTAGATTTTTATAAAGGAGTATATATTTAATTAGTCAAATGAGTTTACTAAAAATGGTATATGTACACCTTTGCAGAAAAATTCTTGATTTTTAAAAACCTTTTATAAAAAAAAAATGTATATATAAATATTATTATTTGTATACTCCCTATTAAAAGTCTTTTACCCTAATTTGTTGAAATATTATATGATTTTTGAAATTTTTCTGTGGTAACATGTTGGAAAAATAAGAAAATAATTACAATAAATAAAATCAGCCCGTTCAGACGTGTTCTATTAATTATTTATAAAAACAAACAAAAAATACATTGGACCCCTCCAGTTTAAATAACACTTTTGTGCTATTTTAAGCTCGTATGTTAATTACCTGATGTCCCACATTCACTTTCACACTCTCATTCTTCTGCTAATTACGACATCGTTTATTTTGCTCACCAGTGCTTCATTGAGCTCATTTTGAATTCAGTCAGGTTAATTGGACTGTCATATACCTGTTGCTCTGCGAACTTTGTCCAGAACTGACCTTTCCACCGGAAGTTCGTGCACATGCATTTAAAATGCCACACGAGCTCATTGAGTTTTGGGGTCGACGTACTGCTCCTGCTTCTGTTCATCATCCTGTTTCTACTCCATCTTCTCCTCCTGAGTAGTAGTCGTCCCGTCAAACAAGCTAATTTTTGATGATATCCACTGGCGCCCGAGCAGGAGAAGAGGAAGGAAGGATGGGTGCTCTGGGGAGGGCACTAAAAGCCTGTCGCTGGCTGCAAATTGAATCAGTCGTCCAGTGCCTCGTCCATGGTCCACCATCCTTATGTGAGTGTGTGAGTTTTCGCCTGGGGCCAGTTTTGGTGTCCGGCGGGCGGCGTGCGCGCTCTCATGAAATGTGACCGCAATTGCGGTTCGTTAGCTGCATTTCAGCTAGTCCGCATCCATGTCAGGCGATGTGGATGTGATGCAGTGGCGCCACCAGGAGCTCTGCTCCCACCTGCACGTGCTGCCGCCAAAAAAGCAACCCCAAAGAGGTGGTCAGTGGGTGGATGAGGCGGTGCTGGGTGGACCATAGCCCCCATGGCCAGCACGGCCAAAGCGCTGTGCTTAAGTGGTCCAAGCGACCGAAAGCACTTTGACCATGCGGTGGCAAAACCCCGACGGTCTGCCCCCAACACCCACACACTCTGTTTTAGCGGGTCTACACAGCAAAGAAACTGATCCTAATATTCTAAAAAAAACTAATTTATCTTTACTAACAAATAAAGCAATCCAATAAAGGTGATAGGTTATATGTAAGACATACATATTTTATGTAATGTATATGTATATCTATTCAAAACAATTGGAATTTCTACCTTTGATACACATTTCATTTAATGTTTTTTTTAGTACTTATTTGTACTCACTTTTTTGAAGCCCCTTAAGCATGCTCCGATCCAACGCGGGGATATAGGGGATAGATCGCCCCACTCGGGTTAAAAAGTACGTGTAATATGTATTTTATTCCAATTTGTTGATTTCTATTTCATTAATATTTTTATATCCCCCTCATCCGAATTCTTTATCCGCCAATGCCTTTAAGGTATATATCAATTGGTATATTATCTGCAAACTAAGTGGAGAAAATCTTATTATTATTATGAAATTAATGTAATTTTTATTGAGGGGTTAGATAAGATTTTTTACCATTAAGACTAGATAACTACTTATGTTAAACTTTTTTTGAAAAAGAGGTTTTAATTAATTCCCTATAAAATGTGTTTCTTTATTTTAAATTTAAATTGTTTATAAATGATAAACATTGGAGCTATAATTTAAAATGAGTGCCAGAAATTATTTTAAGTTATAGCTCCAATTGACTAATATAAATAGTTGGTTACCATAAAATTGAACTACCAAAATGATTTTAAGTACTTGAAGATTTAGAGAGTCTTAAATCTTATGATACACAGCTTATTTCTAATAAATTATTATGTTTAGAAAGTAAATGACTTTATTGATCCATAAAAAATGAATGGATATTATATTAGCCTAATGTAATACCCAAAAAGGTGACCCCTTTCCATTATCTTCTCAATATGTTTAGGTTTCCCTGTGCCACAAAAGCTTTAAAGCCCTGTGAGAGCATGGCCCCCAGTCAAACGCCCAACTGACTGGGATTATTTATGTTGAAAATATCAAACGCTTGAGGATTGCCCAGGCACTTAACGGCAATTAGCCTCAGGGCCACACACACACCTGTGGATTCCGTCCAGACTTTTCCCATCCATTGAGGGGGTGGAAACGGAGACTGCTCCACCTGCGTCCGCAATCACAGCTCAATGCTCCGGCCAACTCGACGGGATTTGCGCATCATCAAATGACCAACTTGAGGTAATTACCAACAAAGAGCAGGAGGCACGCACGAGGATATATCTGGGGCAATGTCCCATCCTTTCAGCTGGAGGTCTCCAGCCAACCCAATCTGTCCGGGCACGCAGGGAAAAAACTTCTGGCCTCCGTTTGGTGTCTCCTTTCAGCGTCGGACAAACGTGACAAGCATGCGGAATAAGCCAGGATGAAGGTGGAACCGGGGATGGAGGACCAGGACCCAGACCAAGACCAAGACGGAGCCCAGTTCAGACCCGTAGTTCCTCCGAAGGGAAGCTCAACAATTTAAACGGATCTCGTCCTGGATTTCAAGGATATGTCGCATTAACAATGCCCTGACCTACTGATGACTGCCAAATGAGTGGTTGGGGGAGGGGGATTGGGAGTGGCAAGGGGGCAGGAGCACAAGCCACCCATGCCATCCATTTTTGTGGCACTGCTAGTGTGGGTCCTTTGGGGTGTGGGCTACGACTTTTGTTGCCAAACTAAATATTGTTAGGCAAAGTAAACGATGTTGTAGACTTTGGGCCAATGGGGCTGTCAGGGGCGTAGGCGAGGGGGTACTAAGGTGTGGGATAAGGGTCTTAACTTTTTATTAGAAATTTGGGAATATTTAAAAAGGTTTTTTAAAGTTCTGGTTTAGTTACACGCTTTTAAATATGGCTTAGATTCTTGAAAGCTTAAAAAATATTATAAACAAAAGATATAATATATGTAGTATTGGTTTGTTTATATTTGTTATGCTTATAGTTTGAAAATATCATTTATTGGCAATGAATTCAATACTCATTTAATTCTTTTAATATTTGAAATTTTTCACTACACTTACTTTAGCATAGAAATTACTTCATATTAATACTTTATAATAATTGACCTTATAATCCACAAATCTAAAAATATGTATATCAATTAATGGGTCACAAGAATTAAAAGTAATTTATGTAATATTTCTAAATGAGTCCCTAGCAACTCAAAGGAGCAACTGATAAAAAAACCAGCTTCCTGATAATTCCCTCTACTCAATTTTCGCAGCTCCTGGAGGCCGCCTTCGCATTTTCCCGCCCCCCTTCAAAAGGAGGTCTCTGCTTTCGGCGTGCTTTTTCCAAGGACCTGGCCGAGTGCCTCACGTCTATTACCGTTAACCGAAACCCAATGCCATTGCGGCCATTCAAGTCGACATCCTATCAGGGCGGCAGCTCCTTTGGGGCACCTGCCCCCCCCCCTCCATTTTCCTTCTTCTATTGGAGATTTCCTTCCTCATTTTCCTGCCATTTTTTTCTGTGTGTGTGTGTAGGTGGGTGCGTTTATTTTTCTGTTCCTTTTTCCCACCATTATGAAACTGAAGCCGGGAAATGTGGAGGATAGGATGATGCAGCCAGCCAGGAGAGGACGCACCTTGGATTCCCTGCAGCACACACACTCATATATATATATGCCAGGGGATATCCTGGCGGAGGGTCCTGAGTCCTAGCTCATTGTTGACGCAACTTGCTCATTAATTTTTTACGCTTAATGTGCGCTCATAATGATTTTTAAATTGAGTCTCCGATTTCAGAGATTTGTTCGTGGCTTTCTACCTTCAACCTTCTGACTTTTGGAC